ATAATACAATAAACTTTATTCACATTATGATCACATGTTTAGTTATTTATTCACTTAGTTTAACCCTAACATGTGATTATTAACCAACATAAACTATACTGTATTTCTCTTTAAAGAAAATGAATTATAACTTAATATTTAAGAAAAAAATCTCGTTTTTTTTGTTACCAAAAAGTTGTCTAAAAAGAGAACTAGTAATTACTTAATGAAAATTTAATCAGATGAAAGTTCGAAAAACAAAAATAAAAATGAAAATATTCACTTTAAAAGATAAAAAAAAGATCATGTTTAATTAGTTTTGTTGTTGGATAGAAACACTTTAGAGAGAAAAAAAATAGTTACCGTTTATGAAATTTTAACTATGAAGAAACTATTTAATTTATGATTCACTTGATATTGTTTTATTTGAATCTTCCCATTGATGTTTTAGGACTGAAGTTGATCAGTCTCTTATTAAACTTCACCCCATTGCACAAGCAAGTGGCTATCAGGACTCAGTAGTTAAGTGGATAACGCGATGGCGTTTGAAGCGAACGGTATTGAGTTCGAGTCCCAGAGTGAACATCAACTCTGAGATGTAGGTACATCCAGCTGACGAGTCCCAAACAGGACGAAACGCGCGTCCTGGATTCCACTGCTAGCCACTATCCATCTCTGCTTATTTAATTTATGGTTTAAAAGTATCATTAGAAATTTTAAAAAAGAAAAGTGAATATAAATATGAAATAAGATATTGATTGTAGTATTATCAAATGGACGGTTTAGATTTTAGTCAAGAAATTGTATAAGTGATGAATAGTTATTTCCTTCTAAATAGTTTATACAATATTCGTTTGTGGTAGCAGGTATTTAATATAATACGAAAGAGTAGTGCCGAAAAGCAAACAGGCATATATATATATATATATATATATATATATATATATATATATATATATATATATATATATATATATTAAGCGACTAATAGGCTAACAGAAAGAATATATGCGTAGGCAGTAATCAATACTCAAGCATACATATTCGTACAAGTACAACAATAATAAAGGTACAATGATATAAGTATCAGAAGGGGTTTTGTGGAGATTGTAGTAATTTCAATAGTTGAGATCAGTGGTCTAGTGGTTAAGCACTCACGCGCGAGACTAATAAGTCCTGGGTTCGAAACCCGCGAGGCGAGTTCGGGGACGCGCGCTACTGAGGAGTCTCACAATAAGAAGAAACGGCTCTCCAGTGCTTCCAGGTTTTCCATGATGAACAAGCTTCAATTGACTCATGATCTCAAATATTGAGATATAAGATAAGCTGTTATTGTGCGGATGACTCAGTCCGTCAAAAATGTTAACAAAAGGGTTTAACTAAATTAAATATCAACATACTCAAATGCACGTGAGCTGCCTTAAACATATAATATTAAGTAAAATCATGAGTAATAATTTTATATTGCATATAGAATTGGTCTGTTGAATAAGGAAATAGCAGATAAATTATATTTGATTCAACTATAGACCTAAATAGTGGAAAACAAAGTTGATTCGTTTGAAGAAAGCAAGAATAAGGGGGATTTATTAATTTTCTGGATTATTATCAGGTACGTACAACCTAATAGGAATAATTATTATTTATAACCGATGTACATGATTCACATCATATTAATGAAGATTAGTAGAATAACGACATTAGTTGCACTCATCTTACTGTTTTATGGTTATTCTGTAGCTTTGTCATCAATAGTCATTCTTTAGAAACATGAATATTTATACAAATTGTTAAACCAATCAAGGCAGTTTGAGTCAATAATCACAATGGAATAAATTACATCACCGTACATAATAGGTGAAAGTACATGTTGATAATAGGAAGACAGGTGCACTGATAGTAGTAAGAATAATAAAATACCATAACAAAAGTCTTTAAATGTTTCTATTACTACAAAACTACTTAAATCTCTTATTAATCATCTGTTACTATTGTCTCTTGAAAATACAACTTTACTCAAAACTAATATAAATATTTACAACCATGTGATAGGTAGAAGTATTTGAATTATTATACAAACTTGAAATCCCCGAAACAGCGCAAATTAGACCAAACAGAACTAGGTGAACACAAACGCACGTATTGTATCCGAAATTCAAAATTAGGCAAATATCAAATACAAAAGAATCATTAGCTCATGCAAACACTACAAACAATCGGTTTCTTATCATGACAAAAATGAATCTAATATACTTACTGTGAAATAGCAACTGCTAATTATCACATTAATATTTCGGGATATTCTTATACCACGAGCTCTTCGTAGACAAAGATTTTCCTTCATTAGTTTACCATTCCAAAGGATAATTTTAAACGTGATGTAAAATGCTAAATCCCTTACATCGCCTGCTTACTAATGAAAAGTGATAAAAGGATTCAATGTTGAAATGAATTGCTATTCTATCTATATCTTTAAGCTTAACAGTTCTGTAATTCCAATTGCGTACATCATATCTTGCTCATGATATTCAGTAAATAATATCAATGAATGGCAGACTGCGACTGCCAAACTCTTTCAGATGAAAACGTACAATTATAGTTCTTGTTTCTATTCTGTAATCCATCTTGTAGACAATAACTCCGTATTTCACCACTGTAAAGTTGTTATCAATAAAATAGAGCCCCCTAACCATATTAATACATTTGAATGAATATTTTGACAGAAACTGGGCGCTGAGAACATAAAAGACATTATTTGTATGAAATTATATTTGAACTAATCTCAGAGATCGAAATTAAAATAATTACCCTGAATAAGTCCAGACATGTATGTTCGACGAAACGTTAGAACTACTTAAATTTCAATCGCTGAGATTATTTCAAACATAATTTTGCACAATCAATGTCACGTATTTATATATATTGACAAAATAGATAATAAATGACAAATCTTGTTTAAGTACCAAAGCAAAGCTGACCTAAGCATTTATGCATCAAAATTTCTGGTATAACATGATGATCTTTGATTGAATGTGAATATGACAATTAGCATTTCAACAACTTACAAATAATCATACTTATTTTACACTTACAAGACGAACCTACTTATAGTCAAAGTCTTAAATGTATTAACATAATGTAAACTTCAAATAAATCATTTACTTTTTATACAACAATTGATTTCTTCTTTCCTTAAATTGAGTCACTGAATTTAAAGTATCAATATTTTGAAGTACACTAAAGTTTGAACATAATAGTGGAAACTTCCAACTAATTCTTGATTAACAGAACAATGATCAACATATTTTCACAAACGCTGACATCCATTTACTCAATAATCAGCATTGTATATTAAATTATTTGACTAATAAGACAGATACATAAGTCACTCAGATTGTTCTTGAATTATTATCTGATGATACAGATGAATACTTATATGAGGTTGAAAGTGACTTGAGTTAGAATCTTTAACTCTTGAAACTTAAAAGTAATAATTCATTTGCTTCATGAATGTATTGAAAATTATCCATTTGTATTTATGATTATAATCCAAACAAATTTCTGTTCACGATATAACCCCCATCCGTAAATTTTAACTTTGAATCGTTAATAATATATATATATTATTAACCTCCGGATTTTCGAACTGAAAAGTGGTATTTGAATCTGTTTAAGTTTAGTTTAAGGCTTGTTAGGTGCAGTAGCAATCCTCAGTGAAGATTCATTTTTGCAGATCATATGCAACATAATACAGACAGATTTTTGTAAATTGAATATGTTTACTATGTATCCTATTATTAGTTTCACACATATCATTTTACGCAATGGTATTTCTGATTATCTTCTTGTCTATATTAGCAATTGATATTCTCATCATTTTTCAATTGATTTTAAACAGTGTGGATTTGAAGATGACAGTCCCCTCAGTTAACACGAAAAGGTGGCAAGTAGAGGGAGAAAGTAGGCTCTTGATTCGACAGTTACATTTACCTTTAATAATAAGACCAAAGGACGACAATTAACAGAGCGTAAGGAGCGTTAAATTGAATATGATCTTAAGTACTTATTACGCATCTAAATTTAACGAGCTGCCGTGGGATAAGTGGAGGGAGTAGCATATGACATTAAGATCAATTGGTGATTTCGTAATCTATGCGAAAGTAGTGTCAAGCAAGATAAAAATGCTCATGTCATAAGAATATTAAAGCATTTAACTTTTATGATTACGATAGTTTATTCTTCTGTAGAAATCATTAAGTGAAATATATTTTCGGTTATTCTGTCAATTTATACTGGATTTGTCGTCGATGGAAAATTTGTCCCTGTACTTGAAGGCTTAAGAATAATTTTTATAATTGACTCTATTTTCTGTTATTTTTACTTGCATTCATATCAAATAAATACGAATATGCACCTTAATCACCATATATTTTGATGGGTATTTAGCAGAAAAGTTTGGCGATGATCGCACTAACTGTAATTATAGTTCGGAGACTGAGGTTTATTCTGTTGATTCATACTGACCGATATATTTCCATTTTAGGTGAAAGAACCTACATTAGATTATTGAGTTATGTCGAAAATTTTAATAGTTGAATTCATGAGTCGATCTAAGTTGGGTCACCACTGAATACATGGAAGCACTGGATGGATGTTTCATCCTAGTAAGCAACACCTCAGAAGTATGCATCAAAGATCTCACACACGAAACTCGGACCCAGGACATTTCGTCTGTCATAAGAACACTTAACCTCTGGACCACTGAGCCGGCATACAACGGTGCTAGTGTCTAACTTTAATCGACCCATGATCTTTTGAAAATTACTAACTTTTAAGATTTAAATAGCATTTAAGATGTGATAATGGGTCTGTCTAAAATATTCAAGAGATTTAAAATTGTTTATCTTATTAATCGTATGGTTTTAATTATTTTGTAGGTAATGTCATTTAAGTTCATATTAAATAGGCAAGCAGTCATGCCTATCACTTTCCTGTTTCAGAGATGAAATGTATGACTGAATAATGACCCTGAATTCAACCAGTTATCGAAGTGACCTTGAAATTTCCGAATCAATTGAATCTCAATTTACGACCAATCATATACTGTATAGTTTCCGTCCATGTTTTTTTCTATATAAAGCTATATAAATTGGCCTGGTTTGTTATTCTAATCAACTAAATACTAAGAATTAATACGATTTAATAATGCCGTTAACATCACGTTCACCTTACGACAGTAAAACATTACTTGCTAAATATTATGATTTGCCTCAACCTGATGACAAAATTCAAGTTATGTACGTATGGATAGACGGAAGTGGAGAAAATTTACGCTGCAAAACAATGACTTTACAAGAAGAACCAAAAGTTCCAGAAGGTACGTTGACAATTTATTTTAAAAGATTCTTATTCCTTTTTTTGTGACTAAATCTTTGAAAAGAAAACTTTGTTGAAGTAAATCATTTAATTGGCTATTTATTAACTTCATTAAACTTTGTTTTGAAATGAAACTATAGATCAAAAATATCACTTTTGTAACTTGATTGTTATATGAGTAAAAACAATTTCCTTCCTCTCTAATCCATATAAATTGCTAAAAAAAAACATTTGTCATCAGTTTAGGTTTATTTCAATATGGATTATAAACAAATACAATGTGTTTTAACTTAAGACCTCAATGATGGTTTTTCTTCTCCATGTTTGCTTTATAGTTATACATGTAACAGTACACTATGTAAGAAATAACATATTAGCCGTTACAACTAGCCTAATATATTAAACATTTCTAAGTCTTTTATAAACAAATAGTATATATTTGACAGATCATTGGATTCTTTAAAAGATTTTTTTTAAAGCTTAACAAGTTTAGAAGAATGATCTATAATAGACATTGAAAAGTACATATAACTGTTAAAAGTCAATCTTATAATGTTCGCTTATTCTTCATTTTGTTAAATATGCCAAATGTGAACCATTATATCGCGTAGTATAAACCAGCATACTATGGTGTGCGCTACTTATATTGACATAAGTAGTAAATGGTGTTAGTCGTGAACAAAGGTCGGGCAGCAAGAGAGACAAGAGGATAGAACAGTAAATAAAGGAAACAGAATGCACTTTGTATGAAAATGCAAGAACAATGAAGTCTGAGTCATTATGAGACAATCGGTGGACATTTCGCAAATTAAGCATTTACTTTATGATTGTTAGATTTTATTAACAAGTCCTGTAATTTTGTTTGTTCGATTGTACTCCACTGGTGTTCTTGTTCACTACAATACTTCTTAAATTTACAAATATTCACTCATTGGGAAAATAATCAGTTCTGATAAAACTGAATTAACTAATAAATTGAACGTACAAATTGATGTTTTAGTTAGTTGCATATGTCATAAGTTGATGTTATGTAATATATCTTATTATCAATTGACTGTTTATCTGCGAAAATAATTTGTTGTCAAATAACGTCAGTATAAAGATGAAATTAGATATTTTAACTTTCAAGGAAAGATTCAGTAGTTTTTGGTTAAAAGCTATGGTGCTTATAATATCATAGAGTTGGAAAAGGTGATTAATACAATTTGAGAATTGATTTTAGTGGTCTAGTTTCATTTATTCTTAATCTCCCATCATATCTATCCGTCAAAAGTTTCATTTACCTCTCTGAACCATAAAACAATTCTAATAATCGTAATTCAAAATAGTTGAACCATGATAAGTTGAAGAAAACTGATCGATGCATTCCTTAGAATGATAACTGAATTTTGTAAAATATATCTTCAACCGTTGTATTATTGTTATTCTTTTCTGAACATTTGTGCCATTGCCCAAAAATGTAACTGAAGGTACTTAGGTCTAATGAACCGAGTAGGATAACCATTTATCTTGCAAGTACTGTAGCTCAAAGTTAGGTATACGAAACTACACTTGGCTACATTACCATTATTATTACTACCGACGTTGAATGATTAGACTTTTTCTTCTGTTCTTTTGTTCAGAGTTGGAACAACTGCAATTAATCCAAATGAACGCTGACCTCTTTTCTAAAGTGCAATGTGATGTTACTGTAGAAAATGTAAAACCGAAATATTATACTCATATGTTTACATGCATTACTGAATAGAATTGATGATAGGGTTTACAATGTTTCCTTGGATTGACTTTAAGGCATAAAATTCCAAATTATTCTTGTGAAAATTATCTGTCAAATTACTTATAAAATAGTAATTGTGACACTTTACTGATTGTAGATCACCTGATGTAGTGGTATAACTTAATGTCTTGATTTTTCTTTCCTAATTAACTAAATTCCTTATTATATGTGTAACTACAGTGTATGGTGTATTATAACAAAACATTTTAGAATTATAAAATGAATTAACCTTATGATTGAATCTTCCTAAACAAATAATTTAACATGAACCGATATATTCACGAAAACTATACTAATTTAACTAGGTAATGTAAATATTTCGAAATTCCATTCAACATTTGATCATCGAAAAAGAAAAAGAGAATTCAATGAAGAAAATTTTTTCGACGAAATCATTTACTTAAGCTGTACATTCGTATATATATATATATATATATATATATATATATATATATATATATATATATATATATATATATATATATATATATATATATATATATATATATATATATATATATATAGTTATATGGAAGATATATGTCTATAGAAGGTTAAAAAAAATGGCATCACAAAAATGAATTCGAGAATAAATAACAGATGAGGTTACGTACTAATCAAAGGGTAAGGAGGTAAATAATTTATGGTTAAGATAATAGTCCAATTGACAGATATGAAGAAAAAAGACAAACACAAAGGTCATAATAATAGACTGAATAATAATCAAGAAAATGTGTATAAGGTAACAATAATAATAATAAGTGATTAGAGTTTAAAATGCAAAATAGTTATTAAAAAAATTCAATAATAATCAAACAAAAGTGTGGAAAAACAAGCAGTAAAAAACCCAGAAACATACCCATCAAAGGAATTAGGGCAAGGAATGATGAGAGGTTGAACAAATCGTTTCTGCACGCAAAGTTCAGGCTTGAGTTTATGGATTGCCAATGCCTCAACAGTGCATAAAATATTGATTTGACCTCCCCCCCTTCGATCCAGTTTCTTTGACTCTGTAGATTAAGTAAATGATTTCGTCAAAAAGAAAATTTTCTTCATTGGATTCTGTTTTTCTTATTCAATGACATTATGATTCATTTTAATTATATTAATCATCACTAACTTTTGATTACTAACTTAACGTATTTTGTTACTTAAATATACGTTCCTAAGTTATTTGTTTTTTTATATAAACTAAACAGATTTAATGAATGAACTCAGTTTTCAACAGTCTAATTATATTGTTTTAAAATTCTTTAAGGTCGAATTTTATTCCTTTTGCCAGTATAATACTTGCGTGGAGAAATCAATTCGAATGAATTCGTTGTTTGTTTGTTGTTATCTCTTATTCTATATATTTATTTTTAATAAAAAAACAGACTGTCCAGTGTGGAATTTTGATGGGAGTAGTACGGGTCAAGCTGAAGGTTCCAATTCCGATGTTTATTTAAAACCGTGTGCAATGTTCCGTGATCCATTTCGTGGTGGTAAAAATAAATTAGTCTTATGTGAAACTTATAATTACGATAAGAAACCACATGGTAAGAATTTTGCTTGATAGCTTCTTATTGTTGTACTATGAATATTTTACTCATCTTTTTATTACTATAATACGTTATAATGTGAGATGATGTACAAATGTCCCAATAGATTATACAGTGTATACCAATATTAGTAATGATAGTAATTAATTTAATATAATTTATTTGCCATGTATATATATTTATGTATTCAGGATTAAGTCACTTTGTATGTGAGCTATTGTTACTAGCCACTTATCCAGACCAAATTAAGTAGAATTTAAAAACCCAGTTCTTCAATTAAGAAGCCAGTACTCTAATGAAAAATAATAATAGTACAATGATAAATATGTTAGTTGCAAGTGTAGATGAGAGAAAATGTTGAGAATGTTTGAACTCAAAGATTCAAACCTTTACTGATCAGCACTGTATTTACAAATTACACGACGAATTCACTTCGGTATCGGATGACAAGAGGTAAAGTCAAGGTATTTGGGTATATGGATTAATAACCAGAATGCTACTAAGTTTACACTTAATAAATCATAAGGAACGAATCGATTGCCTTTGTTTCTAAGTTGAACTAAAAGCTCAGTTTTCTAGTAATGAATGAGATTGATGATGTTCATGAAAAATGTGAATTACTGTTGGAAATCAGGTTATATTATTATTATTAATTTATCAGTTTTATACTAAATAATCTACATATGTGACTACCCGATCTTCGGATTTTACGAGAATTTTTAGATCTTCCCCAATAGTTCCCCGGACTTTGTGGAAAACTATTAATTTTTATATGACTTTGGAGAGAATTCCAAAATTTTCTATTTCATCTTCCCGAAAATTTACCTAATACTGATCAGATTTTCTCCCAAATTAAGAGACTGAGTTGTTTTAAAATGAATTTCGATCGTCTAAATGGAGTGTCCTTTCCTCGCAAGATCTGGAGATCCTGATTGTGGCTGCTTTCATGAGTATGAATGTGCACTGCCAGACAGTCTCAAACCAGGAATAGACGTTATTAGTGAAGGATTGAGTTATTCCGTTGTTGAAGTTCGTGGGCATAAGGTACAAGGTTTCAGTCTCAGTACAAACATTAACACTGAGACGTAGACGCATTCGGCTGACGAGTCCTGTATTCCAGTTTTAACTACAATCCATCTATTATAAGTAGGCATAGACAATTCTTTTGTACTCCCTGTTTTTTCATGTTTTTCCAGCTGATCTATGGGTAAACATATTTTCAAAAGAACATACTTGTGTCAGAATAACGGTTGGAATGTTTAAAAAAATTAGGCCTTGAAATTCAGCAACCAGAATTCTGTCATAATCAACTTTTTCTAAATCCCATTAATCTCATTTTAAAGTACATTAACACTTTATTACATATATTCCCATCAATAGTATCGAATGTAATTATATTTTACTATATAGATGGATAGATAGACAGACGGAAAGTAGGAAAAGTCGAGTAGTACAATAATGTAGGTTTTTAGATAAAACAACTTTCAAATGAAGAAGAGGAAGGTAAAAATAAGTAGGGAAATCATGAACAAACAAAAAGGAAACTGATGTTAGATAACAAAATGTCTAGAATTTAAAGAAAGGTATAAAACAAATTGAATGTATATCCATCATTGTGATTTTGAATTTTGTGACTCATAGGTGTCAGTTACTGACTTTTAATTTTAGGAAGAAAAAGACTATACTTCTTGATGAAAATCAGACCAACAAATGACTGGTTTGATAGATTTAAACAATATTTCTATATCTTAACATTCTATATCCATCTATATAAATGGCAGAATAATTCTGTATCCTATAAAAGATTAATCTAGGCTAATAAACTGACTTCTTTCTTAGTGGTTCATACTGAGAGTAGAAATTATGATCCAACTCGTTTAGCTGTCTTAAAATTCCGATTTTGTTAAAACAAAGATATATAAAGTGAATGAAAAATATTCTTTCCAATAATATATTCATTGACTATGAGAAGGTGTTTGACAGTCTGGATAGGAGAACCATATGGAAACTTCTTCGACACCTTTTTGTACCTGAGAAGATCGTCAACATGATCCGTAATCCATACAACGGACCACAGTGCAAAGTGGTGCGTAGAAGACAGCTGACAGATTCACTTTAAATCAAGACCACTGTCTGACAAGACTGTCTACTCTCGCACTTCCTCTTTCTTCTGGTGGTTGACTGGATTATGAAGACCTTCACATCTGATGGGAAGCACGGAATACAACAGACAGCTTGGACGCAACTAGACGATTTAGACTTCGCAGATCATCCAGTTCTTCTATCCCATACACAAAAACGAAATCAGACAGACAGTGTAGATGAAGCCTCCGGAGCAGTGGTCTTCAACATACACAATGGAAAACCAAGATCCTCAAATACAACACGGAGAACACCAACTCAATCACACTTGATGGAGACTCTGGAACACGTAGAAAAATTCACGTATCTGGGAAGCATCATAGATGAACAAGGAGGATCAGATGCAAACGTAAATGCAAAGATTGGTAAAGCAAGGGCCGCATTCCTACAGTTGAAGAAAATATGGAACTCAGAACAACTGTCATCAAAAATGTACAAATATTTAAAAACAGCTGCCTACGAATGATACTGAATGTCCGTTGACCGGATAACACCAGCAACAGTCTACTATGGGAGAAAACAAACCAGCTTCCATCTGAAGAGGAAATTAGGAAAAGACGATGGAAGTGGATAGATCATATATTACGGAAATCACCAAACTGAATAACGAGGCAATCGCTAACTTGTAATTTTGAAGGGAAACGGGAAAGCGGAAGTCCGAAAAACACATTGCGTCGGAAATTGAGAGCGAACATGAAAATGATAAATAGCAACTGGAAATTATGCCCAGGACAGGGTTGGATGGAGAGTGCTGGTGGGCTGCATATGCTCCTCTATGAGAGGTGACAGGCTCAAGTAAGTAAGTAATAATTTATTCAAGTTACCAGTACGTACTAGTCTTTTCTGCATGAGCAATTTTATTTATTTTACAAACGATCTTAAATTCATGGGCTGTAATTTTTGAAATATATATTTGATTCATAAATGACTATCATATTTGAATTTATAACTGGAGAGCCTGATGATAAATTAGCTGAAAAGAAGGAAATTATTTTAACCTAGTTTACCATTTTCAGAATAGGTAAATAGAACAAAGAAATATTGCTTCTCAGTTCATCATTCACTCTATTCTTTCATTACCATATCTATGAGTTGAATTTTTCAAATGACACACACACACGATAGTCAACACAATCGAACTCAAAACAAACACTACAAGAAAATAAAATATAGCCTCTGTGAATTAGAATCGAATGATTTACATTCCCAACTTCCAAAAAGTTTATGATTTAGTTCAATTGTCATCCAGTGAAATTAGCAGGCTACCGTTTCATTTTTTAACGTGTTTGCACTAATTAAGAAACTAGTCACTACTGTTATTGCGATCATACTAATACTATTTAGGTAGTTAGTAAAAATTTGTGATGAAAAACTATACTACTATTCTGATTAGATTACCATAATCTGTATGACTGCGAATTCGATCATAGTCAGCTTAAGTGTATACTACCTAGTTCAAAGACTGACCATTTCAGTGATCCGAATTGACACCTTGATGATTTCACCTTTTATAAGGAAAATTTTTTATTTCTTTATGTCTAGTAAAATAGTGAACTTAGTTTTATTTATTCGAGGAAAAAAATCTTTTGAAAATTATTTGCGACTGACCAAAGAAAAATCATCCAACTGCTGTACGTTCACCTTTTCTTTGTGTCTTTCACTTTGTTTTACATTGCACTTCTTTTAGTTTCAAATCATCGTTATCATTGTAATCTTGTCATGGAGAAAGCAAAATCTCACCAACCATGGTTCGGTATTGAACAAGAATATGCTCTACTAGACATCGATGGTTATCCATTACAATGGCCTAAAAATGGTTTCCCTCCACCTCAAGGTAAGTTAACTCATAAGTTTCCACTTTCTGTCAAAACTATTTCCTAATTTAATCTGTTTACGATTGAATTAAAATATAGTTGAACCGGGTAAATTGTCTTAGACATTCCATACTATGTGCGTTTATGCTCTTCTAGTGAAAGTCATACTGTCTGTGTGACAATTAACTTCATCATTATCACCTAATTAAAATAGTCTTTTCATATTGCAACTCCAACCTAAAGCTTTACGGTAACTTGTTGTAAGATGCTAGATGATTAAATTTCGTTTAAGCATCATCAGTTGAAAAATGGTAAAGGCTATCTGGATTCATAATAATGTACTGACATTGTGAATCAAAATATCTGAATAAACCAGCCTAATATGCAAATTAATAAACGAAACCAAATATCGAGGCTTACAGCAGCAAGCTACAACTAACAGTATTATTCAAATGGATCTTAATTCAATAGAAAAAAACAACTGAGTGATAACTCATTGAAACTATTATTTCACAGAATAATTACTTCATTTCAACATCGATCCTGAGGGTTGTAAAAAAAATTCGAGATAATGATAAAAAATCAATAGAAAATAATTGAAGTGTTTACTATTGAATTACTTGAAATAACTATGTTCTTAAATAGAATATAAAATCAAAATTAACGGAAAAGAAACGAAAATAGACTTGAATATTGATCATATGTAGTCTTTTATACGAATTTATCACTCATGAATATCTTTTCAACAATATATATAACGCATAATTTTAGGCATAAAATTAGCCGAATTGTATTTGTGAAATTTCAATTCTTGATCAAAATAAATAGTAACCGTATTGAGATAAATATTACTTCATTGGTTGTTTTCATGTTCACTTTAAAGAATCATAACAGAGCTGTACTTCAATGCTAATTACTTGATTTAGTTAATTTAATAAAACTTTCTTTCTTCCCTCAGTTATTTCCGCCTTATTGTAATCATTCTTTGTAAATTATTCAAGTTTATTTACTGAGTTTATATCGCTTGGGAGAACGTTTGGAAACATGACTATACTGTTTCTCTATAAAGTATATCCATTCAACTTGACTTATAAATGATAATATCTCTTACTTGTTTACTTACGCCTGTTACTCCCAGTGAAGCATAGGCCGCCGACCAGCATTCTCCAATCCACTCTGTCCTGGGCCTTCCTTTCCTGTTCTATCCAATTGTTGTTCATTCTTATCACGTCTGTCTTCATTTCTCGGTGTAATGTGTTCTTTGGTCTTCCTATTTTCCTTTGGCCTTGAGGATTCCATGTGAGGGCTTGTCTTGTGACGCAGTTGGGTGCTTTCCTCAATGTGTGTCCTATCCACTTCCAGCCCTTCTTCCTAATTTCTTCCTCCGCTGGGATCTGGTTGTTTTTGATGGTGTCTGGCCAACGAATCCGAAGTATTTTGCGCAGACAGCTGTTAATAAACACTTGTATCTTCTGGATGATGGTTTCCGTAGTTCTCCAGGTTTCCGCCCCATACAGTAGAACTGTTTTAACATTTGTATTAAATATTCTGACTTTGGTGTTGGCTGACATATCATATCTCTATTGACAGTTAAATCTCCAGACGGTTGATTTATAGATTGAGATATAATAATAATAATAATAATAATAATAATAATAATAATAATAATAATAAAACATCATACTTCACAAAATATCTTTGATTAAATAAATTAAGTAACTACTTCATTGAATTTATTACTCATAAATAGTCCCTCAAAATATATAACTCCTGATTAAAACATTCAATATTATTTGTAGATAATGAAGTCGATAAATTCCAGTAGTTTAGTAATAATTTTGACGTATCAATTTGTTCTTATCTACTCTTTTAATGTTTGTTTATATTAGCAATTTTAATAAAAGCTGATCAATCGCTTACTTTTTTGTTAATATTTCAGTTATTAATACATATGTTGTTGGATTTGAAGTGTCATGATTTACATACGTGAAATTTAGGAAACTTTCAGTTTCATACTTATTTTCTTGTAAAACTTTCAATAGCTTTATAGTAATCTTAGTTAAGCCCCCAAATGCCCTGGTACGACCGAGAGTGGGGAGAGTCCGCTCTCCCTCTCGAAATGCTCTCACATGGTCACGCGTATATAGCCTCTGCCAGGGAAGTCCTACTCACCGCCTTCTCGTGGCGGGGGTGTTGTTTACGAAAATGAGAGGACGAAAAGCGAATGTCCGGCGCTTTAACCGGATTCCAAATCAATGGTGCACATGGGCTCCAGTATCTTGCGGGAACAAATGGCGTATGAACCAATTGTTGGTCACCGGCTGCTATGGGACTGCATCTCCTTACGATGCTCCACTGCCTTGTGGATCAGACCCTCAGGTTGAAGGCTCCGGGTGTGGCCCCCTAAGAAAACCACCTGTTTCGGTTTGGGAACCCGGGCAGTATCAAAGCCCTCACAGATATCGAATGAGATTTGTGTGGCGCATATGTATTTGGTGCCTCTTTGTACAAATATCTATGTGTTGAAACAAATAAATAATCTTAGTTAAGCTAAACTTTCAGCGGTATGATTATATGATAATTCAGAGCTATCAGTTAAAAAATATCTCTATGACAACTTTTCTTTGATGAAAAATGTTAAAACTAGTAAGTTGATCCGTTTTTTAACATTCTATTACATCATTAATGTTTGAGGTGTAATAGTGAAATCCATATAATTAGTTGCGTGCTCAACTACATAGAAATATCTCAATATTGTGGCGAAATTCAAACTGTCTCTTGGTTTGTTACAGATATATTTATTTTTCTAAAAACTAATGACAGTTGTGACCTAATCGATGTATTCTTCTCTCTATTGCTCATTAAATCCTAAGAGTTAAATGTGACCCACTAGTTGCTTGCACTCAACTGAATGTAAGATGAATGAGCTCTCAATAAATGCTTAACCATGTACGCTAGTTTACAAATTTCTTTCATATTGTATGAATTATCTCTCCCAAATTTCTTAGGACCTTATTATTGTTCTGTTGGAGCTGGTAAAGCACTTGGTCGTGATATACCAGAAGCTTTATACAGAGCATGCATGTATGCAGGAGTTAAAATTTGTGGTAGCAATGCAGAAGTTATGCCATCACAAGTAAGAATTTATTTAATAAATGTTATTATCCTTATTATTTGAACAAAAGATGTATTCAGTTAAATGACTTTTTTTCATTTATAGACAGACACTAGTCATAAGCCACTTCTTTTAGTTTAAGATTCCTCTTGTAGACTTGCCGTTATCCGATATTATCAGTAGTTAGATATCTTGATTCTTGATTAGATTGACTGTACATCATACAACGTCCTATAACTTCAATAAATTCACCCTATAGGAAGTCATTGATCAGCTATAAATTAGTATTAAAATGGATAATAAATACTCAGGTAATGTTTAAATTTTTTAGTTCAAAACATAATAGTCATTATACGATCGTAATTAATTGTGTTTCCCAATGAATAAAACTTGTTTAAATGATAAACAACAAATTAGATTATTTGGTTAAGAAGTTTACAAAAAAACATTTCATCATGGGTTAACAGCTGAAAAACGACTAAAAATCAATAAGAAGTGAATAGATAACATCAGTCCATCATAAAAATTATGTTCAAATGGCAGTTATCTTCACATGATACATTGATAAATCGTAATTGTATACCCAGTAATGACTAATTTTAGAATGGATATTTTTTAAAGTTCGAACCATAAGACTATGTGATTTAAAAAGTCAACTAAGTGTAACCTAATGATGAAGATAAGATTAAGTTGTAAATTAGTTAAAATTAAACATGTTATATATTCAATAAAAGACTTAAATATTCTAAATTCAATTGTATATTTCATTGCATATATTATATACATGTACGTATATGTTATCATGAGTGTGCACTGTAAGCGAATTGCAAATCATGATAAAATAGCCACTGAGTACTCCATAATTCGTGTGATTCGTTAACATATAATAATATTAAGATTACAAACCTTTTTTCCCCTTTTTTTGTCTTTCTGTTTTTTTTTGTGTGTAAGAAACTTGTCAAAATACCCTGTGCTGAGAATTCTATATTGTACCAATGTATAATATTGAATAAAGCCATTAATAATAACAATAATAATAATAATAATAATAATAATAATAATAATAATAATAATAATAAGAAGAAGAAGAAGAAGAAGAAGAAGAAGAATGGACCCATAACCATTTTTATTCTTTGATAAATTTATCTTTTTTGAGACTTTATTTGTGGTAATATTCATTTAACAAAAAGAACCCAGTGAATAAAACGATTATTACACTGTGTACTTCATAATATATTTAGTGTTATTTGTTGTTCATTTCATTAGTGAAAAACCTAAAATAGTATCCATTCTATGCTAACTATATTCATGCAATAGTCACCAAAATTTTTCAAATAATATTAAACACACTACAGTGTATTTTATTTCATCTAAACAATAGGATTTTTGTGGTTTCACATTGTTTGTAACAATAACATTCACAAGTAATGACACTGCATTTGTAGGACATGCTATTTGTGATGTCAAGGTTAAAAAAGAAGTAACAGCAGCACCAGTTGAACAAAGAAGATTATCCATTTACAAAAGTGTAATCAAGTTAAGCCTTGATGAAAATAACTAATACGGTTGAAATATTGTACTTGTTTTCGATATCTCGACTTATAACTAACCTTCAGTTTCATCATCAATGGGGAAGTTCTAGAAAGCAGCATTTAACATTGATTTAGTAGATTACAGAAGAGTGGTATCAAGTGTTTTATACAAATCCAGACTTTAAGAGTCATTTAAATCTAATGGTTATTTTTAATGTACCCGTATAAAATGACCTTAAATATGAGTTTTCATTACAATAAATTACAATAAGTAGCTGTTCGTGTTATTACATTCTACACCAAAGTTACCAATGTAGTTAATTTTTATCAAATTTTCAATGTTTACCACTGACAGTCCTTTAATCAATGTCTACTAATTGAAACATGGAAAAAGGTTTCTTCGTGTTTGTAAAGTAATAATTCCATGTGACTGCCTCCCAAAGGATGTTGCTGTTCGATTTCGTTCACTACAAACACACCACTTTAAATGCTAAATCCATGTTCATTAAACCACCGAGCTACGATAGCTACCTATTTTTCAGTGGCTGTGTTTGTATTTACCCACCGGTGATTTGTGATACTAAAATTATAAGTCAGTTTTGGCGAACAAGCTATTTAGATTGATACCCCACTATTACTTCTATTTGTATCATGACGTCTAAGTAGTTATCCATAGTCGGAAAACCAAACAAATTTTACAGTGAAATTTATATCCCATGTGTTTAATTTTCATAGTGGGAATTTCAAGTTGGACCATGTGAAGGTGTCTCAGCCGGTGATCATTTATGGATGGCTAGATTTATATTACATCGTGTAGCTGAAGACTTTGGAGTGATTGTGTCACTAGACCCGAAACCAATGCCTGGTAACTGGAATGGTTCAGGAGCGCATACAAACTATTCAACTCAGGCTATGAGGGATCCAAAATCAGGTTTACAGTAAGAAAAATATTTATTTTTAAGTCTGTACTTAAATGTATTTTTTTTTCAGATGAAACTAGTTAACAAGGTATGATATTTTAAGGAAATTAATTTTAACTTCTATCAGTAAATGAAATTTATTTAGCTTGTATTCATTATTAAGGAGTATGATAAATGAACTTAGTAGTCACATTTAAAAGTACAATATCAAGATAATTAAATCGTCTTCTTAATTTTTCAACTAACTGAAAGCTTTTTATTTTGTTATTGACGTATATCCAGTGAATTATTCTAATTGAATAGACCATTTCATTAACTTTTGATAGGATGAATAAATGTTTTGTCATAAGACTAATAATAAATAAACTTCTAAAAGATTACAGTTTTCACAAAATATTTACTCATCTAAATGAAAATTATATTCTGATTAATATTTAATTTGTTATTCCAATAGTTGAGTTCATGAGTCAGTTGAAGCTAGACCACTATGGAAAACCTGGAAGCACTGGACGGCTGTTCCATCCTATTGTGGGACTCCTCAGCAGTGCGCAATCATGATCTCACCTCGTCAGATTCGAGCCCAGGATCTGTCGGTCTCGCGCGCGAACACTTAATCTCTAGACCTTTGAGCTGGCCAGTATCCAATGGTGTTAATGTCTGACTACAACTAATCCAGGAAATTGAGTGACACGTTCACCATTGTCTACATAAAAATACAGTAAACAGTGGTAGACGGATTGCTGTTGAATCGTTTAATAGCATGACAAACTATTTCATGAAATCACTACCATGTAGAAGTTTGTTTTAAGGTCCAAAGTAGAAAAAAATTATTTTATCGGTCTACAACCTTAAATATTGCTTTCTTCCAATCTAGTACTTCATGAAATAATTCCATGTTGTTACTTTTTACTAATATGGTATACTAAGTTAGTGAAATAACGAATACTATTATTTATCAATCCACTAATTTGACAGTATGTTTTCTTTAAAGGAGAAAACATTTTAATGACTAAATTATTTCAGTAACTCAACATGGGCTTGTCTGTAATGCTACTCTGTTTCATCGTTGACGTGACTAGTTGAGATCGCCATTTAATAATTTAAATATCTCGCATATTGTTCACACATCACTTCATCAGCAAAACATATGATTTTCATGTGATGAAGAAATCATAATTACTGGTCAGATATTGGATAACAGTCAATTTTATTTTTTCCAGACGTTAGTGACACTGGTAAATGAGTTTATAATATGACCAATAACTGAATTGACATTACAATGGATTTCGTTTAACGTCACATGTTTTTAAGAAAAAATGTTATTAACAACTGTTTCATGTATAACAAGTTAAACAATATCCAGTTTTTTGATGACATGAATTCCGACAATAGAATTAAAAGTCAACAATTTAGAAATACGATCATTTCAAATAAACACTGTTATCTCAAGCAGAGATGGACGGTGGCTAACAATTGAATCCATGACGCGCGTTTCGTTCTATGTGGGACTCGTCAGTTGAATGTACTTGCAATATTGAGGCAATCCGCACAGGATGCACATATTCCAAAAGAGATTGATCAATTGCAGTCGTAAACATTAACAGGAGGATCCGAACAACCAATATATGAATTAATACTAAAATATTGAGATTATTTAAATGTGTAATGACTGGGGCTGTGCTATTCCACAGTATATATCATTTGTCTGGTAAAATAGGGAGGGTCTTGTGACCTAAAGTAACGAACTTAACCTTCTTAAATAAACATTATTTAAACGGAGCTAGATATTTGCTAAAAGCGGAAGCTAGGACGTACGTTCCATCCTATGTTGAACTCGTCACCTGGATCTATCTCCATTTACGTGTTGATTTTCACACCAAAACCAGAAAATTCTTGTCGAACTAGACAAATGGGAAGATAACAAAGACAAAGATACTACTGAAACACATTACGAATCATACCGCGTTAAATAATAAGCCATTATTACCAGAATAGTTTACATGTGGTTCATATATAAATGTCTTAGCACGAGAATATATTGAGTCAACAATATGTTACGTATTTCTGACCAACTTAGTCGTCTCACCACACCACCCTAATTCACCAAAGTGTTTAACTAATTTAAAGCACTTATCAGCTTAATTTTGCCAAATGTAAATCATGAAGCTAATAAAATATATTTCCAGTTATGGTTATTATTTAAACATACGAACCAATTACATGCTTTTGGGAGGTGAAGGTCGTTTCCTTCTATCACGTGACCTGACCTATTTCAAAAGACAAACGATGGATATTTTATAAAAGTACAACTTAAATCAAATAGGGATCATCAGTTTAGTAACCAATGTGATTGAAGTGTATGCATTAGGAATATTCTTAAAATATTCAATTAAAATAGTGTATCATCCACTAAAGTGTCGTCTAAACAAAAATTTCGATCATTGATCGAAATTTATTAGTACTAGCAAAATTCTGAGGAGTGTAACTAAATATTTCATTCCAATTTTCATTTCCTTCATTTTGTACAGGTCCTTAGCTAAAACATCATAACATGTGGTCTACAGTACCATTTGGTCGGTGAATGCGTAGTTTTCAGCCTCAGTAAATTAATAACGTAATTTGCTTGATGTCTTGTTCTACTAGTTGGTCCCAACTCATAGTGTTTCTAAACAAATTTTATTAAATCCATCTGTTAACAAGTCACTAATCATCTCAATAATCTTATGAGATTGATGATATACGACGTCGAAAGTAGGACTTAGATGAAAATATTATCACTTCAGTACTCTCTAGTTTTTGACAGGTAAAATTAGTTATCACTGAATACAAACCGTCTATCAAATGATTTTTTGGTCTAACCAAAAATGTTCACACAGTGAATAAAGTACAAACAAAACGGTTCACTCCTTGATTAACTTCAGAAATATAGAATTTCAAAAAAAACAGTATATTGGTTTGATTACAGTTAAAATGGAGAGTTATCTTCGGCAAACAAGAAATACATATCGTGTTTGCTTCATCAAGCATTATTGATTCTAGATTCCTGAAATAAGTTGACTTACTAGTAACATAGATAATAAATAAATTAATATAAATGTAATATCCCAATGTGTAAAAAAACTAAATTTTCTGACGTTTCGTGACTCATTGTAAGCCACTTCCTCAGAGAATAAATAATTAAATCACAATTAATCCAAGTCACGAAACGTCAGAAAATTTAATTTTTCTACTCATTAGGATATTACAATTATATTAATTTATTTATAACAATCTATCCAATGCTCAATTTATTCGAAATTATCAAGTCAAACCTTCGTAATGATACCTATAACATAGATAGTGTTTTTCACAACACACTACAAGTTTTCACGAAAAGGTATCAGAATGTCTAAAAATTTCACACTTCATTACTATAAACATTTAAAAAAATTACAATGAATAGAAATGAATAAGTTATTACAAGAAAATCACACTGGTATTATTATTATTATTATTATTATTATTATTATTATTATTATTATTATTGTTTTATTTAGAGCAATCGAAGATGCTATTGAAAAACTATCACATAAACACATGGAACACATTCAATGCTATGATCCTAAACATGGTTTAGACAATCAAAGACGTTTGACTGGTAATCATGAAACAAGCAGTATTAATGATTTTTCATCTGGTAAGTTAGTATCCCCAAAGAAATTTTGTTCTTAATGTTCTACAACTTTTTCAAGCAATAGATGATATCACCATGTATGTAGTATTTAAAGTTTACAATATACAGATGAAATCTATTAAAAACACGTAGTTCAGCGAAGGGATCTCTTTTCAACGAATTTATTATCAAGCTGTGTAATCATATATATATTGAAACTTTTTTGTTAGGAATTGTGAACACGAATAAACAAGATGACGTAATAGAAAGACTATAATACTAGATTACGTAATACGAATAATAACGATAGACTTAGTAAGTTAGTAACGAATTATAACGTGAATGTATTAAGATGATTAAAATGTTTTTGTTACAATAATTAAAGGTCATTAAAGGTCATAGTTGTGTAAAAAAGTGATATGATGAGCATTTATGAATAAAATAATGAGAATATGAGACATAAGTAAAAGGCCAAGGTAACGATAGGACAATAGGAATGCGAGTTCTTCATTCCGTATTACATATCCGATGTATTCGATGACATAAAGAGTGAATGAGATTTCTCTTTCTGCAACTAGTACTTTAACGAAAAAAATTTCATATATATACGATTGCACAGCTTGATAATAAATTCGTTGAAAAGAGATCCCTTTGCTGAACTTTGTGTTTTTAATGTTTAAATGGGAATTATCTGTCGAAATCTACTAAGACTAGTTATAATGAAAAAATATTTATCATAAACAGTAATCTGTGTTTAGGTTCAGAGTTATTGATCGAAATGAAACAGATGTTGATCTCTCCTTAACATTGAGAATTTTATAAACAAACTTAAATGCGGTTGTAAAATCAACCTTCAATTTTATAGAATCACTAATGACTGGAGTTATGTTATAGACCTAACATAATTATTGACTTGAGAAAAACATCTTATAAATAATTTGCAATCAGTAGTTCTATGGTAACGTTTTACTAACTACTTTACTATGCTTTATTGATTTTTACAAATTCCTAAATAACCATTCATAATAAAGCCTGGTCACATTCTGTGTAGGATTAACCGTTCATTGCTCCAGCTGTGAGACAAATTGTCCATCATTTAAAAAAAAAATTATTTGATTCAATTTTCACTCATTAACTCTATTGGAAAAATTGAAATAATGACAAGAAGTTTGTTTCATGTGGGTAGATAAATAACATTCGATTGTCGTACACATATTATGTTTAATTTACACATTCAATCATAAAGTTCTATCATTTCCTTCAGTATTCTGATGATGATTATCAGCATCACGTTAGTATCATTTTAAACTCCACTCAACTGACTTTGTCGCTCAAAAATATACACAGTTTAGGATAGTGTCGAACTTATTGGTTGAAAGACCAAATATATTAAGCCTGTTTATATTTCAATTGAGATCAAATAGCTATATCATCCAATTTGGTTAGCAAGTACACATTCGTGTACACGGCTTCGTGCAAAATTTTTCATATAAGGGTTAGTGATATTATCCTCGAATATTCATCCTGTTCTAAAAGGGCAGAAATATTTTTCCTTTCTGAGTAAATTATGTAGTTTGAATTGTTTCATACGTGTGAAAACTCCTGCTTCTTATTTAACTGAATTAAATTTTCAGTCAAATTATATGAGAATTAGTTTTTATATTAATATCTGTTTTTATGTTTTTATTTAAATCCATTTTGTGAGTGCGCTGATTTGCACTTCATGGGCAAGACGGTTCACTTGTGTAATTGTTTTCTCACACGATAGATTACTTTTAAAATTCAGTGCTTATTCTTTTCGGGTTCTACCAATACTGTTTTCTGCCTTCGTCCACTTCCTTAACACAACAGTCCAGACTAAACGTTGTTGTGGTAGATGAAGACACCTCTATTTTTTCGAGTATGGGAAGCAATGTGAAAACTGTAACAATTGGTATCCTCATGTTTGCACTAGATTTCCCCTGAACTTGTATAAGAGTTGTTGCAGGTCACAACCATAATGACTGTACAAAATACACTGTCCTATAACGTTTCTGTTGATACTTGAAGTAATAAAGCTACTGAATCTAGCTAGGAAACTTCTCACAGATGAATAGTAAGTTACAGAAAATACGGAATAACTGATCGATCTGGAGAATATATTGAGCATCCAGATAGAACCATAGTAAAACACTTCTAGAACATAGAGATCGATTAATGTACCAATTTACGGAAGGCTTTTAGGAAAAATATTAAACGCTCAGAGAAAAACGGTGTAATACAACAGCAACCCAGTGAAAACCATGCATTAGCATAGCCCGTGCGATGCAGAAGAAACATGGTAAGGTCAATGAATGGTTAAAAGCAACGTCCGGAAAAGCAACTAGGAGAAGCAAATATGAAGCCCAGTCATCTGTTATCAAACCAGTTTGCAAAGGAGAAAAGGGTTTGAGCTAAGGAATCCCAGTTCTCAGTACTAAATCATATTTCTCTAAGGAGTCAGTCATCTTGCATAAGCTGAAAGAATCCCGAAAAAGATCCAAAGGTAAGTTTAAAGGCAACCTGAACTACAATAAATATCTAACATTCAAACTAATTCCGGATACAATAAAGGGAGTTTGTATACGCAAATTATTCAGCATAAGATAGAAATTGTATTCAGAAAGTCTTCAGGCAAAACAAATTTTTAAAATTCCTTTGGCATCCACTGAGGAGTAAAGTTTATTAAAGAATCCCCCCACAAACTGCGTTTATCTAAACTTTAGGTCCACTCCGACTTCTGGCTGGCTTATCTCAATAAGAGACGATCTGCAGGAATAGAAATAGAGGGATATCGTCAAAGTGATGGTGAAAACCTTAAACCAAAGAGTCTTTGAATCGAAAAAGTCGGGAGCAAACGGATCCTTAAACCACTCCAAGTGGCACTGGAAAGTACTCCACAGAAATAATGGTTTGTTAAACAAACATTCCCAGACTGCTGAATGAAATAACAGAGCTCACAAACAATGGAAACACAAAATTTTGATATCTTCTTCATTTCATATATTTGGCTAATATCAAAAGTAAGTAATAGCGAAATTCAGTCGTTTAGTTTTTTTACTTTGTAGAACCAACAGACTAAGCCATAGAGGAGATGGTGTTATCCTGTGTTTGAAGAACGCTTTAAGTAATCGAGTTGCCGAGACCGCGGTATACGATTTAGACACGTACGAATTAATGCGGTCTAGAATAAAATGTAGAGGAGATTATATCGAACTAGTTTTGTGTATCAGCTCTCAATCCGCAGCAGACGATTTTCATTTTATAAACTATTTCTAGTCAAACAAGTACAGAAACCTTTGGCAGCTGACTTGGGTTGAATTAAAGGCGGAATTATTAACAAACTCGTTTGATTACAAATAGCTGGAAACTACATACTCATTAACTTTAGTCCAGTGCACTATAGAACCCACTGGATATGAAATACAACACTCTCCTTTTGTTCTGGGCCTAAGTTTTGCTAACAGAGACAGTGCTAGTTAAATTAAATGGCTACGCTGTCGTAATATTTGCGTCAAATGTTGCTATAGCCTACCAAGCAGACTTGCGATCCCCCCTAATATACGGAATGGGAGACGTAAATGACTTTAGTCCTATTTCGTTATAAACTCGGAGTAATAGTTCTTCATGACCTAAAGACCACGGCTCACTGTCGTTTTTAATACACTACTTTATTTCGACTTCATTTCTTATGAGTTTTCTGTAACCATAATGTTATTATTTCGTCTTATATAGGTGTTGCAAATAGAGGCAGTAGTATACGTATTCCAAGACAAGTTGCTGAAAATGGTTGTGGTTATTTGGAAGATAGACGTCCGTCATCCAATTGTGATCCATACATGGTCACCAGAATGTTAGTAGAAACAACATGTCTTTAATTATTATTACCATTATTTATAAAATAATGAAGAACTAATGCACAATAAATAAATCAATTTTTTTTTAAAAACATAATGTTACCAAATAATCTCGAATGTTTCCATATAATCACTTCATTTTGTTAATGGTTACAATAAATTTAAAAACTGTATTTACATAATTTTGATAACCGTTGTCATCATCATTAATTTTTCTTCATTGTTTACGAAGTTATCATCGTCATCAAAAGCAAATGCAAGAGCAGTATTGTCGTTATTATTGACTTTTCAGTGGTCGAACAATTTTTATTTTCTAGTATTTTCTATCATACAAATTTATAGTTTACTTAGTAAATTAATCATTGTCCCAGTTACTGCTTAATTATTGAACCATTCACAATAAAGGTATTAAGAAATGTTGAATATTGATTAGTTTTTTTAAACAAATAAACACATACACCATCTTTTCTGTTTGTTGTTTTACATCACTTGCCATTTAAATCTATCGTTTGTGATTTATATAAAAAAATCGTTTTATTTTATATTTTAAAAAGTTATGAATAAAAAAACACTAAGAAACAAACTATGAAATCTAATCGTTTCTTGATCTCAATTCTATAACAAACCTTAATTTGAAGCAAAGATAGATAGTTGCTAGCAGTGGAATCCAGGACGCGCGTTTTGGCAGCTGGATGTCTTAAATAACAATGGGTAGATACAAGTAACACAACATCAAGTGAATTTAAACCGTAGTGTGGAACATGATATCCATTGGAACCTGATATCAGTTGAAGAATCGTTGAAAACAGCAGAGTACTGTACTGGACAGTTATTCTATTTTAATTCCGGGCATTTCAACAGCTTACACTACTTTACTTAAAAATAATTAGTAGTAGTAGTAGCAGTGGTAATAGTAGTGAGTTATTCAATACTGTGTTTAAATACAGTAGGGAATGTTCAATATAAAATAATTCAGTACATACATTTTACATGAGATGCTTACATGGAAAAATTCAACGTGTTGAATGTTAATAATACCGGTACGTCTTTATGGGAATAATAAATATCTATGTTTGGTCACAAAATTAATGTAAACATTGTGGTTTTTTAAGCTTTTTCGTTTCATAGCATGAATGTTAGTATGAGATATTGGGCATGAATCCTAATTTACTTGCTACTATTCTACCATGAGATATACAATTAGAAATATACAAATTGAATGGCTCTTCTTTCCAAGTAAAACATTATTGACCAATTCATTTGCAGAACTCCATTTCGTGTCGACGGTCACAGTTAAACTGAAGAGTCTAACTTTAATCATACGGTTAGCATACAATGTACTTCTCAATGCAGCATAGTCCTTGTTCAGAAAGTTAATAAAAAATAAGAGGTTTGAACTCCATCAGTCAGAGCTTCTCATTAGAACTTCGGTACATTTTCTCAAACTAATCTTCGCAACCAACTGAATTTATTTATGAAATAGATGAATTACATCTGGTAATGAAATCGAGGACTTATGTTTCATTCTCGTCAACTGAATGTACCCTCATCGCAGTATTGATATTTATATCAGGAACAAAATAAATAAAACACATGTCTATATGTGAAAAAGCATTGATACTTTCTTTTCTCTTACTTTCAAATGAAAAAAGCAAAAACGGTAGCCCAATTCAATGGTATTATTTGTGATAATATAATCTATGGACGATATCAGTCATACACTAATTATTAAGAAATGAGATATAGTACAATGAAATTTTTCCAATAGATTTATTTTCGAGTCATAGTATGTATATTCAAAGAGTTATCTTCCATAAGGAACAATTAATGGTAACAGTAGACAGAAAATTTAAACTATAAATTCATCCGTTTATTATTTTTCAGTCATTTCCAACCACCAGAAAAGTGTTATTAATAGATAGTGTTAAAGGTTTCTCATAAAGCTTAGAATTCTGATGAATGACTTTTACATCCATTTAAACTGAGTAATAATAACAATAATATTTTACTTCTCTAAGAGTAAATCATCTATGACGTTATCTATCTAGTACTTATACTGGCGAAAACAAAAAGCTCATAGAAATCAAATAATGTTCTTTAAAAAGGAACAGTCCAGAATGTTCTGAACTTTGGAATATTTGTATGAAAGTTGTACTTTTTTAGTAACAAAGAATAACGTCAATGAATACTTGGCTACATTAGATGTCTATAATTATATTCTGTAAAACGTTATGAAATCTGGTGTATGCAAGATAATTAACCTTCGACACTGTGTTTATCAAAGAGTATTCAATGGCACAAGCCTTATGGGGTCCAACATGGTGTTTAGATGCTGTTCATATCTCAGGATAAAGTTAACAACTTGACATTTAGACGGATTAAGTATGAGACCATTACCAACAGACCAACAATTAATACCAGACAAAAACTCATTCTTTTCTATGGGATGTAAAGAGGAAAAGATAGGCATGCATACAGTGAGATCATCCACATATTTCACAAAAGTGTTTTCTGTGGAAGATGGCAGATCATGAAGAAAAAAGAAGTAAAAGAACAGCTCCTTGTGGTACACCTTCATGAGACAGTAGAGACTCTAAACACTTTCCCCCAAATACAGCGTACTGTTCTCTTCCAGAGAAGTAGGAACATAGCCAATTATTTATCCAGATGTCAGTGTTGACGCTGATTAACTTGTTAGGTAAAAGTTGTCTTGGGATAGAATCAAAGGCAGAAGTATAGTCTAGAAAAGCACATCAAACATACTTCTTACCCTTTACCAAGCTGAACACTATATTTTGATGCAGAACAGCAACGGCATCTAGGGTGCTTCTTTTGCATTTGTGAGAAAACTGATACGGATCAATGTGCTCTTTTAGTGCAGGTTGAAGTAGGAGTATCAATAATTTTTCTGTTATTTTGATGAAAGATGAAGTTATTTCTATGGGTTTAAATTTCACATTCTTATCACTAGATAGTTTCTTAGGTATAGGGATTATCTTTCTCCACATTTTCAGTTTGAGATTAGTTGAGAAGGATCTGTTAAAGATACTCATGAATAAATAACATAGAACGCCAGCACATCTTTTAAAAAGGAGGTTTAGGTTACCATCAAGTTCTAAACATTGAGATAAATCTAGAGGGTTATGATAATGAATGAACCTACGTTAAATCTGTCCAGTAAACTTTCATCAGAAAGTACCAAATCATAAACTTTTCACCACTCCGTTTCGTCTCATCAGTCTCAAAGTTATCATTAATCATCTGATATAACAATTACTTGAGTAAAATTTATAAAACACATTTAATACAATAGTGAAGATGCTATCGGATGAGATCAATTGTCAAGAACGCTATCCAACATACCATACACAATTACTATCTGACAACTACTCAAAAAATGTTCTCATTGTTTATAAGCTATCTTTATAAGACATTTATGTTTGAGCATCAAAAATCCTTGATTTAAATGTAGGAATCTTTATTTAGTTTAATAATAATGGTTAGAACTGTAAACATAATATGGTTTTCAAAACATAAATAGAATTGACGTACGATTTATTGGTTGTTGTATTTTTTTCACACATTTCTCTTTTTTTATTGTGTAATAACGTAAACAACTTACTTTTGATAAACAATACGATTATAACCAATATACACACTTTGTAATTTGTAATTATAAATCTTGTAAGAAAAAAATAATTTATTATTCACTACATTTATGCTTAATTACTTGACTAATGTAAATAAATTTCAAAGTGTCAAAATATACAACTTTGTATCTACTTCATGTGGGTTTAGCTTCATACATTAAGATTAGCTGTCATTTTTTCCCAAAGGAAATTCATTTTCACAAACCTTCCATTAATATGTTGTTGACATTGGGAAATTCGTGCTTATTTCTCTATTCTAGCACTGATAAAGATGAAACTGTTGGTTAATATTGATATGCGTTATCTAGTGGAAGTTTCATCGAAATACTATACTTTTTAGCTAGAACCATGAGGTTATTAACCGATGATCTGTGCATTGGTATGGACTGATATTTGCAAAAGGAACGGTCAAGTTTGAAACGATGGATTGATATTTTGCAAATAAACTATTTACATTATGGTTCTCAGATTTTATTGAGATGCTCTGTAATTTCTTTTCAAATACACTCGATTGTACTCACTCGTGTTCTTGTTCACTACGGTGGGACGTAGAACTTGTATTTCACCCTACATAAGATTTCTAACTCAAGCTTAATTGTATTCTACAGTGTTAAATAAATGTTGATGAATGAATAAAATTCAGCTGTTATAGTTGATTACTTTAAGTGGACAGTTTCCCCAGAGTATGAAGTAGTGTGTTGATTACTAATGTTAGTGGAAACAACGGGATAAAGATACAATTTTGCGATAAATTTTGAAAAACTAATGCGTAGTCTTTACTGAATACTGTTAAAATATAATCAATATTCATATCAAGTCTTTGATATGAATGAATGTGGATACCGATAATAGGATGAGACGACTGTTTGGTGCTTCCTGGTTTGTCGTGGTATTGTGACTATGGTCAGTTTGTGATACAAACTATGGAAATATACATTTTCAAATAACTTAGTTTGATTACTTACGTTACTTCTATACTTCGTTCATCAAATTTCGTGGTGTGAAAAAGAATGAGAATTTTTTTGATGCAACTTTCTCGAATAGTTTAAGGTAAAAATGAATTTTATTTCGATACGGATTAGCGTAATCACGAAACAATTGATTTGGAAAGGAACTTGACTTCAATCATTCAAAACAACTTTTATTCATGTCATAACTATATTGATGGCTTAGTTTTAGTAAAAAGTTAAGAATAGAATACCTGGATCACTATGTCAGTCAGCGATATTAATAAACTTAGATCTACAATTAATGACAAAACGTACTATATTTTATGAACTTATAAGTCATGAAAAACATTGATCTGTATGCACCATGAATAGAACAAAGCTGTGTTTCGTCAATCTTCAGTATAATCCGTACAATTTAATCTGAAAGCCTGTCGGAAATTACAAGTGATTAGTCACTGAGAAGTGACCAATTTCATGTCTTTCAGGTCCATCTTAGTGCTGATTGAATTCTATCGATCAAGTTGCAATGTTGCCACTATTTCAGGTAACTCGAAATCGTATGTACCATGTTGAGATGTAAAGTGGGGGTAACGTCTCTGAATGTGAAGTTGGGTGACAAGAGATCTAATACTTCCAGAGAGCATTAGATCCCCAAAGATTACAGGTATACCCTTCTGACTAGTGTCAAACAGCATGGAACCTAGATCCAGGGTCTTCTGTTGACCACCTTCAACAGCTACCTGAAGATGACTGAATTTTAAATTGTCGCTTTTAGGTTGTTGTATTACAAAATACAGAATTTTCGCTGCCACCGAGAACGTGGAAACATCAGATAGATATGCTTTCCCAACACAGGATTCCTCAGCAATCCGTATTCCCGACCCTATCAGGGACCAAACTCAACACCTTCGGTCTCACGACAGACACCTAACTTCAGGGCCATTAAGCCAGCATGTAATATTGATAGACCATAGAAATAGTGATCATAATTTAGATGATTTTTAACCACTTATTTTTGATGTTCACTATCTCTTCATAATTTACTTAAATTATCGGTTGTACTGGATCGACACATTATATATTCTTTTACAATCTGATGTCTGCTGAATTAGAATAGAACACCTGTCCAGTACTATCTGATGACAGTTTGTCATGAAAAATGTTTTCACATTGCGAAAAATTCGCAAAAATACGAGAGTAAATTATACAGTATTTTTGTAACATTGTAACCATTAGAATGTTAGTTTAGTTCTATTTGACCTCATTATTTATCAGATGAATGGTTCTGATAAATATAATCATGTGCTTACACTGTTTCATATAAATATTTATTTTAAATGTAAACAGAGGTCATTTAGAAAGGTTAAATTCAAATATATGAAATTGGCCGAAAAATAACAGTATTGTGCAACCGCTGTATATGTGCAACGACTAACCCATATCTAAAGTTCGTTTAGACACGTAGTGATATGAGTGAATGTCCCAACAACCATAAACTTTGCGAAACTAAACGATCAATTTTTAACAAATTATTACGGAAGCATACTTTCACTTATGACCTGTATCAATCAGAATGATATTTCGCAAAGGGAAGTTCTTTCGAAATACTATACTTTTTAGCTAGAACCATGAGGTTATTAACCGTTGACCTTTTTATTTGTATACAGAAGCATTACTAAGCTATATTCAGCTGTTATTATATTTCTCATTTTCATTTATGTTCAGGGAATTTTTTTAGACTGTAGAATTTTCATATTCTAATTCTTGTATTCCTTGTGAGAATCCGTGACCAGTTGTGTTCATTACGTTTCGAGTTTGAGATTGTGATCTATCGTATGCAACGGTTAACGGTTGCGAGATCCTGAATATGCACGTCTGAGTGATGGAACGGCATTCCATAGCATTCATTTGTAAAAGATTTAAACTATACGAAACAAAATGAATTCACATATAATGTTCGTTATTTTTGTTTTACAAAACATTTCGCCAGTGTAAAAATTTAAATGTGCCACATTGGAGAAAAATTTTTTGACGGTGTTGTTTTTGGGATGAACAACTTGAAAGAATGCAAATAATATAGTTGAGTGATGATTACTCACAAATCTGAATTATGAAAGTGAGTAGTCTACAGTAATCGGATTATTAAGCTATTATTTCGTCAGCAAGACATGAATTGTGTTACGTGACAAAACGACATAATTATATATTAAAATGTTTAGCGTAGAAACAAACAAGATTAAAATTCATTGAAAAAAAAATAATAATTACAAGATTCAGATTCTTACATAATTTACACGTGTATAAAATTAAAGTATGGTGATTAAGCCTACTTATTCCCTACTATATTAAGACTAATAGTTATTATAACAACCATTTGCAGAGCAATATATTCCTGAAATTTAATTTTACTGTCATTTGAAATGAACAGAAGTCATTTTACTTTAAATACTGAAAGTTTTTTTTGTCAATTAATCATTCTGTTGAGCTTCCTTAAGTCATTAAATTCCTCGAGCCATTTTCGACTGTAAATTTTGTTTTCACTATGATTATCATAGATTAGATTTTTAAAAAACACATCGTATTTTGACCAACATACTATTAAAAACATAGTGATCAATATAGGTGTCATTACCAAGGTTTGATTTGATAATTTCGAATAAATTGAGCATTGGGTTGATTGTTATAAATAAAAATAATATATTTGTAATATCCCAATGAGTAGAAAATTGGATTTTCTGACGTTTCGTGACTTAGTGTAAGTCACTTCTTCAGAGAACAAATAACCAAATTAAAATTCATCCAAGTTTAAAGAGTACAACGGAACAATGCAAGAATAATATTGGAATATTGGAATAATATTGTTCTCTGAAGAAGTGACTTAAACTAAATCACGAAACGTCAGAAAATCCAATTTTCTACTCATTGGGATATTACAAATATATTATTTTTATTTATAGTGATCAATAGTTTATTGTGTTTGTTGACTGATCTACTATAGTAAATTGATAACAATACTTTCATATAAATTCAGTTACTAGATTCAATAAGTGATGAATACATTAAAAGTTACTGAGTTCATCCGTTTAAATAATCTTGAAAATCTACCTCCAAATTAGTGATTTATAAGTAAACTATCATTTATTATAGTGGTTTCATAGAAATGAAATATAATGTGAAAATAATTTTCATTGCGAAAGATTGCTTCATATCCTGTCTGAATTAAATGAGCTAAAATGGAGTTGTTAACAGTTTTAACTACACCTTTGATTAACCACACTGGGAGGTGCTCACGAGCCCGAATATACAAATTCCTCGAACATCTACCAATATAACTTGTTCAATAAAAGCAGTTGAATTGATAGATACAGAAAGAAGTGGTTAGTCTAGGCAATTTATCTTTGAATCTTGGAGTGATCAATGGACATGTGGAAAACATTAATTGTAGTTTACCTGAATTAAAAGTTCTTTAGGTTGATCTACTGAAAAGAATTCAACGAATGTTTCATTTCATTTCCTTGAAAGAAGTATCCGAGACTAAGAAAGGTTATTATTTATATCATCATTATTATTTTGAAATACTTACTTATTTTTATTGAATCAATCTTAAAAACTATTTCTAAGAACAATTAATATTTAAAAATAAAAATAATCACATGGGTGGCAGTTTATATTGGATATTGTGTAATGGTATCATAAATTATTATTTATGTAGAAAACTTATAATGATATTATCGTTAGAAAATGGGTTTTTATTAAATGAATCGTTGGAAAAGAAAATATTCCCAGATCACAGGATGATCACAATAAAATGGTAAATGTTTCTTTTTTTTTCAGAAATGTTTCATACTATTTTAAATGATATCAATAGTAGTAGTTAGCATTAAATTGTTTCCATTGATTTTAATACTTTAACATTGCCTAATGCTTCTGTTACAATTATTCGTTTACGTTGTATATCTGTAGTAATAGCCATTGGATGCCATATTGAATGTGTACCCTTTTCAGCAATCGGTTTCAATGATGATAAATTAATAGAAGTGATTTTATGTCCATTAACATTGATTTGATTCAATCCATTGGTTTGTTTTGTTGATCTATTGAAATCATTTGTCAGAATAGTATTATCATTTTCATTGATATGTTTAATTTGACATGATTGTATACGGTGATTAACATGATCAGCAATTAGAAATGATCTAGTCCATGGAGCATAGCATATTCCATATGGTTGTAAAATCTTTACAGAATAAAAATGACAAAAGAATACAACATAAAGAATGAAGTAAAACATTAAAAAGATCAATAAATTATTACTTATAAAACGTTTTAAAGATTTTAAAATGTGTTTTAATGCACTGAATTGCTTTATGTATAGATCAGTACAAACTATTAGCATTAAAGTGTTGAAATTCTACATTTTATTCTGTTAAATAATCACAAACGTAATTTGCTTCTTTGTTTCATATTGTTTTATCATTACAATCCTCTTTTAAAGGTAATATATTTGTCCAGAGGAGTTAAGTTCTTCACTTATAATTAGTTTCACTTAATATATTATTGTTATTATCATTACTATCTGTAAATTTGATTTTTAGAAACAAAAATGCCAATGTAAAATCTTTGCTCCATGGTATTCAAGTTTATTTTATCCAATTCTTAAAGTTGATCAAGTTTTATAGATTACGTTGTTATATGAACATTATGTTAAGTGACTAGTTAAAACAAAACGCCATGTATTGGATGACTTTGAAAAAAATTAATGGTAGTTTCCAACATGAAGTCATATTAACTAGAGAAAGATTGGGAACTAGAGTGTTCTAGATAACTAACCTGTCAAAGCGTTTAAAAATTTAGTATAATTTATCAAGTGAACTTACTTCCATGCATCCCATTAAATATCAGCTTTCATGATCATAATCATAATTACCGTTAACTTAATATGTATTTTTACTTAAATAATGCAGTAGTTTTGGATCGTTCACTCATTGTAACTCAAATAATGAGATATAAATCTGGAGCTACTGTTTAAACTATACATTTTAATATCTACAAACACGGAAAAATAATATCAGAAGGGGTTTTTGTAAACATTACAGTATAAGAAGGGGTTTTGTGGATATTATAGTAATTTCAGTAGTTGAGATCGTGAGTTAATTGAAGCTAAACCAAAATGGAAAGCCTGAAAGCACTGAACAGCCTTTTCGTCCTATTGTGGGACTCCTCAGCAGTGAGCATCCACGATACTGCCTCGCGAGATTCGAACCCAGGACCTATCAGTTCCACAGTCTCTAAACCACTGAGCCAGCATCCAACGGTGTTAATGTCTAACCTCAACCAATACACACAATTGAGTGACACATCCATCATTGTCTTCAGTGAGTGGAGATAGATCCTTAGAACTAGTGACTGGCTTCAAGAGAAATTTCCTAGAGTTCTAGTGAGAAACAGGGAACAGTGGAGTTCAACCGGGTCTGTTGTGAGTTAGTGACTCACTGAAGACAATAGTGAATGTGTCACTCAATTTTGTGGATTAATTGATGCTAGACATTAACACAGTTGGATGCCGGTCAGCTTAGTGGTTTAGAGGTTGGGCGCTCCCGTGCGAGACCGATAAGTCCTGGGTTCAAATCTCACGAGATTGGATCATGGTTGCGCACTGCTGAGGAGTCCCGCAATAGGACGGAATGGCCGTCCAGTGCTTCCAGGTTTTCCATGATTGTCTAGCTTCAATTGACTCATGATTTCAACTATTGATATTATATTAATTTAATAGTTGAGATCATGAGTCAATTGAAGCTAGACCACCATTGAAAGCCCGAAAGCACTGGACTGATGGAAAAATAACTAAATAAATTTTTCTATATTTTACGACCAGTATCATTATGTTTCGCGACACAAACCAATATCAATGATCTAAAAAACTGTTGGGATATTGTTAACTGATCTACTGGTATATATATCAACAATGGCACTTAACGATGACTTAGATAGACGACAATTTAAGGATTTTAATCTGTTGTTTGTGTTAAAATCAACAATCAAGAGTTAATCTGGTCTGAAGACTGTGCACACGAACAAATTGAGAGGGCAACAAACTTGTTGTGTTAGATCAAGTTCTGTCTTAATGGTGGTGACTAAAAGTATGCGGAAATGTTCATTCACTGTTGGCCGTTAGCTAGCACTTACTTATTCACAGTAGAGATACTATGTTCAGTTGAAAATCAAATGTATTTTGGGTCAAAACAGAGATGTTTTGGTAAATTATTTATTTATTATCTTCGTATACTGAATGTATGACCCATAAAGTTTATGATCAAATACTTGATTTGTTTTTAACATATCGGATTTGATCGTTCTGTCATGTGATCGAAAATACAAAGGAACAACCTTGAAAATGAAAGCAAATAAATGTTTTGTTGACATGTACAACCAATCATGGTTCACTTATATAAAAAATGGTAGGCGAATTTTAGAACATATGACGTATATCCACCTGATAACTTATTTATTGCATTCTATTGTTTGTTTTCTTTTACAACCTTGAAATAGTCATATTTATTTTGAATAAGAAAGATTGTTTCAACGAAGAGTTCCCTTTTGTGTGGATTTATTTCCAAAGCAAATATATATACTTATTTTTCAGGATGATAATTACAATAATAATGTTAATAAACTTCTGTTGCACATGGTAACTGTGAGGTAGAATAAACAAAGGTATTCAAAAAAAATTTAAACTGGGAAACTAAGAACAGTTTGACTGTTAACGGCTTAAATGTTCATAATAAAAACAGATAGGGTTGGCTCATCATGATAAGATGAAATGTTGAGATTGAGATTAAATGTAATCATGAGGATAATAGAAACAGAAATAAACCAGTTGGGGGGTAGAAGGTTTAAGGAGAAGATGGAAGGAGAAGCAGGTGGCTGTAAAGAAAGAAGAGTTTGAAGAAAAAAATAAGAAAAAATTATAAGACATTAAGACCATGGTAGAAGAAGAGGTTGTACCAATCTCTTCTGGACACATAACTCTGGTTTCCCCAGATATATGGCTATCGCTCCGGCAATGTTAAGAAGATGCAATATGACTGCCTTTGGAAAATTTCTGCTTACATTGTCGATGACTTTGAACGCAGAGTCCGTTTTGATTGAGTGACCTGTGTTCACAAGGTGTTCGAATATTGAACTTCTTATTGATCCGTTTGTAATTATCATCCTGAAAAACAAGTATGTATTCGCGATTGTGCAGCTTTGAAAATGAATTCGCCGAAAAGAGAACTCTTTGCTGAACCAATCTTTCTTATTTAATGTCTCAATGGGTGTATTCCGTTTACTAAAAAATATATTTACCTTGGTCAGTAACTAAAATGAATGCTATCATGTGTGCTTACCGTTTGGTTAAAATGAGCTGAGGTCAATGTATGCGTCTCCTCAGCAACTTTGCTAAAATATAAATCAAATAATCTGTTGGCTGGTTTATATGAAGGAGGACAAAGATATTTATTTCATGGAAAGTAAGAACAGAATTTTTTAGCTCGATAGAATAAGATTTTACTTGTAAAATAATGATTCAAACAGAAGTTTTGAAAAATAATCGATAGCCCATTTACTTAGTGAAATGGCTTGAAGATTAATCCAAATTATCTGTAGTCTTCTGAATGTACTTTTCATTTTGAATTGATTTCAGGTAGTGAATTGGTTCTTAGTAAAAAGTATCTTCAGATTAAACTGTGTTCCCATGAAACCACTTCATTAAATATACGTGTACTCAGTGGCTATTTTTTTATGTGGAAAACTATAACCTGTGATCTCAGCCATGTTGCGAATGGGGTAATGGGTCAATGATGAAATTGGTCAAGGGTTATATCACAAATTTATTAAATCTTAAAATATGAACTACTGGATTTTGATTTAGTAGTGTGAGAATCTTATTCTTACGATTAGATAGGTATGAATAAGTACACTTTAACCTACAGGAATTTTGTATCCATTACGATTTGCTCCGCACACTGCCTATAAGTAGCCAGATTATTTAGCGCAACTTTTTGGAATGTATTTACGATTTCACCAGAAAATGATCTATTATTGAAGGTTGATGTTAAGCTACTTTTGGGTGTTTATTGTAAGATATCCAAATTCATTTCTTCTAATCTGTACACATTGATTTATTATTAAAGCAATATTTATCCGATATATAGGTGACTGTTTCGCCATCATTCTTTTCGTTAATTTCACATAATCTTAAGGTATTGTAAATGTGAAGTAAATAAAGTCATATTACTTTCCATCATGAAGTTTTTCACAGACATTAAAATCTGATATCTTATAGTATTCTTCAACATCCATAATTCTTGAATGGGACCTAAAATATCTAGATTCTACTGTTCAAAGCTACTGATGACTTATAAGTACTTTTACGATATGTAATTTACTTATATGAAGCCCTACTAACAGTAAATTTCACCAGAGAAATAACGAATGAGAAAAGCAATTAACATTTTAATCATAATATTGAAAATACCGGTTGAAATAAGAATTTTTGGAGTGTATAATTGGAAGAGACACTATTCGAAATGAATTTTACCATCCCTATGATTTAACTGATGTCTTGCCAGATTGAAAAAACAATGAATATATACAAATGACAGGCGAAACAAAGTTCTACCTTACATAAAATCAATGAAGATTATTACATTTCCAGTGATTAGTTATTTTTACTTCTATGAAATCCTACTTCACCATGGGAGGTTTATGGTGATTGTTGTATTTCTATAAATTACACCCTGCATCGACCTTCGTTAGACAATCATTGAGAAGCAGGAAGGACTAAACGCCTATGGAGGAGGTCGTGTATTCTTCCCGATGAGAAGCGGTCCAGCATATTGAATTATCTACCCATTATTTTTTTAATTTGATAAAACCAGAATTAGACGGTGATCATAAAACATTTTTCTGATTGGTTTTTCTTTTTGAAGACAAAAATTGTAACTGATCAAAGCGACTCCACTAAAATTTCTTAATGTAATTGATAAAATCACTTAATCAAACAAAAGTATGTACAGAATATGTTGTAATTCAACGTTAGTGTTTTCACGAGATTTTTAAATGGCTACTACAAAGATCTACTCAAATTTCCAACCATCAGCGGTAAATTCAAACAATCTGTAGTTCATTATGCAAAATTTAACACAATGAAGATGAACAAGAAATCTTAAATTAAATAACCTTATAGAAAATTATTTTCATGTGAAGCAGAATTCTATATCAGTGTACTAATATGTGGTTGCCTAAAGGATTTAACTTTCTGTTAAGTTAACTGGTTATATATGTTAAGAAAATTGATTAAAATTCGCCCACCTAGTGTGTTATTATTGGTTAACGTGCTATTATGGAAGAGAATATCTCCTGCTTATGATGTTCATCATGAAGCAAAACGAGTCGAGTATTCAATTAAACTAGAAAATACTGAATAAATGTTTTGTCTTGACTCGAAACATTTGACTATTTAGTTCAACTACATGAAATTGGGATCAAACATGCAACCGTTTGGTCCTGAATTCGATCTATTTATGCCGTACGACAATGGTTAGTCGCTTCTCTTGGTAAACTAGGAACAATACTGATTTTCTGAAGAATTCAAAATCGAATATAATTTGTCACGTAATGAGCAACTTTGAAAAAAAGTTAACATTATACGTTGTTAAGAACATGACTTTTATGTGATAGGGGAGAATATCTAACAGTATGTTAGATAAACATGATCGTAAATAACCATTTATATAAAAGATCCACATACTGGAATATCACCATCAAATATTTATATAAAAATGATATTTTACTGATCTATTTAATAGGTGTACAAATTAATGAAACTGTAAAAGTATGGGAACATTTGAAGAATTAATTAGAACCATGAAAAATAATCAAAAAGTACCATGATATGCAGCCATACAGACAAGTTGCCTTGTCTAAGTCACTTCGAGATCTAGTCATAAAAATCAATAATGAAAGTAAACAAATTTATCAGCTACATATAATAGTATATATATATAATAGATTTTCCAAGTGTCCAAACCGATTTAACGTGTATTTATATAATTTTTTGACTGTTTTATGACTGCTATTTACTGTACAATGAAAATGGTAGGGGAAAAAGAGAGGGTTGTAAAGTAATACATGTTATAACTGAGTGATTATCTAGGAAAATCAATATTTCTTTCTTATTAAAATAAAAGTATATCAGAAAAAAATTATTCAGTGAATAAATATTCGCATATATATCCTCATTGATAAGTGAAAAGTAGGAAAAGTTTCGATATTTTCACGTAAATCATAAACAGTTGACTGTGTTTCAAAATGAAGTGATCATTTACTACATCTGTAATCACCATGTGTGTGTGTATATATGTGTATATGGCTTAATAAAGGTGCAGTATTCATGGAATTACCGTTTGCACACGAGCTGTCAAGAAATGGTACATAAACTTTTCTTACAAATTAACATCATTCTTGGGAGAAAAACTTATGTTATAAAAACAATATTCCCAGTTTTTTTTCAAACAATTGTCTGTGATTAAAGTCTACATTTTTGAAATGTTGATTTTTAGGCAGTAATAAGTAAAATTGTAGACTGCATACGAAGTAAAATCAGTAATATACACCATCTTGTATAGAACTGGGACCAGGAAACTTTTTAAAATAACCTAATTTTTATCAAGCTTTGAATCGATTATATACCACAGTGAAGATCTACACAGTTCAGTCGTTTATCAAACCAATAATAAATAAAGTTAATCATCTATGACATTTTACAATACACAATTAAAAATGAAAAAGGGGGAATTCTAGCTACATGGGGCCCTATAATATACAGAAAATTGAAATTTTGTTTTAATCTCTACTTTGCACGAAATGAATAATCGAACCACTGTTTCATCACTCTATATGGCTCTTGAACATCACAAGCTCTAAACACTAAAACCGGTCCAACTCTGAAGTTTCAGACCTCACAATAAGTGCACTAACATATAACACCCTATACAAAAGTCCAAGTTTTCCCAACTTTAGTCACTATTTAACATAACATATCTGTCATCACTGATGATAGTGAACATTCGTCTACTTTATTGACATTGTTAACCTGATCAATGTTAACTGTTTACTAGAAAACCTATGTGAAAACAAATTACTAATGAGGATTAAGTCATTATTTTGATAAAACGGTTAATTTATTTATGATTAAGTTAGTGATAACTATTTTCCTACAATTTAAAGGAAATAAACATTAACATTTTAAAGTAGTGGTTATGTCACAGAAATCCTTATTTAACAAAACTAACAGTATTCATCGTATTAACCTCCTAAGTAAAATAAAATTTACGTGTTATGATAGTTATAATAGTAGATATTTATCCAAATATGATATTCTTAAGTGATCTTTTTAACGATAAATGTCTCACTATCAATGTGCACATTGCCTACTCAGTTGATAATCGCATTCGAGTGAAGAAAATTCATTTTTCCATACGTAGATTAGAAATTTAAAAATGAGATGAAGATGAAGATATCAGGCTTCATATTTAAGATGCATAATTACAATCAGTATAAATGTTCAGTGATAAAAGCTATTGCATCCTATCTATTTTTACCAACTTGTTTGTCTACAACTTCAATGAATTGTGAATGGAAATTTAATTAGAAATCATTGTTGATAAATTTTATTTCTTCCAAAGTAATCTAAATGACTGAAACGTTTAGTTTCAGGAAGTTCCATTAATCTTTTTTACCAATTTGAAATGTCATCAGAGATTTGGAATTCATTATCGAAAATAAAACACGCAACTAACTTAAACTTCTAACAAATAATATAGTGTTATGAACATACATTATCATTTGTTGTACCATAACCACCAATAGAAGATAGAAAAGAACCAGTCTTTAATGAGTACAACTTGACACTTGGAGCAGCCCAGTCAGTAACACCTATGCATCCTCCACCATCATCAACAAATTCAACATAATACGGTTCAGTAAGCGCAGTTCGACTGTTAAAAATAAATTTGTTTGAATTATCTTCTTCTCCAGTTAATCCTTTATCAACAGGTATTTGATGTACTGGTGAATTAGTATCACAGCGGATGTCATAAAGACTAATATGATGACGTCGACTTTCAACAACAGCCAATAATCCAATACCATAACATACTCCACGTGGATGTTTAAGTTTATTTTTTGTTAATGTACCCTGTGAACGTCCATCGAAGCTGAATAGTCGAATCTTTATGAGGAATAAAGAAAAAAGTTTAATTTATTGTACATACCGTGGAAAATATAAAAAACTGGTTCAAGCATTTTTATAGTTGCATATATTTATCAACAAGTAAAGAGAATTAATCTTATCCTCCTTGTAAATAATTTGAAAACAAATAATGAAGTACCTAGTCTCTGGTCACTAGAAGTAATACCTATGAATTTCTGCTTTATCCAAGTATCATACCAAATAGAGTCTAGAAAGAAGTACTAAGGACTTTGATAAAACCCATTTTCCCTAAAGAGTATAACTCATTCCGCCACATAAAACAAATTTCTAAACTAATTACTATCCGATTCACTAAACCAAGTTCATATTAAAAGCCTCATGTGTTAAGGATAAATAGACAATTATAATATCTATGAATTAGTTAATAAATATATGATTAATCATTCACTGGAATAGAAATCAAAACTAATTCAATAATTTATACGCATACAAACAGATTCTAAACATTTTCATATAATTTTAATAGTTGAAATCATGAGTCAATTGAAGCTAGACCATCATGGAAAACCTGGAAGCACTGGACGACCGTTTCGTTTTATTGTGGGAATCTTCAGCAGTGAGCACCCACGACCCCACCTAAAGGGATTCGAACCCAGGACTTATCAGTCTCTAGATCACTGAGATAGCATCCAACGGTGTTAATGTCTAGCATCAATTAATCCACGAAATTGAGTGACACATCCACGATTGTCTTCAGTGAGTCACTAACTCACAACAGACCCAGTTGAACTCCACTGTTCCCTGTTTCTCACTAGAACTCTAGGAAATTTCTCTTGATGCCAGTCACTAGTTTGCGAAACATATATTTGAAGTAATCTTAATGATTGAATGTTAAATAATTCCAACATTTCATTTAGCAAATAAATTATGTCTTCTACATACTCAGAGCCTAATTTCTGTTAAACTATTCATTCAAATATTGACTAATATTTGTATAAATTTTCATTCCATTTCCATCTTGATCAGTATAGTGAAATAGGTTAAGCAACTGTTAACTCGACTTCTATCTGAAGTTTGAGCTGATGATGTCGTTCAGCAGAACGATGAAAGCTCCACGACTAAACCATCCAGCTCAGAGTACAAAACTCCATCAAAAATTTTACTTTTATCAACTATTCAATTTTAATATCTTTGACTGTATCCAATTTTTACATACGCTGAGGTATGATTTAGAGACATTTATGTTAATATGTTTATAATAGACTTCAACTTATAAAAAATGAACATAATTTATTGAATCATTTAAATAAATACCTATATGTACTACTTACGTTGATCTCAAGTGTATATTCTCCATGAAAACTTAAAAAGATAATTATTGATAAAATGAACCTTCAAATTTAGTATTTATAAATTCATTTTAAAATGTTTAAAATTTAATTATATTCCAAAACTTTAAATCTCAAATAGCAATTATCATAAATACTATGCTATGTAGTGTCGGTTGCTATGTTATGCCCATATAACCTATTCTAATTTCTGGACAGGTCAATTTATCCGTTATTCTAGAATCACGTTTTGACCTTGTTAATTATTCACTTATTAACCCTGACTGTTTTTATATGAGTTTATATAAGTATACATCTTATCCTACTCATCACATTTTTATCTGACTATTAATATCGATTAACGCTTGGTTAGGTCTAGTTGGTTCATATGCCTTCTCCACTGCGCGTCATTTCTCTTCGCTTCGTTCCTCTGGTTATTTATTCACATCAAAGATTGTACAAAATATTTGTATTCGAAATCCTTTCTCGTATTTCATTTATTTAATTCCGTTATTCACCAACGTGAATTAAGTCGATAATAATATACAAGAATAGTAAGGATGTATATTTTGACAGCAATCATTCATACGACCTAACTGGAATCAGATCCTCGGCCATTAAAGTGGTGAGCTCGTCGACAACATCGTGCGGTCTAATTAACGTCAAATTGTTTTAAGTTGTTAAGTTCAATCAACAAGAAAACGTAAACTGAAGCTTCATTAATGCCAATGATTCTTCTGTAAGTAATGTCTACAAAATATTAAAAAAGTTTAAAGTTTTCTCTGAAAAGGAAAAATTAGTCCATTGGTTTATTAGTCATTAATATATGTCTACATTTACTGAAATTGAATAAATAGACTACAATCAAGCTAATATCCTACCTCATCTCGTTGATAGTCTGATACAAATATAATTCCCCGACTGGATGATAGTGTAATGTCAAATGGACTTATAAGTCGGTCAGTCATTTCACCTGTATCACCTAAACTTGAAATAAATGTTCCATCATGGGTAAAAAGCTTTGAAATAAACAAAAAATATAGAGAAGAATGATTAAAATATATCAGACTGTTTATTGATGTTGAATGATATATTAAACATGGGAGATTATTTGATCGTTTTTATTTCACTAGAGAAAATCTGTGTAGAGATTAGAAGAAAAAGTTGTTCAACAAATTGTCTAAATGGGATTTCCTTTTTTTAAAAGTTATCAACACTTTTCTCAAAACAACTTAACTAAACGGTATTGGAGAAATTAGTTGTCTGTTATATGGTTAAATACAACTATACCAATAAAGTAATACTGATATGAAAATGCTACCGAACATAGAGAAACTAACAAGAATCCATGAGCTCTGAGTTAATGTTTTTCAGTATTTCTCAATTCTAAATGCCGACAAAACCTAAGGTAAATCTTTAGGATTGTGTTCATTTCGCCAATAGTTTATATTCCTAGTAATTGGACAACTGATTTTAATTATATCATAACAAGCAGTTATCAGTATCATTGAAAATGATGAAGTTACTGTGTATACATTAGATCAGTATTGAAACACAAACAACTGCTCCTAGTTATACCCAGTGTTAGCGCTGTTTTGCAATAGTGTCTTAAAAATCTCTTAAATTTTCCATAATACATCAATAAACGAACTTCTACTTTTTGCAAAGTGATGGTTAATAACTATGAAACAATCTACACAGGTCATAAAAACAAGCCATTGTCGTTTGATAGTGTAAAATCTAATGATAAGTTCATAGTTCAATTGTGATAATTTAATCAGTCGTCTTCCAATTTGAATTAACAAAAAATAGGTAAAATATACTTTGTTTTGCTATCTTCTGATAATTTTAAATCTCCCTAACTGTATAGTTAAGTAGGCAGATGATTACCTAGTTCTAGTGAGTAGATATAAACAAGTTTTAATCTCACATATGCATGATACAGTTTGTTCCCTATTTATCAGACACTTTAATCATAAACATTTTTCTTATTTTTTAGTGTGAAGTTTAAAATACAAGCTGTTAGCAACATCTGTCTTAGGAAACGTTAGACAGTTTAAACTAATACTACATATTCAGAACTAAACATATGTTCATTTTACTTGGTAGATATATATACTGCCGACTAAACGAAGTAAACAGTTAGGTGAAGAAAGTGACCTATATTAAGCTAACTGTTTAGTAGTGAACTTACTGACCATGCACTGAATTATATTCAGTTTAAAATTGAAATTATTCATACAACATAACTGATCATCTGTTTGAAACAAACCAACATATTATTAATTGAATAAATAATTTGAAATTTTCCTACAAAAGTAGATGGCATTGAGTATGCAAAATAAATTATATGAATTTCTGTTATTTACGCTTGAAAACATAGCGATAAACAACAAATCAATTCACATTATTAAGGAGTTTCCAGCTGACCTGTTGTGGTTAAATCTCGTAAACTATATAATAAGATATCGGTAAAATAGATTAGGTAAAATCATAAACTTATACCTTGATTCTAGAATTATCTCTATCCACAACATAAATGTCTCCATTCGATTGATTTACAGCTAATCCAGTAGGCCAAACATCACGTAAATCAGTACTAACTCTTGCATCAAATTCTAATTCATTGGTTACTTGACATTTGGATAGATTATATTGTTCTTTAATCATTGATTTATGTTTCACATTATCAGATGTATAACCATTTCTTGGTGTTAAGAAGCTTTCATTTGTTTTAAAACGATTACTATATAAAATATGAAATAAGGACATGTACTGTAGATTAGTTTGGATTATGCAAGAATTAACATGAACCAATGAAGCAAAGTTGGTTTTTTTTTCTTGATTATTTTATTTCCTGGAGATGTACAACCGTATTTATAGTTTTAATCAAATGTCTATAAACATGATTGTACTTTTTTTTCAGTGGAGTTTTGTTCTCTGAGCTCAGAGAACAAAACTCCACCAAAATCATCCACCTGAGCTATAAATCTTCTCCACCATCTCATGATTGTACACCTTTATTAAATCAAATCGTCGAAAAAAGACAATAAGATAATGCAATATTACAGTAAATTAAATTTATAAGAGAAGAATTTATAGCCTAAAGAAAGCTACTTTCAAACATACAAAAGAAATATTTCACTAGTTAATGTTTGTTCATCATGGGAATACAATAATGAAAAATCTCATGTGATGATTAGGTTTTAATAAATTTATTATGAGACCTACAGATGCAACGATAAAGAATTTATCGATATAAACAGATAGGCAATAAAAGTTAAGAGTGTAGCAAAACAATACCTTCTTGATGCTATATCTGCTTAAATAATACCGATAATCCTCAAACTCCATTTGATGTTAAATGGTCGGAAGCAATCGATGAAAAGTTCAACAACTAAAGCTCGTGTTCATCAGCCCTCATTCCAGACGTATCTCTAGAAAACTAATTTTTTTTGAGTATTTGCTGACAAATGTTAGCTAGCGTGAGACTTAAATTCATGGTTTTCTGTGACCTCTTCTCATCGTAGCTAGGAGAAAGTAATACTAAAAACAAAAGTAAAATCAACTTACCCAGAAATAAGTAGATGTAATTCACTATCATTATTATTAAATCGATTATCTTCATGATAACTCGTTAATGTTTCTAGCTCTCTTGGACTAGTATTTACACCGACTGATATTTGATCAGGATTTAAGTATATATTACTAAGTTCTAATTTAAGTTCATTTTGTTTATGAATAGCTGAACGATTAATATTTTCATTTTTTGAAAATTCCTCTACAATTTTTTCACATTCAACACTTCCGAATAAATATGATGAATTGAATGTTTGACTTTTTGTTTCTATCCCATCTTCACAATAACTATAACCGCCATTTTTGAAATACGTTTTTATGCGTGCTAATGAGAAAATAAGACAAAAAATAGTGATATGTGATAAATACTCCATGATTATCATCTCAGTCTACATATTCAATAAAATCTATAGCGTAAAAACGTAAGCTGTTCTACATCGAAATACTTTTTGTGACTTTTCAGAGTAGTAGAAACTACATGAAATACTTCATTTATACGCATGATAAGGTTAGCAAACGTATAGTTGAACGATATTTACCGTTTTCTGAACTATTTAGGAAATAACTCAAAGATAGAATTTTCACTAGAAAGCCAGTAAATTCAGAGGTCTGTAGGGAAACTAATAGAATTTCACACTAATAAAAACTTTGAAGCATAGTTAACCAGTCTATCACTTCCTACATATTTTTCATCACATTTCCAATAAAATTTCCAAAACTATTAAAAGTCATTAAGCATATTTTAGTGTCACACATCAGGAGGAACTGAAAGCTATGAATAGATAGCTTTTTCACTTAAAAGCACCCAAAAATATTCACTAATGAGACAAAGTTTGAATTCGGCTGCTTTTATATTGTTAAATGGTTAAAGTAGTTTTCTTCGAAGATTTTATATGATTTAAAAGTGATTCTCATCATGAACATACATCAGCTTAAAAATTAGGATGATACAACTTTCTTTTTCTTTCTGGTTAACAATAGCTATGTAGTTATGATTAATCGGTGCTAAAATTTCTTCAAGTATGTTTGTCTATCATTGTGATTAAGATTATTGTGGAAGTCAACTATATGGACGACCCTGAATTACCTGTTATTCAGTGAGAAAACATTGTTTGGTTACGAAATGACATAATTTTTTAAAAAGTATTAAAATTATGATTGATAAACGATTTTAACATGAATAATGGATCTTTTTTATAGTTTTCATAACGTGTTGATATTAGCTATTATACATGAGTGTTCTGTAGTCATTTAGATGGATAACCTTTGCCCCAAAAATGTAATTGGTTTGTCCACAAACTTCGTTACTGTTATCATTACCACACTATTTAATGAAACAACAATTTTTGAATGGCCTTCCAGTGGATTTAAAAAAAAATCAATTTCTAATATTTATATTGTCATCCAACTTATTGATCCTTACTCTAAAAGTATCCATTATCCGACATTTCATTCATAGGTGACATGTTATGATCGTTTTAAAAACTAAATGTTGTTAGTCATTTCGTGTTATGTCAACTATATACATATTTATCAGCAATTTACTCCCCAAATATCATCCCCAGATACACTTTAATAATTTAGAAAAAGATTAAATTAATGGGAATTAGTGAAATAATTTCTTTTTTTCCAAGATATTGTTAAGTAGTTGTTCAAGTCTAAAGCGCTCATTTTTAATCCATCGTGTAAAAAATAGACTAAGATTCATGGATGAAAAAACACTCCAAAAAAGCATCAAACTGTTGAAAGAAATTTTCAGACGACCATCAAAATAAGAATAAATGTACAAACAGTTCAAGTCGTTAACTGACATCGATTAGAGAATAAATTTAAACTAGGAATCGCTGTACGATTTAGTCCTAGCTTTAAGTTAACCAATAGTACACACTAGAGACGCTGTAAGAGGTTGAAACCTGGAACTATTGTTCTTACGGTGATCATGTTACTTTGGACAAGTGAGCCAGATTGCAATGGTCCATCTCCTTTATTTTAGTTTAACGTGTAACGTAGCACAATCCACTTTTGCGTTGGGCACTACTGAGGGGTTTTAGACAAGAAACGAATTATGGATCTAACAATCCTCAATTTGTAATAATTTTTAAGTTGGCTTCAAATAAGGATGAAAGGAGAGAAGCTTTCTGCGTAGAGCATGCGTAAATGTTGAGGGTGGACAGTTATATAATTTTTTAGTATTTTCATAAATTACTGTTCATCACTAGATTTATATTCCTTTTAGAGATCTTTTTTAATTAACTAACATAGTCATTCGAAAATTGCAGTGTCTTGGAAGTTTAAGTTGAAATCCGAGTTGAATAATTCTTATACGTTTCTCATAAGATTTCATATATATCTTGCTAGTGAATGCTCCGTGACACCGAATCTCGACTCTCAAGTTCTCACCGAGTGCCTCTGACCGCATGATATAAACTATTTTACTTGAAATCAATAGCAAACTCAGTTCTCAGATAAAAAGATAATTTTGAAATGATAAAAATAGCTACTGTTGACTGATTTTTAAGGGGTCAGTGTATACTACAATCGACAGAAATTAGAGTAACACACATGAAGAGCGAGTTGTGCCGTGAAATTAATTCATGTTACAGATTTAAAGATTTATTGAGGGTTTTTGAAAATGATATTTATTGTGTAATGTCGATTAGAAATTGTGATTATTTTCTAAATGATTGTTGCTACTTATATACTATTGAGTAGTATTTAGAATTTAAACATGATTTTAGGCAGAATAGGTACCATCGAGTTGCTATGGCTTTGTACAGATTGTTTGATTCAAAATTAATTTTCGTTACTAACTCGTATTAGATCAAAAAACTGTTGAGGATTATGAACCCTTTCCTCTTTTAGTTTACTCTGGTTTCCAGTAATTTTCTAGGTGACGTAAGTCCACTGTCCAACCTAATTTACCAATCCATTCCTCAAAATATTCTACCTTAATCATCCACCAGTAACGTTCTAAAGAACGAAAGTAAAGTCAAAAGTAACTTCAGACAATATCGCTATTTGCGAACGTTGATAAAGTTTAGTTATCGGACTACAATGACAGATAATCAGAGTGATGAAATAATATAATGAATAAACGTTTCATAAAATTACTAACCTAACCTTGAACTACACTGTCATTTTGATTAGGTCAATTAAAAACATTACAAAGTGTAAAGTAATGGTTTCGTTATTTTAAACATTCGGTTTAGAACCATTAGGTTATAGGATCAACCCTCCTCTGCTTACTTTGGATTAGCCAGCTCTGAATTATCACTTCCAATGGCAGATAAAGTATGTGACTTAAAGTCATGTACTTAAACCTGTATTTGGTCAATAAATTTCACCCGTTTTATGTTACCTAAAAATATGGTTGTAAATAGCATAAACTGGTAGTGGATATCTTATTTATCTATAACATAATACTTAATCACAATTAAAAGTGTACTTTGCAAGAGGGCAATTTTACATTACTTTCATGATAAACTGGAACAATTCAACCTTTGTACAATCTGAACAGCATAGCAAAATACTACCAGGAACCCTGTTGGACCATACTTATACCATATGAAATGCGTGTAAGAAGCATGCTGATAACCACAGTAGAATGAACACTTATTTCCATCCGATTCATTAAAAGCACTTAAAGGGTATGCAAAATTCAAAGATCTTTTGAGAAACACAAATATTTATTTAGAATCGTTTAAGCTATCTATTAAAGGCTACTATATTAACCAAATAACGTCTAATTTACCTCCTAAATATTCAATTTTCTTTTGTCCCAAATAACTCAGCTGTTCGTTTACTTGATCAAAACAGAAAAGTACCTCTTCTGGCCTATTTCAAAAACAATTAAAAAAACGAAAGAATATTTTAAAGAGTAAGAAATACATGATGAGAACTGCTGAGGAGTCCCACAATAGGACAAAACGGCCGTCTAGTGTTTCCAGATTTTCCATGGTGGTCTAGCTTCAATTGACTCGTGATCTCAATTATTGAAATTACTGCAATCTCCACAAAACCCCTTCTGATAATAATATATATCTAACTTATAATCATATATTGCCGTTAACACACTCAACAATTAATTAGAATATGACACACCTAGACTGACTATATAACTAACTAATTGGTAAGTTGATTAGAATAGTTCAGGTAACTATCAAATGTCTTACTTGATTTCCCATTATTTCAACTCTAAAATTAATAACCTTCATATTCTCATATTTGTACTGAAATAATGTGTGTTAAAGTCTAGCATACAGTGGTAGCTTGTTTTGTGAAAACTTCATGAATCACAGTTGATTAATGAACAAGGATAAATCAATTAAGAATGATTTAGTTTCAATTATGATCTACTTATTTGACCGAAATTAATGGCTATCGAATACCACTTCTGCTGATCTCTAACGTTTACCAACGAATTTGAACTATTAAGTCAATAAATAACTAATTCTTAGATCTTGATGATGGCTACCTCACTTTCGAACCTAGACAAATTAAGTTCAGGAATTCAGATCAGTTAGACCTATTGAACATACATATGATCATATTTCTTGAGTAAGATATTGTTTAACAGATAATTTTAATTAACCGTGCTCAGACAGAATAACTTCTACACTCACAAGATTAGTGAGTAAAATTAAACAAAAATCTAGGTTCAGCGTTTCAAACTAACGGTTTGATTTTCATCCTGAATTATAATGCCTAAAGTAAGCAATAAAATTTGTGATACATTGTGTGTGTGTGCAAGAAACACAGTAGTTTGACAATCCCTCTATTTAAAGTGATAGTCAAAAATTCGAGATGCTAGATTAAGTATTTTAATTAATTAAATAAGATTTATTTTTCAAAATGTTTACTTCCACATATGATAAATTCTTTTGAAACTACCTTGTAGAAAGAAAATGTGTATTTAAAGGGGCTGGTTACCAAAAGTTATGCTGATTCTTTACTATGCGTTAATCCATGTCAAATATCAGATTTTTCATACACATAGTTCCCTTTATTATCTTAAATAGAGCAAGAACAAAGATTGGTGCAGAATAATATGAATTCATTTTATTTCGTTAGGTTCTCATCAGCTGCTTACATCCTAAATTATTTGAAATTCAAATTATTACAGATATTGACATATTTATACATAAGAGTGTGAATAAGGATCAATACATGTGTATGATGATGTAGAAAATATTCAGATAGAGTTAATGAGCTCATAAAATGTTTAATTCGAATAAATAAATAAAGTTAGAGAGGGAAAGTTCTGGAACATTGAAATAGTGATTAGAACTCATGAAAATAGATTAATAGTAATAAAGAAAATATGAATTAAAACCAATCATTTATGTATGATGTAATTTAAACTTCAGAAAGAGTTGGAAGATGGGGAATGACGTAATAAATAAATAAATAGGAGTAAATGAATAGAAAGGGTGGGGATTATTGTTACCAGGGTAAAGAAAGATTTATTACTGTCTCTTTTTGTATGCATAGATCTGGTTTTAAACGTTTGATTGCTATCGCTTCAGCGAATTTCAAAAGGTTAGAGTTTGATTGTTTGTTGATCACCTTGAAGGACTTCAGTATATCAACTTCATGTCCTGTATCAAGGAGATGTCTTGCGATAGCACTGCTGAATGCGTTTAATCCATTTAACCGTAAACTTTTCGGAATATGTTCTTTGAATCGGACGTAGGCTCTCCTTTCTGTTCTACCAATGTAACTGCTTTGGCAGGTACATGTTACCACCAATTGTGTATACAAATTTACATGTACCTGCCAAAGCAGTTACATTGGTAGAACAGAAAGGAGAGCCTACGTCCGATTCAAAGAACATATTCCGAAAAGTTTACGGTTAAATGGATTAAACGCATTCAGCAGTGCTATCGCAAGACATCTCCTTGATACAGGACATGAAGTTGATATACTGAAGTCCTTCAAGGTGATCAACAAACAATCAAACTCTAACCTTTTGAAATTCGCTGAAGCGATAGCAATCAAACGTTTAAAACCAGATCTATGCATACAAAAAGAGACAGTAATAAATCTTTCTTTACCCTGGTAACAATAATCCCCACCCTTTCTATTCATTTACTCCTATTTATTTATTTATTACGTCATTCCCCATCTTCCAACTCTTTCTGAAGTTTAAATTACATCATACATAAATGATTGGTTTTAATTCATATTTTCTTTATTACTATTAATCTATTTTCATGAGTTCTAATCACTATTTCAATGTTCCAGAACTTTCCCTCTCTAACTTTATTTATTTATTCGAATTAAACATTTTATGAGCTCATTAACTCTATCTGAATATTTTCTACATCATCATACACATGTATTGATCCTTATTCACACTCTTATGTATAAATATGTCAATATCTGTAATAATTTGAATTTCAAATAATTTAGGATGTAAGCAGCTGATGAGAACCTAACGAAATAAAATGAATTCATATTATTCTGCACCAATCTTTGTTCTTGCTCTATTTAAAATATCAGATTATAAGAATTGAGAATGATACAATGTAAACAAGGAAGATGTGCAGGGAGGTTTATATGTTCATCTTTAATTTCCTATACAATCCAACTAATTGGCTGACAATATAATAATCCACTAATGGTATAAGACATTCAGAAGTTGGAACAAAATTGTGTTAGGATAAAATTATTTCAAACTTTCAACCCAAACACATAGGGAGAAATTCGAACTCGTCACTTGTATTTGAAGTTTGTGCTGAAGATGTCATTCAGAAGAACGATGAAAGCTCCACGACTAAACTATCCAGCTCAGAGAACAAAACTCCATCAAAGTTCAACACAAACAAAATGCTCAGAACACAAAGGAGAGAATGAATCAATTCACATAATTGAACAAAAAAATATTTATGCGTATGCGAATGAGTTTTTGAAATTTTCAACAATTTTTAAGCCGATTAGAGAAGTAAATACGTAGACCGGTACATGCCTCCCACCATACATAGTAATTTACACATGAATCAAGATAAATATAGAAATAGGTGAGTTATTACGGATTAAAAATAACACTATCTGGCATACAAATTGATCCAAAGTCTGAATCAGTTTGAACATATGTGCAAGACGGTATGAAGATATAGCGTTTAGGTGATTAATGGAAATGCTAAGTACAACTTGAGACGTCTCTCTAATTTTTTTGTCTATTTCTTTACACTGGATAGTTCAGTTGAAGCTACTGGATTATCACTGCTGTTATAATATCAAAACTGCTCGAATAGAAAAAATAAGTTAGCTTGTTTAGCAAAAATAAGTCATTCTGGCTATCAGTGTGATTGATTGTCTTTAAGCTTTTAGTTATGAGTAAAATATACATTCCATTGATTGTTCCACCTAGTTGGTTTCTTGTAGAACAATTATGTAATTAATCTTTTATTAATTATGCCAACTACTTATTAAATAACAATCTAGCTTATCGTTTCCTGGATGCTTTAAGAATGACAGTTTGTATCATTGTTTAATGCTTGATACTTTTTCCAGGAAGTTTGGACTTCGTCTATGCTACGTGTTTGCTAACACTAATAAGGTAGATCATTAAAAATTGCAATCTTTTTATGTTTTTAGAGAATTAAGGTCAAGTGATTCAGGTGCTTGCTTAAAGTATTTGCCACTGAACTACTCAGATAACACCGATAGGGGTTGAAAAATTAAAACTCAGTAATCAAATGCAAATTAATGTGCTAGATTTTCAATGACACATTTTCGTGCAAGTTAATGATATTACTGGTTGCCTAAATCAAAGTGGAACAAGCAAATTTGATCCTGCAATCCAGTATTTACAAACCAAGTGCTTCAAAAAATAGACCATCACAAATACGAGGTATTTGTAAATAATTAGTTGCAAACAATTGCCGTAGATTGACCGTCAAGAGAATACTACGTCACTGAAAACATTAATTACCAGAAGTTTCTACGAAGTTATTACTGATTTGTAACTGCTTGAATTTTCTTGTCGTTGATTTTAAAAACTGAATTTTGATCAATCTTTTTTGCGCATGCTGAAAGGACTGCCTCAATGCTACCACAAAGCCATTACTATTTAATTAAAGATGGACAGCCTTATATCTTCAGATTACTTGTTTTAACACGTTCTTTAGTTCACTCACTCAGTCAGTCAGTCAGCTACAACTTAGGACCAGATACATATATACATCGGTCCAAGTTGCCAGACCTCATTAGCATGACAAGATGAACACCGGATTCATAAAAGTAGTTACTTCAATGGTAGTAATATATAAAAGAAAGATTGTGTGTGTTCGTAAAATATGACCTGTGACAATCGAACATATGCATATTCAAAGCATTGTTTGGATATTAAGTAACCACTGAGTAAACGGTTACGAATTCAGACAATGAGCCTTTATTGATAGAGGTGAGTGGGAAATATATTACGAATTCCCGAGTGATTATTCCAATCTGTTGTTGGTCTTTTTCTAATAAATGGCTCTACGTCGGTTTTAGTTTCGCAGATGAATTCATTACATATCTTCGTCTGTATTTTACTTTTTAGTATTACTCCATACTTAACTCAATCGGTCATTTCAGACTGTATTTTCCGCATATTTTCTCACCCCTTTAAATTTCTTCTCAATAGTTGTCGCTGACTGTAACGACGTGAACTGAAACCATTCGGATAGACGAGAATTAGTGCGATGACCTATGATGTCATGAAGTCCATATATACGAGTTTTTCTCAAAATAAAAAGTATAAACATCGATGCTATTTTTAATTAAGTATCCCAGTCAACAACAAAAACTTTAAAATTACTATTATTAATATAATTAACCTTCCAAAATCCTTCAGTGCATTAGCATATCGACAGGCTACTTCACATTGGACAATTAACGGATACAGGGACCCTGCACATTGGTCAACTAGCTTCATTTCATTCCCAATCTCTTTGTCAAGTTGATTAGTTAGTTTATTAGCTATTTGATCAATTTCGTTTTTCAATTGTTCAGCTCTATTTTGAATTTGATTAGTTATGTTCAATTCTGTTTCACCAAGTTCATGACCGTATTTAATTAGATGACGTAAATAATTCTGTTATGTAAACGAGAAATCATAAATAGGAAAAGATAGTTAGATTCTTTTTATAAATACATATTATGATATTATGACATGTAGTCGAGCTAATTAACCACTCTGAACAAGTTTCTCAATACTGTCATTTAGTGCACTGGAACAAAATTTACTACTTGAATGTATTGATTTCATCCTTGCTGTACTGTTTTTTTTTAAGATAAGAAGGAACAAAACTGGAAGTGGTAATAGCTATCTGTACCTATTCTGTTCAGTGTAATTATTTTACAAAGTGCAAGTTTATTTGTGAAGATTAGTGATATTACTTGCTTGATTAAGCCAAAATAGGTGGAGAGGAACTCGAACCATCAGTCTATTGATTGACATCTAAAAGTTTAGACCACCTAACCATTAATTTATGCACTCCCGCTGTTTAGATATCGTGATTTAACAACTTTATAAATAAAACTGTGATATTTAGAGTTATAAGAAAATTAAAAACAATATAGATACTTCTGGAAGATCAGTCCAATATAAGAAAAAAATCAGCTCTCAACTACATAGCTAACTAGTACTAACCGTTATTAATTAATTCATATACAAGACTACTACACCGGTTACCATAGTGCCAACTATACTACACAGATGCTGAAATCGGATTTATTTGGGGAGACTTTATATCTTGTCCTAAATTACAAATAAGGCACATGGATGGTTAGACCATACGTTCTCCTTTAAAATAAACATTTCAGTATTACTTGGCTCAAATGATCATTATTGCACATACACACACATACACAACACCAGTAAAATATGTAGTTTGATAAAAAAAAATATTGTAAAGAAGAGTCTATAGATCTTCATTCTGGTGGAATTTAAGTTCAAAACCTTTAAATTATTTATTGTAAAGCTTTTAATAAACTTTTGAAAAATTGTTGTTTATTAAAACCTTCACAAATATTTTGTATGATTTCACATAAGGCCTATTTCATCTTAACTATGTGATTAAACTCTAGTTCAATTACATTTTTTAAAACTAAATTTCACTACACAACAACAGTGAAGAGGAATGTTATGTCATCTACCTTGGCAATCATGACACATTTATGGATTTATATAATTTGCTTATCATTTGTCAAAAACTCCTACACACTTAATTTTGTTATCTGAATAATTTTTTCAGATAAAGTTAAAAATCACTTAGTAATATTAAGTCAGACTTAAGATCCGTTGATGGTCTCCTTAACACTGTGTTAACGAATATTAATAACTAAACAAACACGATTAGAAATAAGTAGACTAAATAGACTTTCCCCATTCCCACAATTGAAGAATATATGGAACTTAAAACAACTTTTAATCAATATCAAAGTGAGAATCTTCAATACGAACGTCAGAACAGTTCTACTGTACGGAGCTGAAACTTGGAGTACTACTAAAACCATCATCAAGAAGGTACAAGTACTTATAAATAGTTGTCTACGCAAGATACTCAATATCCATCGGCCGGATACCATCAGTAACAGCCTATTGTGGGAAAGAACAAACCAGCTTCCATCTGACGAGGAAATTAGGAAAAGACAATGGAAGTGAATAGGACATACAATACGCAAATCATCAAACTGCATCACGAGGTAAGCCCTAACTTGGACTCCTGAAGGAAGGCGGAAAAGAGGAAGGCCAAAGAACACATTATGTCGGGAAATAAAAGCAGATATGAAAAGGATGAATAACAACTGGAAGGAGCTGGAAAGGATTGCTCAGGACAGGGTTGGATGGAGAATGCTGGTGAGTGGCCTATGCTCCTTCACGAGGAGTAACAGGCGGATTAAAACTAGATTAACACAGTTTTTAAGAATCCGGATAAAGGGCGGCCTGCTTGAGCATTTGGGCTACTTGCTCCTGCCATCTAGATACTTCAACAAGTTATAAATTTTTGTTTGTTTTAATATATCATTATGTTTATTAATCGCATAACCTATTCTGCTGCGTTTCTGACAAGTGTACAACCTTTTGTTGTCAATATTACAAAAAACTCAATAAGAGACAGTGTGGTTGCTGGCAATTTACAACGAAAAGAATGCACATTATTCAGATGTTCGTTTACTGAACTGCTAACATCTAACTGGCGATCACTCACTATTTATCGCCAGGACCGACCAAGAAGAAAGAAACGGAAACTTGTTGAAATACTTTACGCTGAGTATTCTATATTGTACCAAAAATATAATATTGAATAAAGCTGATAATAATAATAATAATAATAATAATAATAACAATAATAATAATAATAATAATAAGTATAGAGACTTTCCAACTAACTAACCAAGTTCTGTAAATATTTTACTACACTAAAGAGTGTACAGACAAAGCATTTTATTTACTTCTTTTAAGCTTATTTACATTTTATTAAAGGTTTCTTTTTGTTAAAAAATCCTCCTCGTTCCTTTTTTCCAATCCAACTATATAATCTGTACTTTCATTTCACCTTTTGCCATAAACATAATTATAAATAATATGTGTTTATTATGAACATTGGGTTATCATTTTGTTAATCACTTACAACAATAATAATTTGTAATACCTTTTAATGTCTTTCATACTGTATACAACTACAACAGGAAAAGGTTTGTTTTACATTGTAGTTACTCAACATGGAGAATAATGTTAACTGTATATAAGCTAGTACAATGCAACCTGATGAAGTCTACAACCAATAGGAAGTAGTGATAAAATGTTACATTACTTAATTTAAAATAGTATACAATTTTTGGTCAACTTAAATTTTAACAACAATCAAAATATTATTTAAATGAGTTAACGAAACAGTTAATTCAGCCTAACGAAATAAATGAATCTGTATTTCTTCCTATCAGAATCGACTAAACAAAGATGGGTGGTGACTAACAGTGGAATCCAGGATGCGCATTTCATCCTATTCGGAACTCGTAAGTTGTATGTAACTGCAAGTGTTGGATTTTTTATGACGAATACCATTTTAATACTTACTGAAACAATCAATAAGATTACGACAGCTCACTATGCCTCTAAAATTTTGCAAACTATTAAAAGATACAAGCTTATTAAACTGAGATAACTCGATTGTCATCTCAACTGTTGGTTTCACGTTCTATATTCTTTCTTATTGGAATAGTTCCACATTTATATCTCGTACTATGATGATTTTCAACATGTGTTAATAATGCTAAGGAAGGATATGAGTTTGTTTAAGGCTCTATGTATAATTGTGTTATCAATACAAAAGCAAACAAGACTTGTGCATAAAGATCTACTTATCACTCTTCTTTGACCAATCACCAAGTAAAAACGATCACTTTTAATTGAATTATTGAAAAAAATGACTTACTTCGAATTGTGAATTATTCCGTTTAACTCGATCGATTTGCTTATTAATTTCAAGTTTAGCATCATGAACAGCCTTTTCCAATGATAATACAACATGATTTTCATGTTCTTTACCTTTAGATGACATTGAGAAATGTCCGCTACATTCAGCGCATAAAAGTTTATTACATGGTTTACAGTAAAAACAAGCTGATGGTGATGGCCAATTACAACGGTGACCAATAATAGTTTTACCCTTATTACTATTAAAATCAACAGTAGTAGAACTAGTTCTGACCGTGTTATCTGATACTTTCTGATTATTACTTATAGTCTTCTCATTTGAATTAATTGTGTTAAGCTCAGAGAATTCATGATCGGTACATTGAGTAGGTGGAGCCTCTCTCATGCGTAGCAAATACCCGTTTACTAAAATATCCTATAAAGAAGAAGGAAATTACTGAGTACTGTTAAGAAAATAATAATAAAAGCATGTGCTATATCAAAAGTTCAGTAATCTTAATGTATCATTCACTCGAAAATTACATATAATTCATCAGTGTATTCAATTATGTCAAATTATGAAATCTTGAAACAGATTCCTACAAAGAACCTGATAAATAATCCTCTGGAGGATTTAATACCAGTTTAGATTATTTGTATTAAATGATTGAATTAGTATAAAAATTAACGGAAGGGGTCCTGTGGAGATTTTAGAAATTTTACTGATTGAAATCATGAGTCAAATGAAGCTAGACCGCCATGGAAAACCTGAGAGCACTGGATGACCGTTTCGTACCAATATGGGACTCCTCAGCAGTGCATATCTACGATCCCGCACCCCCGATATTCGAACTGAACATTGAATACCACCTGAATGTGGCAGACTGATTCAGGTCATTTAGTTCATATCTCCCAGCAACAAAACAAATCCTTAATGGAAATGACGATAAGTACTTTATAAGTGAAAGTCTAGTAGCTTTTTTAGTGCAATACTTAACTTATGAATCTCCTGAGGGTTCTCAATCTTTTATTGGATGTTTTCGTGCGATATATCTCTAGATAAGGTTATTATCATATTAATTAATAATAAAGTCAATAGTTTAGTACTGTTAGTCAATAAATCCAATCCAAGAGCTAACTTTGATCTTGACCGACCATTATTCTCGATAAAGAAAAGTACTCACTAGCCGATTTTCTTCTCTGATACCTACAGAAAACCAAAAGCAACTTTTAATTCATCCTGTATAATATGTCTAATCTAGATGAAGTACATACACACATCTTCGGATTCAAACTCATATCTTAAACATGTTAAACATGAAGAATAGAATATTAGGTCTCTTCTAATTTCAGATGTATCTAAGCCATACAAAAAATTTTACTGGTGACTTCAACAGATTTCATTAAACTTATAATCAATCATTTAGTTCCATACATGAAAAAATAAAATCGATTACTGTTTTTGTCTACTACTCGCTCACTACTGTTTTTTCTTAAAAAATAACTTAATGTTTGATCTAAAATACTGTTTATAATCTTTCTATAAAATGTGTAATTTATGCTAAGATATTAAATACTATTATTGATTGTTTTATGGTATCAACTATATGTTATCGAAATTGTTGAGAAATGTAACTAACATATAAATTGAATGATCAATGATTTTGTTTTCAACAAAAGTATAAATAAATATCAAATTTCAATAGTTGAGATCATGAGTCAATTGAAACTAGACTACCATGAAAAACCTGGAAGCACTGAACGTCCGTTTCGTCCTGGTATGTAACTCCTCAGCAGTACATAACTACGATCCCGTCTCGCAAGATTCGAACCCAGTACCTATCGGTGCTTCCAGGCTTTTCATGGTGGTTTAACTTCAATTGACTCATGATCCCAATTATTAAAATTAATATAATATCCCTTCTGATAAATATCAAATTGTTGACGATTTTGAGTGAATATAATTCAATGAAATTCCATTGATATTTATCGTGTCTTAATATAATACTGACTAATAAATTAAATGGTTAATTTCATGGGTCGATTCAAGCTAGGTTAACCGTTTGCGTACAAGATCGAAGGTTTTGGCTTCGAGTTCCGCATGTGGGATTGTGGATGCACACAGCTGAGGAGTCCCATACTAGGACGAAACGAACGTTCAGTGCCTCCAGACTCTCCATGGTGATCTAAATTACATCGACTCATCAATTCAACCATTAAATTACTACAATCTCCATAAATCCCCATTCGGATAATAATACTTTATAAATGGTTAAATACTAACTAGCATAACGGGCTAATAAATTTCAAACCTATTTCAACAGCAAATCCAATGTTAATTTTAGTCTAGTGTTTGGATAATGTTCCTGATTTTAACTTAATTAGTTAAAGCGATAAGCGATCAAAGTGTTTAGATAGAAAGTAAGAAGACATTACAGTAAAATTGATGTCGTAACAAAAGTAATACGGTTGAACTTAGTTCACTTTCTGATAAACAAGACGTGAGAAACTTAAAAAGCTAGAAAGGACATAAAAGCAAATTAGACAGAATTAAGTTAAATGTAAAATGAACAGATCGTACGTAACCATTATTTTGAAAATGTGAATATATCAACGCCATCCTGGTAGGTTTTAAAATGTCTGTCCAAGATTTATAATTTCTAATAGTAAACAAAGTCACTTTTCACGCAACTTGATCCCTTGATAAATTTAAACAGGCCATGAAAAACTAAGTTTTTAAAATGAAATGAGTTTATTGGATTTCCTGGATTTACATCAACTGAAAATGACCTAAACTTACAATAAGCAAAACAATTATAAACTAAGGTTTAGCATAATTTAGTTAATAACGTTGAGTTGAATGTTCGAAATGAAACCGAAAATCATAATATGAAGAAAAGAAGTACATATATTATGTTTTATGTTCATCTTATGATTTCGATTCCATTTCACTTATCCATCTCGACTTCCCTAACTAAAGTGTGTTAAAGCTTGGTTTATAATTAGATGACTCTTTGTAAATTTGGGTTGATTGTAGTTGATGCGAAGTTATGAAATAGAATGAATTTATTTTGTTCTACAAACCTTATTGTAATTGTTCTGTTTAAACTCATTTTTAATCTCCATTGACGGTAAATTTTAGTATGAATGATTACTGTGTATTCCTTCCAAATAACCTTAGTGTTTAATACTGATAATACACCTTATTCGATAGACATTCTCTCAAAAGTCAGGCACATCGAAACTGATTGGTAGAAGAAATCAAATGTAACCTTGTAGTCAAGAGAAACAGTCAACTTAGTTGATTATTAAATATGTTTCTGCTCTAAAACTTAATGAAAGATGGAAGTCTTGTCAGTGAAACCTTGTTTATACCCGAAATTTATTCAGGGTTTTCGTTCTCATAATTCACTTAGGAGTCGATTGACTATGAACTGTAGGATTAATGATATTACTGTTAGTTAGGTTAATCTCTTTGTAGTGCTTATAAAATGAGATTACGTTCCTTCTTATTGTCTGAAATGATCCGTGACTAAAATCAGCCTGGTACTCCTGCATCTGATCTAATAATTCTTAACTTTTGTCTTTGAACGATTTATTAAGTAAACCATTATATCATATTCGTTTATTTCACTTCAGGTTTCACACGGCCAGTATTAACTTTGGTAATGGTTGAATGATAAAAAATAATAATTTATTAAGATTCGAGTCAGGTCGTGAGAAATTAAAAGGTAGCTGTAGACTACTTAATTTGTTTGTTAATTTATTCTATTTGGTGTTTCTATCAGTTTCTAGGGTAATTCATTAGTGACTTATCTTCCTTAGTATTGATCTCATTAACTATGACATTTTAGTGTCAGCGACTATAGTGAAACTAAATAAATGGAAGTATGAATTAACTCCAACGCTATATATGCTTCTCAAACGTTCTGTAGACCTATCTTCAACTTACATTCAAGCTCCTTTCGCTCTTAATCATTTATTCATTGAAATATAAAGTGTAACTCATTATTATTAATTCAAATAAATTTGTACTAATAATGTTATTTTAACATAAATACAGTAGAAATTTGAGATTTAATAGTTGATCAATCGTTAGGTTTCCTTCCACAATCTATGTGTATTGTTTGATAACAGTATTTTCAAGATAATCGGTACATACGCAGATTGTATAGGTTTCCAAACAGTATATTTCTTTAGGTAATACTAATGCTCATGTAAATCATGTCACTGAGCTTTAACAAATTAAAAGAAATCCTTAATCATTTTTCTCAGAGAATAAAATGAGCGTTGAACCTCTGTTATGGGAAATAATCTTGTTATACTCCACTTATTAAATACAGTATATTTCAAAATGTATTTCTTGAATTTTTACTGTTAACCTTTATCTGATGAAATTAGCCCATGACAAACATAAAACTGTCTTATGTGACCTAGTTAAATATATTCTTTTTAGAAACAAGCAGGTGTAATATTTCCTGTTTATGAACTGAATCAACGGATTTCCATTTCCCATTCAAGAAAAATTTACAATATCCCAGTTTTAAATTCTAACTAAATCCTTAATTCACAACATGTCATTGTAACGCCTATAATCACTAAAAAAGTTTTACCTTTGACTTTTGAGTTAAGCTTTTATCTAATTCCATTGTTTATTAGTGAATTTAACTCATCCATACACATAAAAAAGGTCAGTCAGATGGCGCTGATAACTAAATAAGCCTTCACTATGATTACACTCTATTCTCAGAATAGTTCCATCCGACTTTATTGAGTTTACTGTCAGCCATAAAACACATAAACAATTAATTTAAACTGGTCATTTCCTAGCTTCTTCATTAGATTTACTCAAACACTATAATTGTTCATCCGCGATCCCGCACCACACGGGGCTCGAATCCAGGACCTACTGGCTTCGCGCGCGGGCACTTAACCACTAAACTCATGATTTCAATCTGTGAAATTTCTAAAATCTCCACAAAACTCATTCTGATAATAATCAACTGCTCACTAGTGACTGACTTCAGGAAAAACTCCCGAAGTTCTAGTGAGAAGCCGTTACCAGTGGAGTGGTTAAGTGCTCGCGCGCGAAGCCAGTAGGTCCTGGATTCGAGACCACGTGGTGCGGGATCGTGGATGCGCACTGCTGAGGAGTCCCATACTATAATTGTTATTAGACAATTAATTGTGTTGCATATATTAAACACAGAAATAGTGCATTTTTTTGATCAATTAGTTTAATAAAATTAAATGATTACTATCAAATTGGTTAAGAGGCGGTTAATGTTTGCCTTTTGAAAATTAGACAAAAGTAACCAGAATTAACGTATTTACATAGCTTGAATAAATACTTACAATAATATGAATAGGAAACCACGAAATCAAGGCATTAAAAATGTACCTTACAATATTTTTAAAACAAAAGATGTACAGTTGTGAATCGTAAGATGTAAGAGTGATCAAATAAAGCGAAGCAGTTATGCAATATAAATACAAATGATCAACTGAAGTTAATTTTAACTTTAATGAAATATGAATGAAAAGAAAACAAGTTTCAATAAAGTTACATGTGATTAAATTGTATGCACCTTTTAAAACATTAACCAACGAACTAATATTCACCAGTATATCCTAACCAGTCATAATGATCCTCATTTATAAAGTCATATGAGAAATTATGATAACTTAAAATCCCCGCAGCCAGTTACATTATTAAAAGATAATCTTCTGTACAATGTATAATGTAAAATGATTTTAGTTGTTAAATAATAGTCTTCGAAATACTCAAGTACACCAATATTGGATCTCAATATGACATATATTATTCCTGAATAAAAACAATAGTCATGGAAAAAAGACAGTTATCGACGCTTTTTTGATTTCGTGTAATTAAGGTTATGGGACTTAAATATGGGTTAACTCTTCAAAACTTTGTAAACACGATGTTTCAAATGCATTCAGGTATAGTATTTAAAAAACTTAGTGACATGCTGAATATTCAACGGTTTATAAATATCTGATATGTCAAAAACAATTAGAACAATAAATGGTTTACATGAGCCAAAATTCAGACAATGATATGTTGATATTTTTAACCATCTTGGCAACATATCGTTTAGCCTGATGCGATCTCATAACTGTTAAATTCTAAAAAGCTTGTTGAAATGTATATGATGTGATATTTCAGCTAAGAAACAAGTTAAGCACAGTATACTTAAATATGTTGATAAAATGTGTTGTTCTAAACACAACAGAAAGACGCGTAATTTATTTGGTTGCCTTTTTTATCAAAAATCTTGGTCTAATCTTGAAATTGATCTGGCCGATTAGTATAGTTAGCTTATGTGAGTATCAGTATATGATTTCGCTTAGTGATTTCTGCTGCTTTTTCAAAAGTAGATTTCATTTTTGTTGAAATAATTTCATTGTAGAAGCGGGACAAATATACATGAAATTGACGAAAGTAAGGACCTTGAGTGATAATTCAAATGACCTTGAACTTTTTAGATCACACATAAGCTAACGAACATGCATATTAAATCAGAAAACTTTCACTATAAAAATTAATGAAAATTTGTTGCATAAAGTTTTAGATGATTTGTAAATTTTCCAAGGTCTACAACCGGATTATCTATCTTAAAATCAGATGATTTCCAGATTCTGTAGCTCATTTATCTGTTTACATATCAATTTCTTTGTTGATCCTTTGCATAACTATAGTTAATTTTATAAGCTATTTCACTCAATCCTTGCAATATTTGTGACATTCAAGGTTATTATGAGGCAATGATCTAAAGAGCAGACATATGTTGAAGCAAACATTCAGAGTTTAACTGGTTGTGTGATTCTCTTTAAATAAAAAGAAAAAGAACCAATAATCTTTTTATTTTAAATCTTGCATACAACTGGCCACAGAACATCTACATAATTTACATGTTTTGCATTTCCGTTACATCACTTATATCCTAATAATAGAACAGACTATTTACTACCAAGCCGAAGAGTCAAATGCACTATATAGATGTATTTTCTACAATGCTACGATCAAGATTAATAATAAGCTTTTTAGATAAACAGCATTTTTTTAAACTATTTAAATGCGTACTACGATAAAATGGTGAGAATTTTAGTTCAAATGGCTTCCTGACATATTTAAATGACTTGGCAACATGCTGAATATCCAAAGCCCTGCGAAAAACGATAGGGAAAAGTATTTTATATTATTCATTTTTATTAAGTTTATGGTACCTGATAGAATCTTGATAAGATTGTTTCATGCGTCTTAATAATCATATCCAAAATTTATGCAACTATAAAAATCATATATTATTAGTGCGATTCTGCAGCTTGATGATAAATTGTAAAGCAGATTGACTTTGGCTAAACAACTATTAGAAATCAGAGAATACTAATTTGTCGAAAAGCTCTAAACTTGGAGTATATTTAAGTTTTTTATTCAGCTAACATCACCAATCTATAACTATAAGGAGATAAAGATCCAATCTCTTCTTGCCTTAAGACTCATCTAGACATCTTATATATTAGATGCCAGATATTTCTTTGTAATAAGTATTAATCTATGGAATAGTGGTCACTAAACAGTAGTTCGTTAATATAATTTATAGAATCTTGTGGGGAATTAGTTCCAACTCTAAGAACTTATTGGTAACGTCCATGGTTACCTTTCCCACTAGTATACGTTGAAATTTCTGACCATACATTAATTTCTTGGAAGTTTCAGACACTTTTTCCTAGAGAGTCCCATTAACTAACTTATAAAAAGCTTCATATACATGCATACATACTTATATAATAAGCGATATCACGTTTTTAAAGGGTGTTATTCATACATATAGAGCCTTAATTTAACTAAGATTCCCTGATATCCTTAGTTTGAACTCACAGTAAAACGAATTCATGACATTGGTCATAAGGAAATTCAACTAAAAAATATATAAAAGATAAAAATAACCACTTTTTTGACTGGTCTTAAGCAATGAGTTGGAAATTTACTAGAAAAATTTCCTTTCCCTAACTAACTAAATACGACTCTGACTTTGGCATTGGACGATACGGATACGTATCATAAGAGGAACACCATTTCCATCAATAAATGCGTATACCACCCTATTAGTAAGTCCCAACTAGCGTTAAACATAGGTCAAGTAAGACTTCCTCTTAACTAACTTCAACCGTCTGTTCATCAACGATAGCACTAAAATTATTGAAAGAATCATCATATAAGCTATGAATATATTTGGCAAGATTATTCATCTTTATGAATCTAGGTCTTTTAACGATGCTAACCATTTGTATTATATATTCAAACTGTAATTTTCCTTTGCCTGTTCTTGATTTATTCACTCTTCCAAAGTCGTTCAGATGTTATGCATACAGTGATTTGGTTTTACCGATCGTTTCCAGATATTTTTACATGAGTTAAACAGACAGTTAATATATGTACTGGAATTCCAATGAACTAAAACTCGGGTGGGAACAACCAATCTATCACTCAACGCAAAATTAAGGTTCTTTAGTAAAATAAGAAAACCATACGTTAAATACTTGATTTGCAAATCTTCAATCAATTACCCTTTACATCCTTCACGATTGTTCCATTTCTCAATTCCTTTATCTTCCCCTTTCTGTTTTCTTCAGTGCAATTTCCTAATATTTTGACAGACATTCAACTTGTAATTGGTGTTACATGCTACTTATGTTGACAGACATTACTTAAGAGCTATGCTCATTAATAAGAACTATGCTGTTCAGTTGCATAAATCGTTATAAGTTGAGTGAAACTCAAATGTGTAACCTACTGGTTGAATGTAGAGTACTTGTGTCACTGAGCTAAAACTCTACCTACAATGAATACCAAAATGATGTAAAACTACAAACGTACCTCATATGAAAGCAGAGTATGAAGTCGTGTTATTCTAGTTCGTTTATGAGCTTGAGCACATGGTTCACATAGATTATCACCACATTCAATACATCTGAACAAAAAGAAATACAGTAACTTTAAATAAATTGTTTACAATAACACACAACTTAACATCGTACTGCATCAGAAATTCAGTGTTCTACTCTGTTGTGTTCAAATAAATTAATTTTCTGTGGAAAACTAAGATATTTTTTGCCTGAATATAATTTGAAAGTACCTCACTATCACTTAGAAGTAACTCTCACGTTTTATATTCCGTAAGCACAAATTTAATTCAGAACAGAAAATTAATTTACGATTAGGTAAAGTTTTATAAGTAATTCTACTTTAAATGAATATCATGAGAAAAAGTAAATCAATCGGTTAGTGATTACAAGTCACGGGTTTGAAACCCGTCCCTCCTACTTCAATTTTAGCATCAGGGTATTACGCCTGTCACTTATCAAATTATGGATTGAAACTCAGCGTATGAACCCGTACGTATTTTATTACTGAGGTGAGTATAGCAACAAGTACATTAAGGTAGAAATTTTATACATAAAATCAGTATATCTATGAAATCAATAAATTGATGGATTAACTAATAAAGTGACGAAAAATATATATTATCTAGCTTTTCAACTGTTTGATTACATGCCCGATCATCTTTAAGCAATGAGCCACAAAATGCACCCACTTATTAAGAGTAATCGGTTGAATAAACCTGAATTCGTTTGAAATTACATAGTTTAGCAATAACGCGTCTGAATTCATATCCTTCTGTTGATTACTTTCAAAGATTTAACAAAAAATAGACATTAGATTTCCGAATCCTTTAGTTAGATAGACACACAGCCATGTTGTGATTACTAGATCAATATGAAGTATTGAACTCCTGTACACTACTTAGGTTACCAGCAATATACAAGTACATAAATTTCGTTTGTTTACGAATAATTGTAGCTGTTTTAGTTTGAGTCAAACGGAGTGGTACATCACTTTAATGTTACGTTCATTAATCTAGATAACTAGACAAGTATTGACCCACACACGTAGAATACATAGTAGCAAACATAGCAAATATATAACTGACGATCCTAATTGATCATTTGTTTTGTGGAGTTTACTCACTGTCACCTGGTTCATAATGGTTCTTCAAATGATTCTAGATATTTATTGATTAAAGGTAGTTTCCAACCCTTAAAAAAAAACATATTAACCTTTATTTATTCATAAACATCTCTTAAATGCATTTCTAGTTATAATCTAACATAATTAGATTAATTTGCTTTGAAATTTGACGTAAGGATAACTTAATGTAAGTGAATAAGTTAACTATTTCAAATGCTTACTTTCCTTCCACATAGCCTATTTTATTATCGAAGCGTTTATTGCTCATATTGACTTTTTTCAGCCTTTGAAGTGAAATACTTATACAGACAGTAAAAAATAACCATATTAACGAAGTCTCAACATATACAAATATATTTGAAGTGGGATAGACCCAAATCATTTGCCATCTGGTCCGTTGTTATTCAACTGTTGAAAATTTAATTGCATCTCTAATCGATGAGTTTTTGTAGTTTGCTTTTTTTTAAAAAAAACTGATTTCAGACAAACGGTTTAACAAACATTAATTCATCGTGATCATAAATAAATACACTAATATTTATTGGTTAAAAGTATTTTCAGAATCGGGTTTGTGGAGATTGTAGTAATTTTAATAGTTGGATTCGTGAGTTGATGTAAGCTAGATCACCATAGAAAACCTGGAAGCACTGAACGGCTGTTTCATCCCTAGTATGGGATCAATGGAAGTTGGACGTTAACACCATTGTATGCCCTCTCAGTCGTTGAGAGGTTAAGCGTTTGCGCACGAGACAGAAGGTCCTAAGTTCAAATCCTGCGGGCGGGATCGTTAACGCGCATAGCTGAGGAGTCCTATTCTAGGACGAAAAGACCGTCTAGTGCTTCCAGGTTTTCAATGGTGGTCTAGCTTACATCGACTCATGAATTCAATTATTAAAAATATTTTCATTAGGCATGTTCTGCATAAATTTGAAAATGATTTAAATTTGAACGAAATCACAGTTCATAAGATTCCGGTCAAAATATGACTGATGCCTATCTAAGTCATACGACTGTACTGGGATGACCTTATAATAATCCCGATTCAAGTGAATTTCAATGTCATTTAGCTAAGTGATCAATGAAGATCACCTTTATCACGGAATGACTTAAATGTTGGAAATGGAACAGTTATTCGATGATTAAAATAGTTAATGATCATCTAATATCGTAAACAATGTTAAATGACCTTTTTAGAGTCCGATTCAGAGAGAATTCAGACAAACCAAAATTGAGTAATCTGTATTAGCATTTAAATGTGTACCTAGCTAGATTTCGTCGCTGATTACATTTCTTCTTTTTTTTTGTCTATGGCTTCAACTGAAATCCCAGATTTTTGTTTCTTTAAAATTAGGACTTGTCAACATTCTGCTGAGACACCAAATCAAGAATAAGTATTTCAAATGTTAGAATGATATCCCCCAAGATACTGAGTAACAATAGTCATTATCTTGTTGAACACAAATTGTGTGTTCTTAAAAATTATACCTTAACTTCTCTAATTCATAGGAAAGGTCTTTGAAGAGACAAGATATTTTTATGTTTTGATTCTGAATATAAAAAATCATTTGAACAACTATAAAAGAAATTTCAAGAAGTAATAAAAAGCTTTTTAGTCCTAGTCTGGGATCATTCGTTAGCGTCATCGTCTATGACTGTACTAGAGTTTGTACTTAGGACCATCAAATCTCAATGCAGTAAACATGATGCCTATAACCTACTGCGTCAAACCTCAGATTACAGTCAGTTCGTGATACAGGACTCAGTCTCATCCAATCTCATAGGTTATTTACTATGTTTACTCGAATTTCTGATGGTATGCAATGACAAAATTTTAAACCACGTATTAATTAAACCATTTTCCATCTCATATATTTCCACATACATGTAAAAGATGTTAAATAAGAAAGATTAGTTCAGCTGAACTATATATATACGAAACTCAATTGGTGTATTCATCAAGGTGTGAAATAATTATTTCGACTGTCAATATAGCTTAGTCTACTATAAATATTTAGGTAAAGAGAATGCAATTTCCCAGTTTATCGTTTTATCAGAAATTCACTGTGAATAGAACCTACGAAAATGCTGATACGTATTTGTTGTTTTAATCTTCCCATTAATTAGTTTCTTTCGACAAATGGGCATCCTATAATGATTGCCTCTATATTTCCACTAATTTACAAACATAAAAGCAGAGATGGATGGTTGCTAGCAGTAGAATTTAGGACGTGAGTTTCATTCCATTTGGGGCTCATGAGTTGGATGTACCAACATCCTAGAGATGATGTCCACTCAACGATTCGAACTCAGTACTGTACGTTTCAAGCGCTATTACAAATTTCGAAATGAACAACTCTGGGATCCAGATACATTCAGTTGACGAATCCCAAATAAGATAAAACGTGGGTTTTTTTTTATTCCATTGCTAGACACTATCCATCTCTGTTTTTTTGTTTTGTTTTGAAAATACAGTTAAATTACTTAAAATTTATAATTCTATGAACGTGTTGTAATTTTATTTTAGTCTGATAAGTAATCTTAATCAAACATTCAAATTTTTTTCAGTATTATGTACAACTTTATTTGGTTATGTGAAAAAAAGGATGATGTTTTCATTAATAGCCAATCATATGAAAGGTCAAATGAATAAATAAAGTTTATTTTCTCCGGTAGCTTAATCATCTAAACAACCAATAAGAATTGAAATGACAGTTTAAATTTAACTGTTTTATTTTATGAATCATCAATTTCAGACGAGTCACAATTACATAGGTCACATGAATAATCTAAATAACTAGGCTAGTAAATTCTTTTTTTCCGAATGCTGGTTGTTGTGATGAAAGTGAAAACAATTGAGAATTTTTCTTAGTCTGTTTTTGTTTTTAGCAAAATCTGGTCATGTCGAGGCCTATTTGAGAAACCGATATCTCAGTATGGAAAATCATAAATGCACCAAGAAAAATGTTGCAAAATTACAACTTTTTATAAGGCACATTGATCAATATGTTCACTAAATGTCATTCTAGTGTTCCACAGTATTTTTTGTATTCAGTTTTAGACGATAACTGAGAATTCGATATTGTACCAAAATATAATACTGAATAAAGCTATTAATAATTCACTTGGTATTGTTTTACTTGAATCTTCCCACTGATGTTTTAGGACTGAAATTGATCAGTCTCTTATTGGCATATGTGCATACTGTGCGTATGCCTCGATATTGCCTTAATTTACAAGCATTATAAGCAAAGATGGATAGTGGCTAACAGTGGAATTCAGGACGCGCGTTTTGTCCGGTTTGGGACTATTCAGCTGGATGTACCTGCATCTCTGCTTATAATGCTTGTAAATTAAGGCAATATCGAGGCATAAGCACAGTATGCACAAATGCCAATAAGAGACTGATCACTTTCAGTCCTAAAACATCAATGGGAAGATTCAAGTAAAACAATACCAATTGAATTAAACTTCACCCCATTGCACAAGCAAGTGGCTATCAGGACTCAGTAGCTAAGTGGATAACGCGATGGCGTTTGAAGCGAACGGTATTGAGTTCGAGTCCCAGAGTGAACATCAACTCTGAGGTGCAGGTACATTCAGCTGATGAGTTCCAAATAGGACGAAACGCGCGTCCTGCATTCCACTGCTAGCCACAATCCATCTTTGCTTGTAGAGCTATTAATAGTAATAATAATAATAAAAGATTGAGCTATTCCATTTTATGAGGTGATGAATACTGCACATTCGACAACCAAGCGAAATCATAGCAGTATAATAATGACCTATTTAGTGAGTAGTATCCAATATTGTTTATAATTCTAAAGTCACTTAATTTTTCCGGGTTATAATTTATTTTCAGCTATTTACGAGATTATAATGAAACTGACTTATTCAGAATTCTCAATAAACACATTGATTTTTTTGGTTTTTTCTAGGCTAATTATTTATTTCTGTACTTCTGGCACTTCTATTCACTTTATTGATAAAATAGTTACATATATCTTATAGATTATTCAGTATTTGATAACTGTTTCTATGTCGTGATAGTGATTACTATTCTAATGACTTTTATATATTATTCAAAGAAAGTGTTCATCTTTAGTCAGTTAGGTCATCGAACAGCTATTCATTATGAGAAAATTATCTTCACACTGACTAAGTATAGAGTAAAAGCTAATGAAAGCTTAATTTAGTTCTTAGTGTTGGTTGGATTCTATCGTTTAAGTCTATATTATTCGGCATTATCTCTAGTATATTTCAGTGCTCAGTGTTTGGAAGAAATCAGCAAAAGGCCATAGACCTAAGTTTTATTTTAGTTAGCATTCATCAGCTTGGAATATCTACGACTGAAATCATCAGTCAAATAATAATAAGATACTTGCTATTCAATAAATTTCACAAACATAATTTTTTAAAGAAATTTTGATGAGATAGCATGTTTTATGAACCGAATGGCTTCTGTTTTAATTAGATAAAAGTTCTAAATACGATTAAAGCAATTTGTATTTACAATGAAATACATCTTTAAGTTTATTAAACGTCAACTGAATTAGTTTTAGTTTATTTTACTTTATTTTACAAGTCTATCATTAAACAGTCAAAAACTTTCCATTTGTTCCCTTCAAACTACTGACTATTTATTCCCGGTACAGGAGCAACCATAGTAACTCTCAGAATCCATACATCAGTTTTCCCTACCAATATTGATTTGAATAGAAATAAAATTTTAAAACAGAATCCCGTTTGTCCTCTTGTAATGTATTTGGATAGGAGACAAATACCGAAAATACCAAATAAACTCTGTCAGTTGTCTTTTTCTTCTAGAAGATTCTGTCGTAGATGATAATTTTTATTATCCATTCAAACGTAAACATACATCAAGGACTAATTACATTTACTTCTATTGTTATTTAAAATATTTTTTTTAAGATCAAACTTTTTCTGTGGTATCAATCTTAGCAGTAATAGATTGATTTAGTGATTTTACATCTGGATCAAAGTATTTACACTATCAAATATGTTACTTAAAATTTGATAATGATCACGTGCTCATAACAGTTGTTTATTTGACATACAATCAGATTGGAACTGAAGTTTGGAATGATATACATTCTCCACGATTGGTGGTTATATACATTTCGTAAATATATATGTATGTTCATTCAATGATCTTTCCAAGGTTAATGGGATTACAATTATCTGATATGATGAAATCTTTTTTTACATTTTTTATTGATAGTAATCAACTTAACCCACAAAACAACGGGTATAGATTGGGTTTTTTTTAAAAAAAAAAAAAAAAGATCTGATCATTAGAAACTGAATATGTAATTTCAATAGTTCAACTATTCATTGATGTCAAGAGGTTTAAATTTTATTGTACATTAAATTTAACCATTGATTTCATTTAGATCATCTTTCCAAAAAAACAAAAACAAATCAGTCGTTAAAACGGATTTGAATACTGTCCAATTTGTTTTCATATCAATAAAGTGATGGATCATTTGTAATCTGTGTGAAATATTATTTAAGATTAAATATAAAATAACTTGGATAATTCGAAATATAATCAATTTATCTAGATGTCGAAGAAACTATATATGACAGCTTGAAATTGAATAGCCATATGTTAATTGAATAAGGACTGTGCGTTTGTTTTTTATCAATGATTTAAGTTATATTCTGTGGTAATGGTTAGTTTACATGGAACAACAACTAATCAATGAAAATAAGTTAAAGACACTACAGTATCATATTAACAAAAACATTAGATACTTACGTAAGAAAAAAGCAAAATGTCATAGTCATATACGCAAAAGACTTATGATACTTAAAATAAACAAACCGCTTATTTGAACTAAAAATAAAAAAACACTTCAGTATCATTCTCTTAACAAAACAAAACCATTTAATTCTTGAAATATAGACCAATTTAACTTGTATATATATTCTGACCTCTTAAATGATTCAATCAACCACTCAGATAGAGAAATTTCTTTTCAATTAGTTTTTCACCATGACTCTACACTGATATATTTATATATGATTTACCATAATGAAATAATACTCATCGAGTGGATACGTTACGTAATAATTACATAATGACATTTCGATCAAAAATCAACATTGAGTAATTGGAAGAAAGAGGATTAATAACAATCAAAGTAATTATTCAAAAATCAAGAAGTTGCTACGTTGCATAATATATAAAAAAGAGAAGGAACAGAACATTTTGATAAATGGTCAGTAGAATAGTAGTTATGTAAGAATCAAAAGATAAATGTTGAGAATAAGTAAAATACAAAGTTCAAAAGACAAAAACAAAATGGAAGAAGTACGACAATAGTTTATTAATGTTCTTCTACAAACGCCCCTATACCGATGGCTGAGGTAGCGAAAGTGGTTGTACAAACTTCTTATGGATGCAAAGGTTAGGTTTGTGGACATGGATTGCGATAGCTTCAGCAATGTGCAAACGACGCACTCGTAAACCATGTGGCAAATTTGATGGAATATGGTAGATAACCTTAAAAGCTTTATTCATTTCAACTTGATGACCTGTGTCAACCAAGTGAGTGAGAATAGAATTCTTAATCACTCTTACCTGTCCTTTGCTCAACAATGACAGATGGTGCTCTGTTATACGGTGAGGAACTTGACAAATTGTACGCCCTATATAACTGGCTCCACAGGAGCAGTTGAATCGATAAATATACATGGATATGGCGAATTCAGGCAATCTGTCTTCATTAGCAGTTCTTATTGTGGGGTGTGTGTAGAAGATACCACATAGCCTGGCTGCATTAAATGTTTTTGTACCGCTTTTCTTAATCTCTAAGTCGAAATTTCTTCAGTAGTGTCATTTAGGAATTGTAATTTTATGAACAATACTTTCTTAGGAACGGTAGGTATTTTTGTCCTTCTTTTCATTTCCTTCATGTGTTTGTCGATGAATTTCATTGGGTACCCATTCTTACTAAGTGAGTTATGAATATTAACCAATTCATCTACAATAGTGTCATCCGAACAAATCATCCTAGCATGATGAGTCAGGATCTTTATCAAGTTATTCAGGCGATTCAATGTTAAGGTAATTAAACAGATAGAAAATGAAAAATAAAAGATTAGTGGGTAACAGGTTTAAATAGCTCATTAAACAGTAATAGATATCGTTAATACTTAGTAAGACTTTTTAAGCCTGGTGACAGAAATAATGGCTGTTTGTCATGTCGAACTCAAAAAACAAGTTTTAATACAATTATCTAATCAGCTGATTTTCGTTGAACAGCAAATATTTTCAGCAAATCATCCAGAATATAAAAATTCTCCAAACATTTTACAACAAATTTTCGGAATGATGTTACGATGAATTGACTTGTGAACATATCTATCTTTGATCATTTATATGCTATCCGATAAGTTATTCAATATCATCCTGACTTAATATTTCGTACATAAATGACAGCTTTAATTTCCTATTGTAATCACTCATTTATTCGTTGGTAATGTCCTACGGAATCTATTCACTTGAATTCCGTAAACATCATATAAATACTAGTAAAATTTTGTTATTTGGTTAGTAGCACTCTATAAAATGTATCAGACGTAGGCCGAGGGAGGGTTGACACTCATCAAAATATTATATTTGAGATACTGAAAGAACTGATTCCCCCCCCTTAGATATTCGAGTTTATCTCGATCAGTACCAGAGTCAGGGAGGTTACTACATGATTTTGAAAATGGTAATAATAATGAATATAAAGTATTGCAGATTAAATCTTATACACAAGTAAATAACTTAAAGTACCTGAATTGAGCTTCTGAATTTTGATTTTCAAACATACAATAATCACATTTACGTATTGTATCTTTTTGTAATAAATTTGCTAAATCTCGAAGTTTTTCAATAAATATTGCATTTGGAAATTGTAATTCATCCACTGTAATTGTTTCCTCCTTTTCTAATACACAGTTTGAGTCAGTAGTTGAGTTAATGCCAGGTTGAACTGTCGAATATTTCTCATCGTTATAGTTATTTTTTAGTGTTTCATTAATAAAACTATTACTATTATGAGGATCATATTGTTCTTTTAATTTCAAACCAGCCATATGACAAGCTTTACATTTTATTGGCGAATTATCCACACTCTTTGAATGGTTATGTAACGAAATAGCACAACTTTGACAGACTGTATGTAAACACGGAAGAAGCTGTTAGTAGTAAAAAAAGAGGAAAACTAAATTATAAAGGGATAATTTATTATTCCTCAAAGTTATCTAGCTATCTTGAAAGTCATATTTGGGAAGTGAGAATATCTAATAATAATAACAACAATATCTACTAATAATGATAATAATCATAGCATAGAAATTTGATTATGGTTGCTCTCATCACCCAGAATGTTTAGATTAACTTTGTTCAGTGGGTCGATATATTCAAGCTACAGGAAAGTGATTCATTTTTTATTGATTGTTTAAATCTTCACATTGATGTTTAGGACTACTATTGATTAGTCTCTTATCAGCACATGAGCACCTAGTGATAACTAACATTATATTTCCATTAATTCACAAGTATTGCAAGCGGAGATGGATGATGGCTAACAGTGGGATGCATGACGTGCGTTTCGTCCTACTTGGGACCTATAAGCCTGATGTACACTAAGCAACTCGAACCCAGTGCCTTTCGCTTCAGACGCCATCACGTTATTCATTCAGCTACTGAGTCCATATAGCCATTACATGAAAGTGAGCCATGCGAAAATTGTATATATATAGTGAAAAGAAGTGATCTTTGTGAATAATAAAAATCCCTACTATGAGAATCAAAAAACAACAGAAATAAGCGAACAATAGCGTTTTTAACTAGATCTTTAGTCTGTAATTTGTTTAACTTGTGGGAATAATTGTTTCAAAAAATTATCTACTGAAGATACTTATTGTCCGTTGGTCGGATGTTATTAGCAACAACCTACTGTGGGAGAGAACAGACCAACTTCCAACTTAATATGAAATTAGGAAATGATGTTAGAAGTGGATAGGAAATACATCACGGAAATCATCAAACTGCATCACAAAGCAAGCTCCAACTTGGAATTGTGGGTGGAAACGGAAAAGTGAAAGATCAAGGAACACACTGTGAGGAGAGTCGGAAGCACACATGATCAGCAAATGGAAGCAACTGAAAAGGAATGCCCAGGTGAGAGATGGATAAAGAATGCTGATGTGCGGCCTATGCTCTTCCACAAGGGGTAACGGGTGTAAGTAAGTATGTATGTAAATAAATAAATAATATTTATTTGTACATATGAAAATTATTAAAGTGACAAAGTTAGTTTAGGAGCCAGTTATAATAATGTAAAAGGACTATATAACTAGTCATAATGAGTAAAATGTACGACTGATAGTAAAATGACAAGTATATTAGTAAACATAAGAATATTAAATAGTATGATAATGTGAACAAAAGAACAAATTCACAGCCAGAAATTTTAACCAATCATTTAGAAAGCATCATCCCTTGTAGTTTGGAAAGGGTCTGGAACAATCAATACGGAACCCTATTCCATTATGTTTGATCGATGATGACCAGGTAGTAAATAGAACCGAAACATCCAAAATGGTTTTTCGTATGCCACCACTTTTTTCCTAGTGGAGTTCACTTTCGTCTCCTATATTTGGTAGAGTCTATAGGAACTCGAGTTGTCAATTTTCGTCTCTGTATTTTGAAAAGCATTGAAATACAACTTTTTTGTCTTTGATTTAATAAGACTTAGTAGACTACTTTACTAATTATTCAATATCTCAGCCACATAAACATTTAAAGTGATTATTTACACGTTATATGGTACGATTTTCATAATTAGTGCTGTTTTAATAAGTTCCTAACCTAGGTCCTATGTTTAATTATTCATTCAAGCTGTTTCTATTATTTTTATCACAACAAATACACTTATCATCTTACTAGTAATTTGTACTGTTTGCTTTTTATTGCTTAGATTTAATTTTTCAGTCTTTTTATTTTTCATTACCATTAACTTAATAAACTACCTTGATTTATCTAATATTTCTCATATATGTCTATAAATATATTACTGTCTGACGAATATCTCATTAACAACAATATTGTTTCAGTAGTTTAAAAATCCCATTAGAATATTCAAAAATGAAGAATATTTGAGCGAATAATTGTTTTCAATAACTTCATCATCAGGCTCTACAGTTATAAGTCCATAATTATAATATTTGACAAAGGCCACTGGATCACCGAATACCTAGATTGAATATTATTAACCTCTTATCCCCTTCCTTTATTTCATTTATTTACCTTATTATCATTATTTTTGATTATCTCTATCTTAATCTTTACATTCACCATTCCTAATTCGTTGATCGTAATTACCTTGATAACACCCTCCTTATTACATATTATATTCACACAACAATCTTATTATTATCAGAATGGGTTTTGTGGAGATTTTAGAAATTTCACAGATTGAAATCATGAGTCAGTTGAAGCTAGACCACCATTGAAAACCTGGAAGCACTGGACGGCCGTTTCGTCCTAGTATGGGACTCCTCAGCAGTGCGCATCCACGACCCCGCACCACCCGGGGCTCGAACCCAGGACCTACTGGCTTCGCGCGCGAGCACTTGACCATTAGACCACTGAGCCGGCATCCAACGGTGTTAATGTCTAACTTCAACTAATCCACGAAGTTGCGCTACCGTACACCATTGTCCTCAGTGAGTTCCTATCTCACAACAGACCTGGTTGAAGTTAGACATTAACACCGTTGGATGCCGGCTCAGTGGTCTAATGGTTAAGTGCTCGCGCGCGAAGCCAGTAGGTCCTGGGTTCGAGCCCCGGGTGGTGCGGGGTCGTGGATGCGCACTGCTGAGGAGTCCCATACTAGGACGAAACGGCCGTCCAGTGCTTCCAGGTTTTCAATGGTGGTCTAGCTTCAACTGACTCATGATTTCAATCTGTGAAATCTTATTATTATTATCTCAATTGACAAGATTAAATTCTCTTACTATGCATTTTATTCACACAATTTTTTTTGCATTTTCATACTATTATATTTATGGTAACTGAACACTTTACTCCAAATCATCCTGACCTTTATTGAATGACCTTTCTAATTTGTCATATAATACAATTTTGAAGTATATATATATATCGTAACAGATGCAAACGTTTACCATTTTTAACACGTAACATTGTCAAATTCATTAATGCCATGACTAAATTTGGGCCTTTGTAAAATATTATAATTATGGACTTATAATTGTAGAGCCTGATGATGAAGTTATTGAAAACAATTGTTCGCTCAAATATTCTTCATTTTTGAATATTGATTCACTTAACATAGTTTATTTTCATTTTCCAAATTTTAATTTGATTGTTAAAAAGATATTTTTTAAAGGTTTTAAGATGTTTTCTAAATATTGTTAACATGTAATTTGTTCTATACTTAATGATAATATATTCTTGTGATTACATTCTTAATTAAGAAATTAACATCGGACATTTTGGCTGGTTGTCTGAAAAAAAATTATTGATTCAGTATATTGTTATTTGGTTGATCGGCAGTTACAAATTATGCATGAAATACTTGCCAATTGATATGAAGTTTGTTGTGTTTATTCATGTGTTATATTTGTATATGTAATACTGAACTTATTGTATTTTGTAATAGTCTAATACTGAATATTATATCAGTGAATTCATGTATTTGCATAAATATAAGCTTATTCAAATTTTTATCTAGGTAGTTAATAATCGGTTATTTTCATGATCTTCATTATTGAATAAAATGACCTTGAAATGGTTATAAGCTTTAGCGTACTTTAAATACTTTTTTATTTGAACAATTGATTATAATCATTCAGTCAGTCAGCTACAACGTAGGACCAGGCACATATATGCATCAGTCCAAGTTGCCATACCTCATTAACACAACAAGATGGACCCCGGATTCATAAAAGTAGTTAATTCAGAGGTGGTAATATATAAAAGAAAGATTGCAATAAGGATATAGTTCAGGAAGAAAGAATTAGTTCTTAGAAAGAAAGGTATAAGGTGATTTTAATCTCACGGTTTAAGGGAAGATAGAGAGTGTATACACCTACTCCATTATGATCTATTCTAACCTATATCACCCAAAGTCTCTAACCATTGGTTACGATAGTCACATGGACCTCATCATAATCATTATAAACTGTCCAAAAGAATATTTCTCTGTAAATATTTCTATCATATTAATGTGAGAATATATAAAAAGATTATTATCATTATTATATCGTTCGGTTTGATTTTCAAGGTTGATCCTTTTAAAAACTAAACCTAATATTTTTGTTATCTTTATCCTGACATAAAGTAGTTTAATTAAGAATCAATATTTTCACGCTAGATGTTGAGGAAATATTAGATATTTGCTAGTTTAAAAGAATAGGTTTGATGAGGCTAAAATTAGGCTTTATGTTAATTTCCTTTAAAAGTTAACCTAGATTTTGGAATCAGGAAATTATAATTTTTTCATATCTTTCCAATATGGTACAAAGGGGAAAAATTCCATTCTGTCTATTATAAATATTAAGAAGCAACACTAATAAAGTTTTACCGATATTCTGGATCAAAAAGTGAATTCATCTCATAAGTAATTTTGCTACCATGCCAACAACAATATAATTAATGTCAACAGACTAATAGTTCATACTTTGAATTAAGCGGATTTTGCATCGTTTTACTAAACAATATCTATATCTCTTCCCTTAGATCTACACCTAAATTGAGGAAAACTTGTTAGCATCCATGTACATCTTCTGACCTTGATAAGAATCACTACTGACTGTATAGTAATATATTTATTCCTAAGATTATAATTGGCTATTGTTGATAATTAGTAGTTAAACAAAAAATTATTAACTAGTACATATTTACTAAATCCATTGAACTGACTTTAAACTATGAAACCTGAGTTTAGCTATTATTCACTGATCTATAAATTTAAACATCTCGGTCCTATAGGAGGCCAAACGTGAGTTGAAACACCTATTGGTAAGGTTTCGGACTGTGAAACAGAGTAACACAAGTTAAAATCCGATAAACAAACAAATAGATAGATAGATGGATAAATAGATAGACGGGTACTCCTTATAACCTATCCATATCTTCTATGAAAAAGGATCAGACTTTTATTCCATTTGATTTATCTCATAGTCTCATTACATGAATTTGTCTGTTCAATAAATTTGATTTTTAATTTTAATTTTTGATCTATTAACTTAAAGGTATATTTCATTGCGAAACATTTAGATTTGATCCCTTTTAGTGTCATAGTTTAAAACTCGTATATAACCTTGACTCTTATTCTTTTAAAGCAAAGGTCAATTTATTTTTTGACATTTTTACATAAACAGTCAGACGATATGAGTAAGTAGTGAAAAAAAACAGGAAAACACATATTGATAGGGAAACTGATGTTGTTATTTTGATGATAAGATTATTAACTGTCCTCTATTGTGACGAATGACTTTTACTTAATTGTCCTTGTCAATATCATATGAGTCAAATTTTTTTCCTAGTATATTCAAGATAAGGCTGTTTTCTACTATTTTAGATGGTGTCGCTATATAATTACAAAACATAGTAAGATCTCATCTAAAAATATTCTTTTTAAGAAAGGTCACATGAATCATTAAACAATGATGTAGTTCAATGACAAACTATTTATGCACTTGCAAATTGCTGGTCTAGTGGGAGATGTGGGGGCTGTAAAACTTTCACGGTTTTTGTCACAAACTGTTCTTAACTAGACCAACGTTGAAAACCTGGAAATACTAGGTGTCCGTTTCTTCATAGCGTCCTTCAAAGACTTCGCATCTGAGAATCAAACCCATTACCTTCGGTCTCTGTGAGAGAAACTGCTGTCTATTGCTTCCATGTTTTCAGTAGTGGTCAAGCTAAGAACATTTCATGACTTTTAACTATGAAAATTTACAAACCGACTATTTTTTATACACGCAGTGGACATTAATGTCTTCGAATCAATTATAACAGGTTTCTCGAAGTCATAGTTAACCAGATGACATGATTGAATTATGGTTACTTATGTAGATGATTTATCAGCTACATGTTATAAACAGATAACATAAAAAATGAAAAACGGTGAAATGCATGGTTTTATTTCACTTACAATGGAGAAGGTTTTGAAAGGAGATTATGGCTAATCAGTAGTAAACAGAGGATAATGCTTTGTCTTGAATTGGGACAAGTCAATAATGTTAACATTAAACTTTTACGCATTATTCCATAACTAAACTCAACAATAATTACTCGGTGATCTCAACATACGCCATTGATGTTTCGAAGACGCCTCTGATCGTCTAGTAACCTAAGGATAACCTCCATTTTTTTAAAGCACACGTTCCACACCCATAAATTATGACAGGACAAACCGTTGTACAGTATACTCGTCTTTAGTTGACAGACGAGCATTTCACTGATGCCACAAATATGTTAGTTAACAAAAGTTGTGTTGAGATTTCATCAGACAACAAACCATTAGGATTAATGAAACTTCCGAGAGAAGTGCAGCGCTTAACGTAATCAGTTGTTTCACCTTCTATCATTAGTATAGGTAATGACTCTATAGCACTTAATTTTTAATTTTGTCATGAATTAGATGTAATCAGTGTGAGTTAAAATCAGGGTAACTATAGTTGTTAGATGCTTTTCAAGACTTATGGAATTGTACAAATAATGTTGAGGAAGAAACTATCTACATTATCGTATTGTTGTACATGACTCATCATTGTTATGCAACCATCTATTTAGTAATTCACTCTTAATCCCTTTGGTTATGTTCAATGAATATTAGCTATTAAATTAGTCAACATGACTTGCTATTAGTTACTTGAATCTTCCCATTGTTGTTTAGGTCTGCAATTGATCAATCGCTTATTGGTATATGTGCATCCTGTGCATATTGTATCGATATTGCCTTAATTCACGAGCATTATAAGCAGAGATGGATAGTGGCTAGCAGTGTAATCCAAGACGTACGTTTCATCCCATTTGGGACTCGTCAGCCGGTCATCAGGATTCAGTAGTGAAGTAGATAACGCTATGGAGTTTGAGGCGAGGGCCACTGGGTTCGAGTCCCGGACTAGTCATCATTTTGGGAATGCTGGTTCATCCAGCTGACGAAACGCGCATCCTGGATTCCATTGCTAGCCACTATCCAACTTTGCTCATAATAACTTTAGGTACTTTTTCTCTTTCACTTTTTTTATTACGACATTCCCAACTTTTAAATAGCTTAGTGAAAATTCCAATTTCGACATTCAACAAAATGGCAAATAAAGAGAGATTTCTTTTCAATTATTTCTTATATTGGCTTTATAAATTTTGTTATTCACTTCTAACTTTTATTTGTACTCTGTTAAATCTTGTGTACGGAGGTGGTTATCATGTAGTCGGCAAAACTTGTTTTATTTGTTAATAAGTTAATTCATCTAACTAATTGACCTCATCAGTTATGTAAATTAAAAATGTACACACTAAGTCTGCAAAAAGTAAATTTAGTATAAGTAAACATCAAGAGATACAACAAACATACTAATTGGATAAATGTCACAGATGAGAAAAGCATGCCATATTAATTATTAATTATATACTTTTATCTATCTTGCTATTGTCTGACGGTTACAACACTTAGCATTCAGTGACTATATAGAGGGTTAAAACCTTGTTACCGTCATCATTTGGTTCAAGTGGTTGAAGAATATTGCTAAACTTCATACAAACAGTATAATTCCAGCGTAATTACATCAATCTGCATTTTTAAAAAGCTCATTTCATTAAATTTAACTCCTTATCTGCAGTGATTATTGAGTAATATTCATAATATCCACAACCACATACAGAAAATTGCCATGTGCTCATTGGTGACTAACTTCAGGAGGTGATTTGCGGAGTTCTAGTGAGGAGCCGTAACTAGTGGAGCTAATCCGTGTCGGGTGTGAACCAGTTATCTACTAAAGATAATGAAACATAGTCATGCAGTGTGGTGGAATGATTGAGGTTAGACATTAACACTGTTAGTACTCTAGAAATTAAGCGTTTGTGCTCGAGACCTGAGGCCTTGGATCTGAGTCTCGCGTGTGGGATCGTGCATGGGCTCTGCTGAACAGTCCCATACTAACACAAACAACAGTCCAGTTCTTCCATGTTTTTAATGGTGGTTTAACTTGAATCGATTCATCATTTCAGTGACTATTCATATTAATGACAATAACAATCAATGTGTTCATTTTTTTTAGCTCCTACCATTCTCTTATAAGGGCAAATTTCCTCTAATAACCAACATATTTATTCTTATATGTGATCATAGTCTTCAGTAGTACATTGAATTCTGAATGAATCCTGAACGAAATAAGAATCAAATATGTTCAATATTGATAAAATATGTAAATGACTCACCTTTATTACATTATCATTTGCATGACAAAATGAGCAAGACAAAAAGTCGGAATTTAATAAATTTATCAACTGTTCTTGTTTATTACAAGAATTATCGATAACTTTTGTTGATATTAAAACATGATCTGTAGTATTCAATGTTGATATTGTCGATGACATGGATGCTATTTCAATAGATGGTGTTCGATTGGAATGTTCTGAATAAGAGCAATTTGTCTCTTGATCAGATCCATTATCATTTTCATCATTAATTATTACATTCTCTTCAAAATTCAACATTATTATAATAGTAATAATAAATAAAAACACTACAATTAAATTTAAAGTGTGAAATTCAAATATTACGCTTATGTCTAAGAAACACTATGGTGATTTATATTTACTGTTAAACTTAAAAGGTTTAATCTAATAATCATTCTTTATTGGTTTTTAAAGCACTTCAATGTTATCAAGTAACCAGTAATTAACTAAATACATATTAATTTGATTTTTGTTTTAATCAAACATTTATGCTGGTCACATCCCCCTACCGTCACCTCCATTGAAGAATAATATTTTGATTAGTTAACCAGAAGTAAATATGTTACACATAATATAATTAATACCAAATTGCTAATAGATATACAACAATATGGATGTTTAAAGATTGAATGAAAAGTCTCATTATGACTAAAAAATTGTAACAAATAGAGATAAAAATAATGACAATAGCAACACTAGTAAATCGTTAGATGATTGTATCTAAGTTTACTTATCTTCTTTTTCCAATTATCTTGTCAATCAATAATTCTCAGATTTGAATGGTTAATTCGCGCCAAATTCTGGGATTTATTTGTTTGCCTATATATATATATGTTAATGTTTCTTTTTCATTCTTTTGGATCAACCAACATCTGTTATGTAAATAAATGAAAAGGGAATGATTATCCATTGTAAATCAAATTTGTAATTTTTGAAAATAAATATGACAAACGTCGATATTTAACTGAACAATTTTTTTTTCGAGAGATAAGGCATTTATTTATTTGAAATTCAGCTGTGTTTTAAATTTGCTTTGATATTTCTATATTTATTTCGGAGTAGGATCATCACTGGTGTTTTTCTAAAGAGTGTTAAAATTTGGTGTAAAAATTCTTCGCTAAAAATTAAAAAATATGATTGTTCAATACGTTATAAACTCTGATTTTAAGTATCTTTAGACAGTACTGACCACGGTCTACCTTTAGCTGGTGAACCAATAAGTAACCAAAAAGTACCGAGCAGCTACCATCTCCAAAACCGGAATGCTTCAGTAGCACATACTTGTGGTCTACTGGGGGAATCACTGAGTTAAAACTCGATGGTTAATAAACTCATTGAATTCGCTCTGCTTTTAGGGTAATACACTTACCATAAGACTTTAAGGTCCTAGGTTAAACCAGTGTTGTGATCTTCGTACAATAGTGTTGATCAGTCCAAAACTATGATGAAACAGCTGTCTAGTACTCCTTAATCTCGATCTTAAGTTGTTAAGAGGTGTGTGAGTTCGTCATTGTGAGTAAGTAATTCATTCACCTAGCTAAGGTCACAGTTCATATATCCCTGTCTTCGTCAGTCTTTTAAATCATGTACATACATGATTCGTTTACATTATCATACGGTTATTGCAATAAATCCTATAGGGCAGTACTTCTTTTTTTCTATATGATATGCTGATCAAGTGTTTATAAGTGTGGATCAGTAATTGAAGTTAATATATATAAAACAAAATTTCAAGCACTTGGCAGACAGATTTTTCTGTCTGACATCAACTAAGAAAATGTTTTAGATCGCAAATGCAATCTATCATTTAGGTCTCCATAAGTGAGCATCACAGTTACCAACTGAATAAAACATACATTCATAAATAATATATAAGTCAGTTCATAAGTAATCTGATTCTAGCTGCAACATATCTGTAATCGACAAATAGAAGAGTTGACAAGATTCATATGATGTTGCCAATAAAGAAAAAAAATATTGAAATGAGATGCAAACGAAATCAATTAAATAAATAGAAACATATAAGGTGACATTTTCATTTTAGACTATTATAACTAAACGTCACTAACCATTAAATACAGTTTCCGTTTGAATCTGAATCAGTAAAACTTTACCTTTTGACAGAGTTAACACTAACAGTAAAAATCCTAAAGGATTGGTAATGTCATAATTTGATTAATTTGTATCTACCTTTTCATATATATATCAACTCTTGAGGGATATTATATACTAATGGGAAGGAATGACTAATTTTAGAAAGTTTCCAATATACTAGACAGATCAACCAATTCAACCTCTTAACCATGTTATTAAGTCTTAACAGAAATAACATAACCAGAATCTGAAAATGCTGAAAATATACCTTGAAAATGAGATTTTTATCGCAAGTAAATAGTGTAGAAAATAATGATTGACATTTTTTTCAGTACGGGGTTGTAGAAATTGTTGAGTTTTTTATTGAGATCGTGAACCGATGACTGCTAAATCACCATCGAAAACCTGGAACTCGTGACCAGTGTAGCTAATCCGTGTCGAGTAGAGAAAGGTATCTGCCTCATACAACGAAAGATGGTTGCGCAATTTCGTGGATTGGTTGAACAGTGTTTTCAGGTTTTCAATGGTGGTTTAACATTGATCCCAATAAAAAACTTCCTTTTTTATTTTTATACTTGTGATTGTTTTCTTGTCAGAACGCATGCAGATATATGATAGTCGATTTCATTCTACCCAGTATAGCTAGATTCTCAGAATTTAAGTCTTTCCCCGATAGACAACCTACTGTCTCTATCTACAATATGATTACCTTTAAAGCTTAGCTTTGAAAAAATCCTCTCTCTTTAATTTTTGAGTAAAGTTATAAATATATCCTTTGCTATTTAAACATTGTTCAGTTACCTGATTCTATGATAACTGCTTTTTACTTCTTGACTTCTTATTCTTCTCAATCAACTTGTCGAAATACTAAAACTTAAACACCTTTTAAATATTTTATTATTAGGAAACATTGCAAAAATTTCATAGTATGTAAGTTTTATATTTCCGAATCACAAGGTTACAGCTACGATGTCTGAATAGACGGCGAAACATTCACTCATCAAAACTAAACTTGAACGAATTATAATATAAAGTTAAGTAATTATCTTTGCTAAATAGAGCATATGACAGTAAAAAAGAAGGAATACAAACAAGATATGGTTCAAAAAGCTATTAGTATCACAAAAAGTACTATAAACTTGGTTTGATAAAAACTTACCACTAGGTATCAATTTACTATAACTCATAATAATAATAAGTGAATGATCTTTGATATACTCGAAGAAATACTATAAAATACAAGAATTCATATAGACTAGCTACAATTTAATAATCTCAAACAGTTTTTATTCGAATCCAATACGAGTTTGTGTAAAAACCTCTAAGTGTGACAAAAAGAATGACAGTTTAAAGTCTTATGTTAAAAAAGAAGTATATTATGTTTGCTACACTGGCTTGACTGAAATCAAATGAGTTCTATAAGCAAACTGACTGATTAGAAATGGAGTCACCACTTGGCTGACTGTTTTATTGTTGATCTCGAAAACACTATACTTAAACGAACAATTTATATCTATCTATACACGAGATATTTGAATGACATCTACATTATTTATAACAAAAATATCAATGACAGTCAGAATACGTTTATTAACTGACATCAATCAATTAATTTAACAACTGAATCAAAGTTAGATTCGAAATCTTACTTCTTAGATGTTTTAGTAAAAGGAAGACCTAACGGTTCTCTACAAAGATCGATATATAGAAAGCCAACATGGAATGGCCAATACGCGACTGTTCAAAGTCGAGTCACACGGAAGTGAAAGAGAAACATGACCCATCCTCTATGTATGAGGGCTAAATAAATATGTACTGAGGGTACAATCAATATCGAAATTGATGAAATGCGGTAGATATTGATCGACAATGAATATCCACCTAGATTCATTGAGAAAAATCTGAAGCCAAAACAACCATATGAAAGTGTCTATAACATCGAAGACTCTCATCATAAATATCCAGTTTAGAGGAGATACTAGGGCAGAAATTCTGAAAAATAGACTTTTGAGATCTCTAAATAAAGTTATATTCAGGTGAACTTCGTACTGTTTTCTAGTCGGCCTACGATTCGAAGTTGTATGGAGAATAAGCTCCCGATTTGGATCAAATCAGTGTTCATGTAACACTTTACTTGTTCATATGGGGCAGGTTATATTGGCCGCACAAAACGAGCTCTTTCAAAACAGATCTCTGAACATTATCCTGCCTAGTTTTCCAAAGGTTTACAGGAGTCAATCAAAAGCTCAATCTTGGAGTACCTAGTCAATTTTAGTCGCTCCACTTCACCACTAGCTTGCTTCAATATCATAGATGCAGTCAGAAAAGTTGGCCAAATAGTAATGCAAATAAAAATCGTATGTATAGCAGAAGCTATTACTATCTACCAGTTCAAGCCTAATCTTTACAAATAAAAGCAGTATGTTCAGCGCCCCATTCTTCCATAGTCTTAACCTCCCTTTCTATCTTTCATAATCTATCATTTTTTTAATTCTTATATTTTATTATCTCTACTCCTCTCTAATTATTTTCAAAACTATTAATTAGCAAGTATTACAACTTTTAATTATTCTGTTCTAATAGTTCTCAAGTGGATAATTACTTTTACCTTACCACTTTTCAATCACCGATTATTACATAACTACTTTTCAGTATCGGATTTTCATACACAATTCATGGCAAGATACCACCAGAGTGAACATCAACTCTGAGATGCAGATACATCCAGCTGAAGAGTCCCAAATAGGACGAAACGCACGTCCTACATTCCACTGATAGCCACTATTCATCTTTGCTTAAGAAGCTTGTGAATTAAGGCAATATCGAGGCAATCCGCACAGGATGCACTTATACCGATAAGAGACCGATCAACTGCAGTCCCAAATATCAATGGGAATATTCAAGTAAACAATACCAAGTGAATTTATGCCACTTTAAGTTTTAAAAATATTCTATTTGACTACAGACTACTATTTTAGTAAATGAACAAAAAATACGATTGCACAGTTAAAAGTAAATGAAGTTCATAATGTTTAACAACAGTTTTAAAAGTACTGCTAACCTTGCCTTTACTTAAAATAATGTTTTCATGTATATTATAACCCTTTATTGATTTGTTTTCAGTGTGCAGAACATGTTGACGAAAGCACTCGTGGAGAAAATAAGGTTATTCTCGAGTGGAAGCCTTCCTTTTGGCGAAATTCTCCTATTTTTGAACAACGAGAAGCATACTGCGCTCATATGATTATAATATAGTGTTGGAGGTTTCATGAACTATAAGTGTGATCAGATTGCAACTGTTAGAAAGTAATAAATTTCACTCAATTGGTGTATAAGACATATAGTGCTTTATGTTTTTCACCTATAGCATGAAATTCAAACTCTTAACGTTAAGTAATACGTATAACTATACTGGTGTTGCCGAAACGAACTACGGATATTAACACCATTTTCTTGGCTAATCGACTTACAGATAATTTAAGTCAACAATGTATTACTCAAAAAGTAATCAGATTAAAATAAGTACAACTTTTTTAATGCTGTTTATGAATTTTCAAATATATAATGGCTTTTTTACATTAGAAAAGGTAAAAAGTGATCTATAAAGAAACTCTTTTTTCATTTAAAGAGCTTCTCAATATAATATTATATATATATATATATATATATATATATATATATATATATATATATATATATATATATATATATATATATATATATATAATATAATATAATATAATATAATATATCCTTTCATATTTTTGTTTGCACTTGTCAATCACCCAGCGAAATGGGGTTATGGGATAATTATCTGCAAATTGTATCCGAATGTAAGTATATGCAGGCCACGAGAGTGTCAACTATTTTTTGTGTCTCTATTAAAATGGTTCGAATGAGAGTTAACTATGAATAAACGAAAAAGAAACTAGTCTTTACAAATTTAATATGACAATACGGTTAACACAATAATCAGTAGGCACCTCGAGTAACTCTACATTTGCGTGTCATTTTTACTCGTTAACTGGCCAGTAGGTTTCTACTTACAGCATATCAGATACTCTATAAATGTAGCTTCATTAATATCACTTTCTACGCGTCTAATAACTGGTATTACTGTTAAAATTCTACTCTGATACCTAAAATTTTCTCTCTGTGAAACCTAATTAATTTAGCAGTATACCTATGGAAATATTCAGCTGATCCTTTTTTGGACACTAGAGTAAACAAATACAATCATGGAAACATTTTAAGTAATCTTAAAATACAATAATTCGAAAAGTGAATACTTGTTAATGTAAACACACATTGGCAGAAATAGGCGTACAATATATAGTTGAAAAACATATGCACTAAAATGCGAGGTAATTATAAATAAAATTTTTATTAGATTTCTTTTTAGTATTATATAAACAAGGAAGTGCGTCAATGAAGAAAATCCCAGTTTGAACAACCGATTCTAGTTACATTCTATCAAAGAACATGATTTTAAACGAACATTGGACATTCACCAATTAAATAGTACGATTTTACTACGAACTGTTAAAGTGTATTATTGTTTAAAGACTTTGCACATAACTTTTTTAAATAACAGAAATTGAATTCTTTAGTCGAAAAATTTATTGTACACAATAACACTAACCTAAAGTTCATGGTCATTTGAATGATCTAAGTGTCAGTTATTATTTAAGTCCAGGTCAAAAAATGTTTACTGCCATGTATCGTCAGCAAAAAAATAAGATAAATACATTTGTCTAAACTCCTTGTATAGTTAAGATTATCATAATACTGTCGCTTATCGAAATGATCGTTTGTAACACATTATTTTATTTACTGATTTATGTTATTCTATGGCTTACCATAATGTAGAACCATTTATTTCATTATAAGCAAAGATGGATAGTGGCTAGCAGTGGAATCCAGGACTCGCGTTTCGTCCTGTTTGGGACTCGTCATTTATTTCATTATTATGCGAAATCCATCACATAAAAATCGACTAGATTAGACAAAATGTTAAATGCTTCTCTCCATTAAACGTTTCAGACAATGCCTGAGTAACTCATTGATTTTGTCAGCAATTGTATGCACATCTACCATTCCAATGAAACTTGAAAATCGTTCTACTATGATTCCATCTAAGTTTTATAACGTCTATTGACAAAATAGTGTATGATTTAATGATTCAGTTTCTGTGAATAGAATAAACTTAATTCACTGACTTTCACGTGAAACAAATTGGTAAAACAGTCGTTTATATTATGCACTGCAACGTCGTTTATTTAAAGAAAATTTTCATAAAAAGGAAATTGTGAGCTAGCCTAAAGTGTACCTCTTTGCACAAACTATTTTCAATGAATGATTTGAAATTTTTTTTTATTTTCATGATTTAAAAATACAAAAACATCAACTGTCTGAAACATACTCATTGAGTCTTATTTATATCTGAAGAATTGATTTGAGTGAGATCAAATCGTACTACACAATCAGACAAATTAATCAAGTAAATTCCAGTAATATGTACAGTGATTTATTTACGAAATTTGAATTAGCACACATGATGTGAAGCTTCATAAATATTTATCTTACTTCTTATGCTACTAACGACTTATGGATAAGGCTATTTTTACTAAGCTTTATAGTTACTGGAAATATATTTATTGTATTTCCAATCATTAGATATGTTTTTACAAATTAGGAAATAAACAAAAAAAAACACATACAAAAGTCATTGTTTAGGTCGATTTAGCTGTGGAAGTATAAAGTATAGAATATGGTTAGAATAATGATGAGTATTTCAACTGAAAGTTGGTTATCATCACAAAGATTCGATGAGTTCAGTATAGCCCAACCATCTAGTTGGCTGAGCATAGAGAAACTTTGAAAATAATCCATTGAATTATTAGTGTTTGTTTTTCGTAGAATAGTTTTATGTTGAGCAAATGAAAAGAATATTTTCTTACATAATAATATAGTTTTACTCCTTTAAGTAGAATAAACTTAGAACGAAACTTAATTTACGAAAAAAACCCAATCGAGTGCAACTAATTACAAGAAAAAGAAAATCCTCCAATACCTTATCTTATACCAATGAGTTATGTTTACATATCTGATTTTATTGAATAGATTCAGAAAAACAGGTAACGTTTTTAAAGTATCAGTTTTGAAAATTACAATCATTATAAAATTTCACTTAAAATATGATGCTGACATTTAAACTCGACTAATGATTGGAAGATTCATAATGTAAAACGAGTGAGAAACCGGTTAAATAAAGCTAATTACATTTCATGTTTTTCTTGTACACTGTAACAATCAATCAAGGCAACATATCACTGTATATCTGACGTAATTTAATCGGTTAACTGAACTAAATGTTAGATCACTTTCAACAGATAGAGCTTTATGACAACTGAGGACCATTACATTAGTTTAAGTCAAGGAGCTTGTATCTAGGCTAAATTAAAACCACCTACTCTTAGATTACCTGTTTGTGATGAAAAATCTTAAGGCTAGAAATTTGTATATCTTGTAGAATTTTAAACCGATTGGAAATGTAAGTATCAATAGTTCGAATTCATCTTTGCTATAAAACATCAGTCACTGTCAGTCAATATCGATTTGCAAAGTCAACAGTATTCTTATAAATCAACTAACCTGCACTACGAACAATTAAGATTAACTGTAACTATAAATATATATTTCATATTTAGACATAGGTTATACAGAAACTATTGAAAAAGCATACATCAATAGTATACAAAAAAAGCATTAATAATCATTTAATCTTTAAAGAACAAAATAACAACAAAAAGTTAAAAGACAATATTTAACAATTTGCATAAAAACAGAAAACAAATGGATGTAAAAAATAAACAAAAGTTTGTATTTTGGTTGAAAAAAAAAGCGGAAATTTGTTAAATAAACTAAGGTGATATATATAAGTAACTTTTTCGTATTAAACATAATAGTCCATGTAAAAGTCGTAGTGGTAATGTATAAAACACTGTAGCATACATCAGTGTTGGTATGTGCACATACACAAAACGTGGATGTACATAACATATGAGATCGAACAAATGTCAGATTATATATATATAATGGCTAAATAATGACAAGAATGAAGAAAATGTAGACTGACACAACAAATGGTCAATATTAATACGCTTTTTAAACCAAATAACGTATACATAGAAAAGAAGCATCCATCTAATACAATACAGTAATGCAAAAAAGTCGAGATATAGTTGACAAGTAATAATAAAGACAAACGATTAAATACAACTAATACTGACAAACAATTATAAAAACAGTACACATAGGCATAAATAGTTAATACAATAATTGAACATTACAATGATTAATATTAATAATAAGTCCTGCAGTATAGAAAAATCATTTAATAAATAAAAGCATTTTTAACAGCAGTCAAATGACATAGGTATAATTGAGGAGGAAAAAAACAAAACAATAAATACAAATTGTCCTTTTTCGTTGTGTTTATCATAAAACAGCAGCTGTGTAAATTAATAAGAATAATGCATATATTTTTAACAAGAAAACGAAAGAATCCTAGGACTAGCTGATGCGTTATTTTGGAATATACTGATGATGTAAGCTTTTGCTCTTTTTAATCTTTTTTTTTTCAAAACAAAATATGTGATAAAAGAAAACAGATCCAAAAAAAGGAGATGACAATGAGATTCGGCAGGAGGAACGAAGAAGGAGAAAGTAAACAAAAGAGGGAATTATTTTTCGTAAAAAGAAAATGTAAGATTAAAGAACGTTCTCCGTTTTCAAACTAGATGGAAAACATTAAACAATAAAAAAGAGTAAGTACATATAATGAAACAAACTAAGTTAATCCAATGAGATAGATCTCTTAAATTGTGAATTTTAAAGGAAATGAGGAATGAATTGAATATTTTGATTCGCAGGCGAGAGAAAAAGTTAAGAAATAATCTGCTTGTTTACCACTTGGTTAATTTCAAGAACTGATTTCCCCAACTCGATCCGGTAAAAATCAAATTAACAAATAAAAATGGGACGGGAAAATTGGCAAGAATTGTGTTACTTTATTTAAACTGTTGGATTGTAGTTTCGATCAAGAGTTGGTAAACGATTTGATGGGCCCTTGTGTCTCTCTGTTGCATATTCTCCAATGAAAGAGCCTTCTTCATTGAATTTACCTATTACATGTTTTTAAAAAAAGAAAACGAAAAATGCTTTGATCATGAAGAAAGTATGTACATTATTAAGTATGCTAAGACCGACGGTAATTTGGTTAACTGACAAAACGCGTGAGAGTCGTGTTTTTATTCATTATTACTAATAATAAACTCTGAGTTAAATGTTTGAAATTCATGCCAAAACGGCTAAACTGAAAAGCAGCTTTGTCTTTAGAGTAGTGAATTTAGCAAAATCACTTAAGGAACAGTACTCTCGTCCAATTGACTGACTAAAACAACCAATTGAATAATATAATGAAAGTAGAGAACAGAAGTTTGTAACAACTTACCAGGATCAAGATTATAATCGTCTAGTTCACCATCTCCATCACTGCCAATTTCAGCACTGTCATCATTTAATGAACAACGACTGCCTCGAAGTGGCGGTTCTTCTCTAAAACAAAATAACTGATTAAGTTTAGTTAGAAAAAATTTATCTAACCACATGCCCACATCGCAACTACTTAAAATGGATTTTTATCGACTGCTTACAAACCTTTGAAAGTACACAATAAAAAATATACTTCAAAAGTTCACTAAGGATAATAATTTATTCGAATCAAAAATAAAACACGGTGCCATTATTTAATGCATTTTCCAAAGAGTTTTAAGATAATAAATAGATTGATTAACCTTGTAGAATTATGTAAGCGATCAGCAACGTTTGTTAGGAGGATCAATACTATCTAGGTCCTCAAACTAAAACAGATAGGGTGGGATTTAGGTCAACTCAAATACAAACAACAGTACTTATTTCAACAGTCCATAACCTAATTGTCTGATACAATGTGCTAACTTAGTTGTTTCTAATATTCCTACAATATAATCTTTTACTAATTAACATCAGCGTAAGATGTAAGTGGGACTTGGGTTGCATTTGTCATGACCACCTTAATGGCTTATAGTGACTCACGTGCAATTGAGTTTATTCTCATTTAACTCAGTTAAGCCCTTTTGCTAACTCATTTAGCGGACAAAGTCATCCGCAATTTAACAACTTATTGCACCCTTGTTATTTTGTGCTTCTATGAAATACGTATGCTTGAATATTGCTTACGGCCTACGCATTTATTCACTCTGCTAGTCTTACTACTAACTGCTTATTTGATTCGATTACTCATTCATTTCACTAGGTATATATATGTCCGTGTTATTCATATTCAACACACACACACTCTCGTCTCGCTCGCTTGCTTGCTTTTCGGCACAACTCTTCTATGCTTGTTTAACGCATCTGTACATTTGGATATATGTGTGTGGTCTCGCAATAAACGTAATCAACACTTCGTATTTGCATTCTGATTAATATACCGTTGGGACGTTATATAGAACGGTTATCAAGACGAGCTGTATACGAAGTTTAAGGATTATATCGAATACCGACCACCACATGCTACTTTTACATCATTGATCGTTTTGGCATTTCTACAAAGAACCCGAAGTCTAATTTCAGCATAAATCACAATGAGAGTCCAGTATATTTGAGTAATGCTTCGAAGATATCTGTAGTCAAAAGCGCGATGCCTGTGCATTTCAAATAACTTCAAAGACCATATTTCACAACAGCCATAAAGTAGATCACGGCGGTTTTAATTACAAAATGCTCATCACTTGAGAAGCAGAATGACATCTGCAGTGTGCCACAAAGGATGCAATTTAATGAAAACCAAAAAAGCTCTTTGTATTTATTCCGATGTTTTGTCAAACACCGACGCATCGAATTGATTTAAACAATAATCAATGGAAAGAAATGACATTTTTCAGGGTAGTTTTCTTAAAAAACCACGCATACACGTGGAAATACGTTGCAGTTTGCAAAAACTAAAATGTCCACTAAATTTATTAGTACTACTGAAACTGAACAGAAACTTACGCTCTTTCATAGGTTTGAAATGCTTCTTTTTCACGTAGTTCTTTTTCTGGATCATTTCCAAGAGCACGTTCTTCACGATCCACTGAAGAGGTAGGTAAATCACAATGCAGATGAAAGTCATATTTATAAATGAAATAAGTACAATAAACTAATGTACTATAGGTAACAGTAATACTGGATATTAGAAATACAAAATAGAAAGAAAACTACAAGGTTCTGTTTACTGAGTTTTAAAAATTGTAATTTAAACTTCTGCATCAAATGACTTACCGAACCATAAATCAGGAAGTATTTATAAGAATATTTTGCACAGTCAATTATAATAGACATAAGGTAACTCGAAAAAAACCCAGTAGGTACCAAATTAAAGCTGATCATATCTATTCAATACGTGACAGCTTCTAAAGAAATGAGAATTGTTAACGTGAACTGTAGCGTGCGTACACATATATTGATATATATATACACCTTATTTTCAATTTAAACTAACTGATTGTAACCGTTCCAAGGTCACTGCCGGTAACAAATCCGGATGAAAATTTCAGCAAGCGTGAGAAATACGGAGGCATCACACTATCAGTGCTATTTAAAACAAACGACGATCTGATCCAGATGTAAAGGCAAAGATTGGCAAAATGCAGCATTCCTACAGTCTCAAAACAACTGTCAGCCAACATAGAAGTCACAATCTTCAATACAAACATCAAGACACTTCAATTGTAGAATTGAAAACTGAAGTACCACTACAAACATCAAAACAGTACAGATATTTAGTAAAAATTGTCTACAAAAGATACTCAATGTCCGTAGGCCGAGTAACATCAGCAACAACCTACTGTGGGAAAGAAGAAACCAACTTCCAAATGAAGAGGAAGTTAGGAAAAGACGATGGACGTGGATAGGACATACATCACGGAAATCACTAAACTGCGTCAAGAAGCAAGTGCTAACTTGAAATCCTGAAGGGAAACGGAAAAGTAGTAGACCAAAGAACAAAATGCGTCAGGATTTGGAGACAGACATCAAGAGAATAAATAACACTTGGAAACAACTGGAAATGATTGCTCAGGCCCGACCGTAGCTGCTACCTTGACAAAGTGGTCAGACTTGTCTATCGTGATGACCCAATCGAGTTATATTGGCTGGAACATATGTTCCTGTAGGTTATACCATGCCAGGAAGGTCGATTGGAGAACGGTAAGACTAAAAGCAGCAACTCAAGGTCTGAAGGCGAAGTCGTACTGCTGACTGTAGAGGGGTGTGACAGCAGTAAGGTGTTTCCCTCAGACAACCAGCATCTGCAGCGATGCTGCCTTCCCACAAGGAGGGGTGGGGCTAGAAAAGGTCGACCTTAAAAATGTCACACCTCACCTTACCTCACGGATTTACGTCTCCGGCGGTAAGGCCCTTTGTAGAACGAAGCTAACAAAATAAAAACATTCCACGAAAAGGCCGTGCGTGACCGGCCTCAAGCAGTTGTCGCTTGGGCTCTGCGGTCACGCTCCCAGGTCATTAAGGCCAACATTAATCCAACTTCCTTTTCATGTTCCTCAAGAAAAACCCTTTCACTGTGTGGGCAGCCGGGAAGTGACATCGGCCTTCATACCCGTAACAGCACACGAGACCAAGTTGGTCACATTCAAATCTTTTCTACACCTCCTAATACCTCTCCTATTTCCACGATTAACCCTTCTCACGTCCCTTTACCACCTCGCACCGGTAGGGCAGACGATTCGAGTACGCGGAACGTCATTCCTGCTTTCCTGAAACCATGCTCTAAACTACACGTAGGAGCTTTTAACGTCCGAACACTGTGCCAAATAGGACAGCAGGCTTCCTTAGCTAGGACTTTAGAATCTCGCGCCATCGATGAGTGCTGCGTCTCCGCGACGCGCATACAGGATCCGAGTAGCGTCATTCATCTGACCTCACGATGTCAAAATAAAGAACCGACTCGATTCACACTTCGTGTATCTGGAATCCCTGATGCTGCTTCTCGTAGCCTCGCCGGCGTAAGTATAGCATTGAGTTTTAGGGCAGAACTGGCTCTCTTAGAGTGGATCCCAGTAGACAGTCGTTTGTGCGCTGTCCGACTAAACGGAACAGTAAGGATCCGAAAAGATAAAGACACCCGTCGTTGCCTCTTCGTCGTCTCTGCCTATTCTCCCACTGACTGCACCTCAGATGATGTAAAAGATGAGTTTTACAGAAAGCTCTCCGACCTTCTCCGAAAAGCTAGGCGCTCCGAAATAGTAATAGTGGCTGGTGACTTTAATGCTCAACTAGGTAAACTAAGCGATAGGGAAAAACACCTGGGTGGATCTTATAGCATCATGGCTCAAAGAACAGATAATGGCGACCGTCTGTTGCAGCTATGCTCAGATAACCGCCTGTTCCTTGCAAATACCAACTTTAAGCATAAGCAAAAACATCTCTTAACATGGCGGCCCCCTAATTCGTCCCAACGTTGGACCCAAATAGACCACATCACTATCAGCCACCGATGGAGGGGCTCGATAGAAGACTGTCGCTCATTCTGGAGCACATGCTTAGATTCAGATCGTGCTCTAGTACGAGCGCGAATCTGTCTGCGTCTTACTGGACGCAGGAAAGACGCTGCAAGGAAACCTCTTAGAGACCTACTTAATGGTAGTCAAGCTAAGAGTATATTTCAGGAACAACTAGGAAAACAGTTAGGCAGCCATGTATGTAATGCCCACCCCAATGCAGCTTGGAATGATATCCGAAAAGCTGTGGAAACAGCAGTGATATCTGCTAGTAAGGTAAACCACAAGGTTAGGGAGAAACATTGGATCTCAGCAGCATCTACCGCATTGATAGATGCTCGGAAACTCATTCCATCTGGCTCTGAACATAATGACGAGCTGAGTCAGCTTAAGCGCAAGCTGAAAAGAAGTCTACGCAATGATCGCGAACAGTGGTGGGTAGCGAAAGCAAGAGAGATGGAAAAGACAGCGGCAATATGTAATAGCAGACAAGGAAACCGACTGTTAGCGAAACAATCTCAGAGAAAGATGGACATATTATACATTCTCAATCCAGGAGATTGGATCGATGGGCAAGAACACTTTAGGGATCAGTTCAACTGGCCTTCAACCACACTTCGGTTTCCCACGATCTCCAGTCAACCTGAATGGCAAGTTAATGTAAGTCCTCCGTCCCTTTACGAAGTTGAAAAAGCCATAGGAAATCTGAAACGAGGGAGAGCAGCAGGCCCTGACAGGTTTACTCCTGAGATTTTTAAGGATGGTGGTCCAGTATTAGCAATGAAATTAACCGAGGTCTTAGGTAGAATTTGGGAACTGGAAGTAATCCCATCTGACTGGTCTCAATCACTGACTGTGCCAGACTATAAGAAAGGACAAAAGTCCTCTTGTGACAATCACAGAGGAATCAGTTTGACTAATATAGTGTCTAAAATATTAGCCTAAATAATACTTCGACGCCTAATCAAAGCTCGTGAAGAGCAGATTAGAGAAAACCAGGCCGGTTTTCGACCTGGACGTGGTTGTATAGACCAAATATTCACACTACGTCAGGTTCTAGAACACAGACACACGTTCAGACGCCCCATAATGGTAGTATTTCTCGACCTTAAGGCGGCATTCGACTCTGTTGATCGTAAGGTTCTATGGCAGTGTTTGTCACTGAAAAAAGTACCAAAGAAGTAAATTAACCTTATTCAGGCTCTCTACTCGAGCTTATGGCGAACTGTCATCAGAATTGATTACATCAAGTGGTGTTCGTCAGGACTGTCCACTCTCTCCATTCTTGTTCAACTTTGTCGTCGACGTACTTTTAGAGATAACACTTTACTCGTCTAGATTTCCAGGGGTAGAACTTCTACCAGAAGATTCACATGTTGACTTAGAATATTCCGATAACATAGTTCTATTTGATGAAGACGCTGAAAAAATGCAGTCGTCTGACCACTCTAAGCAACAATGCAAGCATGTTCGGGATGCGATTCTCTCCCTCGAAATGCAAAAAGTTGCTTCAGGATTGGGTTGCATTGACACCCGTACTAATGATAGGGAGTGAAGTAATTGAGCGTGTCGATCGCTTCACTTATCTTGGAAGTCTCATCAGCCCTTGTGGTCTGGTGTGTGACGAAATCTCAGCACGGATACAGAAGGCTCGACTAGCTTTTACCAACTTGCGTCATTTATGGCGTAGGCGAGATATCCGTCTATCAACCAAAGGACGGGTTTACTGCGCAGCAGTTCGTCCCATCCTGTTTATGGCAGTAAAACATGGCCGGTAAGAGTAGAGGATATTCGTAAACTACTAGTATTTGATCATAGGTGTCTTCGAAATATTGCTCGTATATCATGGGACCATCGAGTAAGTAATGCAGTTGTTAGGAAACGGGTACTAGGTAAGGATGGAAAATCAATTGATGAAGTAGTGAAACTTCATCAGTTGAGATGGCTGGGACACGTGTTACGTATGCCCGACGACCGAATGCCTCGATGTGCGATGTTCAGTGGTATAGGAGTAGGTTGGAAGAAAGCTAGGTGTGGCCAGAACAAAACAGGGCACAAGTCCATGAAGTCACTGACAAGTGGACTGTCCCATGTTGGTAGGTATAGACTACCTGGTTGGGGATCGCGAAATGATAACAACCGATGGTTAGAGACCCTGAATGAAATGGCTCAAAATCGTTTGCAATGACGCAGGTTCATCCGCTCTTTGTGTTTTCGCGAATTTTAATCTTCTGAATTCTCCATGTCCCTTATTTTCTTTCCAAATTTATTTCACTGGATTATACTCTTTAAATAACATCTTCAAACCTCAATGTTTCCGATTACTGCTTATATTCTTACCACCTCTACCACTACGGGATTTGAATCGACCACTGCATTTCTGTGCCAACGTGGTGTGGCAACTCGAACTGATGTGCGTACGTACGAAGTTCTACGTTGTTACTGACTGACTGATTGCTCGGGACAGAGTTTGATGGAGAATCCTGCTCAGCGGCCTATGCTCCACCAGGGGCAACAGGCGTACTAAGATTCGCATTCTCCTAATTTACCAAGAAATTTATGATTACAGATTTGAGGTGATCCAATCGATAGCAATATCAAAATTGTATTCGTCTTCACTTGAAATTAAAATACTGAATTGTTTCAATTGAGTATAGTGATCGAGAACTAAATGACAACTGAATGAAGGCTTTCTAAATTGATAATCATCAGATTCATCTGCTTAACAAAGTTAAATTTTAAGCATTTTTAAGAGTTTGAGGAACTCCGCACACGATTACTGATAAAGCTAACTAGATGCTCTTCTGAATACGTAGTTAATCATTTTCACTATTCAAACTTTGGGAGGAAAAATAAATATATGTTTGCTATATCCCAATGAGTAGAAAAATTGTATTTTTGACGTTTTGTGACTTAATGTAAGACGCTTCCTCAGAGTAAATAAATAGCTGAGATAAATTAACACAAGTTATGGGCATCAAGAAACACTTCATCGTATATAACACAAAGATCTACGACATGGAATTAAAGTCAGGTAATCAGTAACAGTTATTAGGATAATGTGAAGATGGAGAGCATAAAAGATGGGAAAAACGATGAATCCTTGAATCTATGTAATAACATATGGGCGGTAAGGAATATATAAATGTTGAAATTTTAAGATCGTCCTTTAAAAAATAAGAAGGCTTTAAAACACACCTGTATCTTATGTACATTTAAGGTAAAATTGTAAAAACTTAAAATTATTTAGCTATCTGAAACTAGTAAGATATACTACTTGTACTAACGTGAAGTTGGATGTTAGTAGTGCCTAGCAGGGTGACGATATCGAAAAACAGAATAAATGTTCCTCCTGTTTAGACCAGATCTTATCGGTGAGGTACGTGAACACATTCAGTCTATAGATAAGAATAGTCCAATCCAATCTGTTTCCACAGTGATCTACAATTTTCCAACTAGGGTGGGTAGTCCAGTGAACAGATTTGGCGATTACCCAGTGAAAAAACGTTCAGTTATAAACGTGAGGAATAAGAAGCTTACAATGACTCGATAAGTATACATGAAGAAACTGTTCTCAAAACTTCGGACTTGGTAAACGTTTCATAGACTCTGAACTCCCAATCGAAGAATTAAAGTCATAGAAAGTGTTAGCAGTATTCATAGTCTCCAATGAATAACGTATTAGAATATTATACACATTATATACTCTCATTGAGTATAAACTTACGCATATAAGTTTCTCCACGGAATCTCATGACCAAACAAGCAGTTAGAACTCCGATCGCAATTATAACAAGGATACCGATAATCACAGCTGTTATCCAAGATATGTTAGCTGATGCTATGCAGGAAAAGGATAGAGAAGAAAGAAAATAAATGTGTAAGAAATCATGTAAAGGAAACGAGAATATCCATTAATAATAATAGTAATAATAATAATAATAATAATAATAATAATAATATCAGGAGGGGTTTTGTGGAGATTGTAGTAATTTCAATAGTTAAGATCATGAGTCAATTGAAGCTAGACCACCTTGGAAAACATGGAAGAACTGGACGGCTGTGGTCTAGTGACCACTGAGTCCAATAAATCCTGGGTTCGTGGGTGCACACTGCTGAGGAGTCCCACAATAGGATGAAATGGCCGTAAAGTGCTTCCAGGTTTTTCATGGTTGTCTAGCTTCAATTGACTCATGATCTTAACTATTGAAATAATAATAATAATTTTAGAAGGAATAGAAGAATAAGAGGAAGTTCCAACTAACCCGGAGTTGGGTCATGATCCACTTGTAGATCCAACGCTGCTGTCATAAGTGGACGGATTTTTGCATCCTCATGAGAATCATACACCTTCATATTCGGTTCCAAAAGTCTTGTATCGAGATCTGCAATACGAGAAGTCACATGCGGATAAAAGATACGCCAACGGCATGTCACATTCACTTTTCGGAACAATACAGTTAAGGATGGATCATCAACGGGTGTGATTATCAACTAGATAAAAGAACATACATGCACACATTTTCATCCACATAAACCATACATTAATAAAATATTTTGTAGGTTTTACCCAGAAATGAATAAATTATTCAAGTCAAAATCTAATTTTCTTTTGAAAAATATAAGTATACATAACACGATATTGTTCTTCTGTTTTAACACACAAAAAATATATCGCAACAATCGAAGCCGATGAATACTTGTTAATGTAGGTTGAACGCTGTACAGGAAGGCAAGGTATTTGAAAATTCAGACAGTCACAGTAAAAGCTGAATGGCAAGCTAACTGTCAAAGTTGTTGCGATATTGAAAAAAAATGTGCAATTGTTTAATAAAAGCATATATTTGAACTAGAAAAATAACGACCGCCATAAATGCAGTTGAAATTCTTTTATATTTACTAATATTAATAAAACCTAAAATGTCTAGTTCTAAGGGTCAATTTCTCAGAAAAGAAAGCTGACTTTTCATTTTAGTGTATATATAGGGAACGAATTTAAGTGTGTGATTAGCAACAATTACCTCTGATATCTACACAAAATATAATTTATATACGATATATAGGAAGAATAAAATATATTTCTCTTTTTTCACGATACAGTATTAGAATACGAAATTATGACCGATGACCGAGATTTCGCCACCACTAAAACTGGATACTCGATTGATGCGCTCTACACAGATATGATCACGCTATATCAAATACCCCATTTACGACCAGTAATAGAGAACTAGAGTACATGATATCCAATACTTTATTCAACGCCATTCATTTCAAGCAGGCATACTTCGTAAGTCTAAAGTAGACATCAATGATAGGAAGGAAATCACAAAGTAAATACTAAGTTGTATCTGTAAATCTACGTTCAGTGGCCATTTACTTTTTACTTCCACTAGTTAGATGGGTATTTTACTAAGATTACAGTTAGTTTTTGTGAACTTTACTTAAAGCTTATAACCATGAAATTATAATGGTTATTACATGATAAACAGATTCATACAATGGATAAACATTTATTTCTCTACCAAAACAATTATGAATATCATTGAATTAATTCACTTACCTTTGTGCCTTCTGTTTTAATAAATTTTGACTGTTGATAATCTTTTGTCATTTTCGACACAGGAATGCCATTTAATTCCCATGTTTGTACAAAGTAAGTAGACTGATAAGGATCCGTATCGATAACGCAGTCGAATGCATGTGAAATAGTGTTTAAGCAATCGGTAGTACATGAGTAATCTTTTGGAGCCTTCAAGATGTTTATTCGGGCTAAAATGGAGAATAAATAAAACTCAATGAATAAAATAGATTGGCTACCGTAAGATCCGACTGTATAAGAATAAAGTTTGAGCTAAGTTGAGATAAAAATCTGAGTCATTAATCTTTAAGCACTTTCCACATTAAATTATTGTAATTGATTATCAGATCTTATCGGATTATAGTCTGGAGAAATACAAGTTACCGAATTTAATAGACATGCAGAGCAATGTGGTAACAACTTAATCATTCGACTCAAAACTAGTGGGTTTTAGCTTTACTCTGCTGATTTCAGTTTCAGTCTTAAAACAATAATGTCAATCTAAGTATATAATTAGACAATTAGTTTTATTCAGGGATACGTAGAACTTGTATTATACGGTTTGTTTACACGTCATTTCAATAAACAAATGATGAATTTTAAAAAATTAAAGTTGGAGAAGACCTTCCTAAAACAAACATTGTGTTAGGTGGTATAGAATCTTTAGCTAACTTATTGGTACCGCACATCTGAAAATTATTTATGCGCTGAAAAATTAACAGACTAAATGGATTGGAAATGAAACCGTCTGTTGCATGAATCCAGTAACAACACTTACAAAGAAAGTGCGCGGTAGAAGTATGTATCAAAACTGATCGTAGATTATGAAAAAAGATCGACACTAGACTATCTCCGTACAGTAGTACATAATTTGAATATTCACGTCTAAACATATTGAACGGTGTTACGAAAATTTTTTCATGTATGTAACATTTGCATCTAAGTTAAACTGATGGTATCCCCTTCTAATTTACCATATTCTGTCAGTTAATGTTGCCACGATTATTGTAGTAGTAAAAAGCTCTTAAGCTGGTTAAGGAGTTATCAACGTATCAGGAAGTCGGGGTTAGAATTTTGATTGTCTGTTGCTTACTTACTTCCTTACGCTCATTACCCCTCTTAGTCTGTCAAAAATATAAATAGTACACAATTTCAAGGGATGAAATAAAGTTGCATAACGATCGAAAAGTAAAAAAATAATAATAAGATAAAAACCAAACATGTGGAAGACAATTATCCACTTGAGGAGTATGAGAAAGATGAATAAATTTAAAAAACATGGTTTTAACAACAAATGACTAAAAGTCAAAATCATTAAGGTGAAGTATAAATAATCGATTAACTGAGCGTGAAAAATTAGGTATTACAGTCATGATATGATGATAGTTTGACGCGACTTTTTTGTACACATCGTTCAAGTTTGTCTTTGTAGAGAAATCATCTATAAGATATTGTTGCAATGTACTTGAATTCGTCATTTAAACTAATTAATTTGAAAAAAAAATGTTTAGACATGTCTGCCTGAGTATGTAACCGGAATATATGATAACCTGCCTAATATACATGCGTAATAATCGTATGTTAATAATGTTAATTGCATGAGGTCCATCTAATCATGTTTCGCCTGTTTATCTAAATAATATTAAATAAAACCTAGTCATTCGACTCTTATTACTGAAGAAGTCGACGATCGACAATGTTTTCGGGAAAACATGTAATGACGAATGCCGAGTGTGGCTTCGTAATTTTAAAAGAAAGACATTTTTTAGCATTTAGAACTCATTCAACTTGAAATTCATCGAACATTTTCAAGAGTTTTCGAAGCATTTCTCTAAATAGTTTATCCCCTAGCTGTTCGAAATAGACGTACGAGATAACATGACTACGGTAACATGAATAACAGTTTGTTACTAAACTCGAAGAATCGATTGATTGATGGTAAGGCAGAGAGCGAATTGAACATAATTTACACCACTAAAAATGCTCACCTCGATTAACATGTGCCTTTTCGATAGTGGCCCTTGTTAATCTGAGCCCATTTTCACTCGCCCTTATAATAATCCTGGATAAGAAAGGACGATTGCTGTCAACCAAATCAAAAAACAATTTTTTCAGAAACTATGATACTCTATAAATATTTGTCTTGTCTAAGTGAATAGAAGAAGCATGCATACACATGTATCATCAAAACAATAATGAAAACACATCAACAATATGTGTATCTTACGTAGTACTCTGACAAGAGTGGATACTCGAGCCAAGCCATATTCATTTTTCCCAACCAAGCTGACAGTATGAGTCGGTCCAACTTTACTACCAGGTGTAAACAGCAAATTATAGGCTGAATAAGTTAAAATATGACCATTTTTTTGCAATGGTTGTATTAAAGCATCTTTTAAGTACGGATATTGATCTCTTAGTTCAGTACGAAAATTAGTAGGATTCGGTTGGTACGGTAGGCCATTGATTTCTAAAGACTAAAAAATGACAAAACAATCATCATAAAAATAAATACAGCAGTCGAGAGTGATGTAAACACAGAAATATTATATGTAATAATCAGTTTTCTAGGTATGTATCAAATACTTATACAACGAAAAAGAAAATCATATTAGGTAGTAAAAACAATTCCCAATTACGGTTGACAATTGCTGGGAGCTGAATATGAAAAACATGATTAGTAAGTTCATTATTTTGACTATAAGGTACAGTTATCCAAAGGTTAAAACCAATATAACTGGACTACAAGAAAATTCCAATTTTAACTGATAAATACGTAAGAGCTGAGGGTGAGGAGAGTTCGCTCTCCTTCTGGAAATGCTTTCACATGGCTTCGCGTAGACTGCCACCACCAGGGAAGTCTAACTTCCTTCTCGCAGCGGGGTTGTTGTTTACGAAATTGAGAGGAAGAAAAACGAATGTTTGGCGCTTTAACCGGTTTGGTGGGTAAGGAGGGTTCATCTGGCGGAGTTAGAAAACCCTGATTACAAACCAATGATGCCCATGCGCTCCAGAATCCTGAGGGAAATGGCGTATGAACCGGTTGTTGGTCACCGGCTATCATGTGACTGCATCTCCTGGCGTTATTCCACTGCCTTATGGATCAGACCCTTAGGTCAAAGGCTCCGGGTGTGGCCCCTAAGAAAGCCACACGCTTCAGTCTGGGAACCCGGGCAGTATCATAACCCAAACACAAATCAAGTGGTTTCTGTCGCGCATATGTACTCGGTGCCCCTCCGAACTAATATTTATGCGTTCAAACAACAATAAACAAACTTTAAACATTCCCTTATACAATCTAATCTTACCTTAAGTTTTAATGGCCAATAAATCTATCGTCCTAAACGGATCGATGCCAGTAAATTAGCTGCAGGTTCTCTTGCGACTAAATATTAAAACGAGCTAGGTTCAACTCTAGCTACCAGCCCACCGAACAGCATAAACGAGTATTGGCTGTTGTTGCATGACGTCATGAAAATGGCAAGTGAAGTCGCCTGCAGCTTCGCGAAATGTCCTGCTTATAAGCACTAGGTTTCTACAGGTTCCTTACAACTCACCATCCCTCTACAACTTTGCCATCGACCATATTCTCGAAACAGCTCTGATGACGGTAGATAATGTTGGTGTGGATCTGTTTCCTGGAGAAAATTTTCGACCTTGAATATGAGAATGATATTGTCTTACTGTGTTATAATACCCAAGCCGTGCAATCCACAATTAGTCAGCAGGCAATCAGTGTCCGTAGGTATAGTATGTACTTTGAGCCTTCCAAGTGCAAAGTAGTTCTACAGGACTGGCAAAACCCTGAACCTGCACTCATGTTGAGTAGTGGGCAGGTAGTAGACAAGAGGTTTGAGTATTTGGGTAGCTGCATAAGTGCTGGTGGTGGCGTGAGTGCTGAGATCGATTCACGTATAGTGAAAGCCAGAGCGGCTCATGCTAATCTGGGTCATCTTTGGCATCTTCGTGGTGTTAATCTGGCTGTAAAAGGTCGGATCTACAACGCGTTGGTGAGAACAAGTTTGCTCTATGCTTGTGAAACCTGGCCGTTCTGAGTTGGGGATGTTAAACGATTCTCTGTGTTTGACCATCGTTGTCTCTGAAGGATTGCTGACATCCAGTGGCAACACCATGTTAATAATGCACAGGTTCGGAATCGTGCTTTCAGGCACAGCGACAATAATCCAATTGCTTTCACCATTTTGAAGCATTGACGTCGGTGGCTTGGACATGCCTTACGAATGTCGCCCCAGTAAATCTCACGTCGTGCATTATTTGCCGACACTGGGACTGGTTGGAAATAGAGGAGAGGTGGTCAGTGTATGACATTATGTCATGGTGTGAAAGAAAACTGTACAGGACTGGTTTCTGTTGCTCCTTCACTACTCCCTAGTTGGGGTCCAAGAGATGGTGCAACACGGTGGCTAGAGATGTTATCAAATATGACTCAGAATGGAAACTAGTGGCGATCCTGCTGTGGTTTCTACTTTTTTCATAAAAGTGGACGTAACTTCTTTAATTGAAATCCCTTCTGGTTGTATCTTTCCTAGCTGAACTGCTCCTCCCATTACTACTATTATTTTACTCTCATAAACTAATTTCTGCTCGTTTCTTGTTCTTTTTATTGTACGCACTTTACATTATCTATCTCTTCACAACTTCATTGTTATTGTGTGAAGTATTTGGTGCCCCATTGTACCGATGTTTATATGTTCAAATAAATAAAAAGATGAGTCAAATGACTGTACTATTAGTTCCCAACAGCTGCACGACAGAAAACTGATTTTAAATAAGATTATTACTATATGTTAACAATTAACCAATATCTAAATAAAGATTTCCCCCCGCGTTCAAAAAAGTTGTTCTACTCCGTAGGATCAGCATAAAATATGATGGATACATGAATGCTAGTGCAATAAAAACAATTCTAGTTAAAACCTCAAGTATGATAATTCTACATAAAAGAACATGTTTCGTAAGTAAATTACCTCCGTTATAAACGAATCCAACTGACAGCTAAATGTAACATTTTCTCCCTCCATCACTAAAAGTAAAGGTGGAGGAGCATGTATCACTTCAGGTGGACCGACTACACTCACTATGAACTGAAAATTAACTTGATCATTCCCATTGTCCACAAGTAAATTGTAAGTCCCTTAAGAGAACAAGCAAAAACATAACAAATAATACAAAGACTATTTTATATGTTTCCACAAAAATACATGGCAGTGTTGAATTTTAATTCAAAGGAAAATCAATTTTGTATGACTTTGAATAATACTTACCAGATCGATGAAAGGAAACAGACTGAGGAAACTAGTGGCAATCAAGTAAACAAATCTAACTTTATACATAAACGGCAAGTGTTTGATTGTCTTTTGCTTGAGTATAAATTTAGTGGATGAAGTATAAAAACAGATACATAGATATATACATATATACATACAGGAGTGAATGAGATCAGAACGAAACAGTGAGTAGGTAGAAAAGATTAAGCAACTGTTCAAACAAAAGCTGTTAGAAAATTAATAAGAATCTGGTTACTGGACAGGCTAGCATCATAAGCATTAGTATATTTAGACAACCTTAAAAACAAAACAGAAACAGAAACCATGATATGGTAAATAACGAATAAAGTTTAAATAAAATAATAAACTTGTTCTAAAATCTTTTTCAAACTTAGTCACTAAAGATGCTGACCAACGAAACTAAAGTCATTGTGTGTTAAAATATAAGTAGAATGAAAGACTTCTGAATGTAATGTCTTAGGTTATGGTTGGAGATATGATCGATACACTGTCAATTACGCTTCACAGGTTTAAGTCCCTCGGATGTCTTTCCAAACATTTATTCAAGAATCAAATGTTTCTATTCATAGGGAATTTTCAACATCTACTGTTAAAAGATTGGCTGTATAACAACACACAACTTAATGTAATTCCACATTACGTCTCATAAGATCGCCTTTTCCTGACTTTTTAACGATGTTTTCCTGTTCGACCGCTGATGTATCAGAAAAACTGCTTCCAATCGATCCCTAGGCTATCAAATTAACATCAATGTAATATGGTCAATTAAAAGCCAAAGACATCCCAATGACAGTAGTATTATGTTCAGCAAGTATAAAAACTGTTTAAAACTATCCAAGTACGTTAACATCAACTAGGAAACGAAACATAAAGGCAGATACAGAAGCTTGAATCATCCTTGTAAGTAAAACAACTTCGTAATAACCCGAAAGAACAGAACTAATGAAAGGGAAAGCTATACGAAAAAAATTAGGAAACTAATTAATAAAACTACTTGATTAAGCAATCCTTCCGAAAACATTGGCCTTGTTCTATTCCAATAGATTTACTAGCTTTGAACTATTGGAACATAAACAAACAAACAAACTGAAATATAATAAACAACTAGCAACCATTCATCACAAAAAGCCATGAAACATACCAGAGTGCTCTCGGCGAATGAGATCAGGAAACTTCAAGAGATAATCACTGTGTCCTGGAAAATCAGGTGGAATTCTTCTTCCGTCTTTGGTCCATTTAACAGTCGTGTACTCTGGAGTAGATCGATACTTAGTGACTAACTTGAGACCAGTTCGCTAAAATTTTAAGAAATGTTATGGTTTGGAATGGGGATTTTATCAAACTAATAGCGACACATAAACCTAGGGATTTTCGGTAACGTAAAAGAAAATATCGATATAAATCTGTGTCAGAAACCTTTATATCATAGCAAAGTCCTGATCACCTGTAAAGACGATTGATATGGAGGTCAGATATTAGGTCAATCAGCCAAAACGTAAGTCCTTTAGTTGACTAGTGACTTGCAAAGGTTTGTGCACAACAACTAATTGCAAATAAAAATGACTTGTGAGTATGCATACTTCCCGTATAAACTGATTTTCTCTAATCACTTATAACATTTTATCGTCATTTTTTGTGCTAATATTTCGTATATAAGCCTAACACCATGCCATCAATGGAGGACTTACGTCATTATTTAGTTCTCCTGGGCCACCATCAATCCACGACGCTTCCTATAATTGCGTACTGTCAGTCGATTGGCATTCTACTCATCTTAATAATCGAAAATTGGTCTCACCAAATAATTAAACTTCTACTCCATAAAAGAATCAGATTAGGAAATATAGTTCATTACCATTTTCAGAGCATTTTATACTGGTATTGTACGTAATGATTTGTATCAAGTTATACCAGTTTTGGGTAACTTTATAACTTGGTTTTTAATTCAAATAAATAATACTTAATTAAATAAATGATAGTGTAAATATTTTATCCCAATCCTAGAATAAAATCTACTCTAACTACTTATTTATGGATAGTTAGCAATATGATCTCTCCTCACAGGAAACGTGACTGCCTGCTACACGGACTAGTACGTGGTAGGTTATTGAGTTAAAACAATATTCTTCATCTCATATTTTCGTAAGGAATGATACATGACTGGATTTGTTCTTTATGCAGCTAATATTAAACGAATTGATACTTTTCTATTTCTTGCGTTGATTTGTTGTCTTTATTTTGGCCTTGTTTATTTACTAATGTGTTGATTACAATCACCTACATTTACTTTCCTTTTTGAATTTCAGTCACCCTGCCTAAATGTGATGAGACGTGATAACTTGAACCAACAAACTAATAAACCTGAATTGTGTTTGTTTTCGTGTCTAGTTCTATTAAAAGTACACAAAACTAGTAATGATTTCTCACTTTGATGAAATGTTATATAAGTTTGTCTTATGGTGAAGCAAAGAAAACTTTCTTAATCACTGATCATTGTTACGTCATTTAAAGTGTGACTGAGCTGCGTAGCATAAAGTGTAAGAGAAGCTAATTCGAAGCATACATTACAGCTACTGTAATCGACGCAATTGCAGTGACCATAGTAATTTCTCAGTGGAAAATAGTACAAACAACCTCAGTTACATAAATATGAAGCCCTAGGCACAGGCTGTCAGAATATAAACCAGTACATGAAAGAATGCATGCTCTATACTCACTGGTCCAATTCGAACAGTAATCCTTTGTGTGAGGGGTGATAATACAGTAATTCCACTACCAACGAATGGTATATTGGAGTCATAAGTCAACAACTTAGGCCGCTCACTTGAACCACCAAAATAGGTAGAATAAACAGCTGAGGAGTCCAAGTGGCTCCAGCACACCAAACCCATATCTTTCCATGCTGACGTTGTGCGCTTGTATAACACCAAAGTACCTGATGAAGGAAGGAATACAATCAATCTTAAATCGATGATATAAAAGTAAAAGCTAATTAATTAATTTATACATAAGAAAGCAAATCAAAGAGATTATATGTTTTTTTCAAATACTACAAAGATGAATATGGGTAAAGCGAAAAACTTTTGCCAGATAAATGCTATTTACCCAGTAAAATATAGTCTAATAAATAGTCTGTCAGTGTACTCTTTAGCAACTAAATCAACCTCGATTCATAGACAGGCAGAAAAATTCTTTAATTGGTTATTTTCTTTTTGTAACTTTTGATTTATTTTTGTTTATTTTAGCGTTGTAAATTCACAAATAAATTAACCTTAATGAACGTCCATAACAGTCTACAAATTTCTAGTCAATAAGAAGGGAAATAAGTTATTTTTATAATAGTCCACAACTTAAGTAGAAAGGGATGAAACTTACCGTTCGGAGAGACATAACTTTCAAAATAATTTGTAACATGAGTAGATGTTTGACGAACTCTACGCATGCACCCAGCAGACTGTATACCATCAGGGCTGTCTACATCACAAAATGACCACATAAACGGACTGGGGAATGCTGCATCAGCCCAACTTGGCAACTCTTCAGATACTTGAGTTTGTCCGCATTCCAGACTCAAGGGAAGATCATTGATAGATAAAGGAGGTAAATATTCAGTTTGCTTTACAGGTCGTCTAACCATACCTATGAATATGGCCGGAAAATATAAAACAAAAAGTTGTCAAAAGCACTTTTAGGTATGAAAATAAGATGATTAAACATGATATATAACAAACGAAAGCCGTACAGCGATCTGCACTGGCCACATTGTTTACGTATATGTCATTCTGCAATTTCCCACATCGTTTCATTTGCTTAGTCTGACAGTGGATCGCTGGTGTTCAATCTTTGAGTCCTTCCCTTTAAAGTTTAGTATTTTAACTTCGATATTTTTATTAGTTTAAAAAACTGTCAAAAGTTACTTATCCCTACTGCATCTCATTTCTTCCTGTCAGTGCTTATCACCAATGTGTAAATCTGTCGTCAATTTATTTTCGGATTACTCATATCTGGCGGTCTTTCGAGACAGGTTTCTGGACCAACAAAATCCTATAAACTGTTCCAACTCTTTGACAAAGGTTTTTACTTTTTACAACTAACCAGAGATTATGACAGGCCTCCTTCGGGTGAAAATGTAATTTTACTGAGTAGCATACATACATTCACGACATTCCCATTTCCAAACTTAGCTTAAGGTAAGCTCAATAGTCAAATGACTTTTGTGAGTACCAGTCGTATAAAGATTACTGATCATACCTGACTACCTGAATCCTTTCTTTGTGAAGAAATGGCTTCGTGGTTAAAGGGCTTGGTTTTCAACCAGATGGCAGATTCCAATCTCGCTCCATTTTGTAGGCTCGGGAAACTTAGTTAACATTACCGAGTCCCCCATTGTGTTTCGAAGTCGAGTGCACAAACATATACTTATCGATTAAGTCATATGTAGGGCAATTAGGTAATCGCATCTATGTGGATAAAAGTCCGTGTATTTTAAGATAAGACCATATTGGAAAAGATACTAATTATTGGTTGCAAACCTTGAGTGAAATAACTTTAAATTATCAGCAATAGTGCAAATGTATGTGACTCGCCTTTCTCTGAAACTTATTTTGATATTATCCCATATTTTTTATTCCATTTACTCTGATTCGAACTACATTTGTTACTTCCAATTTTCGGGTAACACGACTGAAAATTAGTCGCAGTGAAGGAGATGGATCCATTCTTTGTCCTCAATATTATTTTGTACTTTTTTCTTCAGATTAACCCGTTTTTTGTACCCCATTCTTATGGATCCTACCGTCATCTTGACTTTTTCTCGATTCGTTTTGTTAATTTCGTCACGCGGTACTGATGTGGCGCAGTAACTTGTGCCGATGCACATTTGTGTTAGGGTCTATGTTGATTATAATTAAATGGTTGATGTGTCATTTTTCACTATCACAAAACATTGTTATTTCCTTGCTAATTCCCGCAACCTGTGGTATGAATTGTGATAATCCGGACTAATATTTAGAGCATTTTGTATACTATGAATAACTACTTGATATTTGACTTACCATAAACAATAAAATACTACTCGAACTTAATTGGCACAACGAGACTTACGTTTGTGATAGTAATACGCATCCTGTATTTCAATGAAATTTGAAATTAGCTCTCCATTCCGGTTATGATACTTGCAGAAGTAAAAGCCGTCAAGTAGTTCATCTTTAACAGGTAGCCTAGAAGAAAACGTGTAGCCTGTAACAAATAGTTAACACCCAATAAACAAATACCTGAAGATCTATTGCCATTAGCGCTAAACTCAACCCGGCCGAAAATAACATTTCTTGTTTTAGGATCAATGCATTCATCCGAATCGTGCGTAGACTTCTGGAATAATCAAGAAAATAAGTGGTTCATGAACAAAATAGCACTGAAATTAAAGCTAGATAAAAAAATGCGTACAGGTTAGGATACTTCCAAATATAAAATAACAACGACCAAGTAAGAGCAACATTTCAAAACCATATTTACAAAAGTAACAAGACGAAGAAACTATGCAGAACGTTTGATTTTTCAAAGTATGATCAAGTAAATTACCTGCCACAAATGGTTAGTATTCCTCTCATAATCATGAGTTGGTCGGTGGTAAATCAAAAATTATCCATTAGACTTTTAAAATACATGAAGTGGTCAACACTAAAAAGAGTGGTTTGTCAATTAAACTATGTACTGAGACTAAATCAAAACAACAGACTCGTAGACCAGATAATTTGATGGGGTCCATTGGGCTTTTGCTTACTCGAATATTTAGGCTACATTTACGAAGACTGTCGTTGTGTTAGTTTATTCAATATAAGCTGGACATAACGTATACTGCCGGCATAGACCTGTTTTAACTCATCAGAAAGATAGCGAAGATAAGTGAATAAGTTATAATCCCCGGACTAAAAAACAGGATATGGATTATAAAAAGCTTACATTATTGCTGGTATCGGTTCGCAATGAAAACCTCGATCCTAACTCCTGACCGCCACGACCTTGAAGCGGATTTTTCCATCTTGATGTTAATCCTAACATATTTGTCGATGTTAGTAAGCTTGTGATGTTATTAGAAATAAATTCAATTCAACTATCATGTACAGAAAACTAGAAACTGTAGGCACCCACGGTACTCGGAACCATTCTTAGAACTGACAGGAGTTAACTCCAACTACTTACAACTTAATCAAAATTTATGGAACAACCATTCAAGTTCTAATCAATTCTGACTAATTTTATTACGTACATCTTCAGCTCAAAAAACTTGGCAGCAAAATGTAAACAAACGCGTGGTTAGCCCGAGTAATGTACAACGTATGTCTGAGTGAATAGTTCTAGAGATTCTGCAGAGTATGTCAGATAGAGCAAGCGAAACGAACGGATGAAAGCAGAGTAGACAGATAACTGTAACGAGAACAAAGGGTAGTAAAGGTAGCCCATGGTCCTTTCACAGATATAAACTTACCTAGAATACATAAAAAAGCTGATTATTAGCATATTTCATGATTAAATTGTGCTTCATAGTGTGGCATCCCTAGCATACAACACACGGTTAACAACTAGTACATAAACCGGGATGGAAATCAGACAGCTTATATACATGCAGATCAGCCAGAAACAAAAAACAAGATAAAAACGTTAGTAAACTCCACATTACACAAACTTAATAATTCAAAATGGTGAATTACCCTGCGACATAGGTAAGCAGAGACGAGTTCATGAGTCGAATCGAGGGGAGCAACAACACAATGAATTCTTAACACAGGAAGCTCGTTCAGATGTTCGACAATCCTGATGCGAACTTGCTGTTTAATAGTGGCATCTATTTCAATGGGATTTCGCAGACCAGGATGTTCATAGAAAAAGATGTCATGTCTAACTCCACTAACAGGGATGAATTGCAAGTACTGTTCTATTGTGGACGCACCTTAAAATTTTTTAGGGTGATAGTTTTCCAATTACCATATGATGTTTCAACGGCAAATACAACCAACCAAAGCACGAGCAACATCGCGAGACATAAATGCCTTCTCAATAACTCTGAAAAGCCGCCACAAGTGAAGGTTGAATTTCAGCAATAATAATGTGATGACTAAATATTTTGACCGTACCCAACACAACAATGACAATAAAATTTAATGACTTTCTGTTGATTTTTTACGATTTTTAATGATATTAGTAAGTTGTATTCCTGAGGACGCCTATCCATTTGTAGTCCACCATAGTAGACTGTCTGTATAAAATGATTGGAAACCTAATCGAGTTAGACCGACCAGCTAACACCGAAGTCCAACCTTACGGCTAATGGCCAAGGTGGATTGCCCTTTCGCACTATGGCTGCTTTGAAGACCGTACGACATGCGCGCTTTTCGAACGCGAACTTTAGTCCTAACGGGCACGTGCAAATCGTGATTTGCATTTATCAAACTTTTGCTGTGTTCCTACGCAACAAAAGTACCATTTCAGTTCTAAGGAATCTATCCTGAGCTATACCTTCGCAGATTGCTTTTTATAGTTTCAACACATTTAATAGTTAACGTTGATTTTGCCTCAGCTTACTATTCGGTTTTTTTTCACGTATGGACTAGTTCAGTTTATCTTACTCGTTTTTATCCATTTCTTTCCGCTCTTAGTGTGCTTTTTAGTGTAATTTTACCGCCTTAGGCTTTTCCAAACATTTAAAACAGTTTGACTCAACATGAAAAACTCATGAAAACGTCCAGGATGCCGTTTTGCTGTTACAACTAGCATGCAGTGCGACAACTGCAAAGGTTGGTTCTACGATGAGTGCACAGATCTGACGGCAACTGCTTACAATAGACTCAGCAAGTGTGACCAAATATGGGTATGTGTCACGTGCAGCACGGACGCTGTATTCTTGCCAAGTAAAATCATCGTCCTACTGACAGGTCTCCGGAACAAGTTGTCAGCAAATTTGGATAACGATAGTAAAAAAACGGGTAGACAAACAAGAGCTCTCAATGAACACAAGATTAGGGATTTTGACAGGTCTACCATTGATGGAGCATCAATTAACACTAATGATGTGTCGAAGCTCAGCACCATCATTACGTCGACGGTATTAGACTCCCTACGTAAACTCGGGTCTCCCAGCCCAGGGTCCCTTAACCCAACAGTGGTGCCCAAAAGCCCTGTGGGTGATTCGACCCACGTTAACAGAGCTAAAAAGAACCAGTTGTTACCGCCTAAGCTGAGCATCCCAAGTGTTGCTGTACGGAAAACAACTGGTGACTTGATCTCATAGTCTACCCCCAAGAATGTCCGTCCGGTCATCAAAGAGCCTGGGATTCAGGAACGTATTTCGACCTCCAAACAACAAGGTGCTAAACCTGAATACACCGGAAAACCTGGGAAAACAATAACGGTTCGTGATGACTCATAATCATGAACCTCATAGACAACCCTGAGTTCCTCTCAGTTTGCAGGATAAAAATGACAGGATGCTTTGGGGTGAATTGAACATGAAGCTTGAACTTCCTGGAATACAGCATCTGACGACCACACGGCTCGCTTGGGGAGAAGAATCCAAGCATCAAAATCACCCAAGGCTACTTCGTGTAACACTTAAGAATGCTACCGACGCAGAGGATATCCTGCTAGCTAGTCATTTACTGAAATCCGATGAGAACGTTAGAATACTGCCCGACATACCGTATTCTGAGCGTAATCTCATCCGGAACACCCCTTAAAAATCTCGTGAGTTCTTCCGCGGAAGAAATATAATTATGTAAGGTGTACTGGAAAACACGAACCCTAGTCAAGCAAACTCTGATATTAGGGAATGAAAATTCATCAAGCAGTCCTTGAGGCTCAAAAACATACTGACTCAACATGTGGCGAGACTAGCCAAGAAGGACGGTGATTCTAGCCCCCAGCTAATGAGGATAGCTTTCCCATCCTCTCACATGTGTAAACGTGTAAAGGTCAGCGCCTACCAACTCGACAAACCTTATATAGGTAGACTACCTGTTCATTCACGTAAGGCTCATACAAACAAACAGGAAGGAGAAGCTCACACGTTTCAACTTGAAAGCATAAACTGCTTATACATGAACGCCGCGAGTCTACCAAATAAAATGGGTGAGCTACGTGAACTTAGTAATGCTAATAAGGTTCATCTGATAGGAATATCTGAAACTTGGGTATCTTCTCAGTTCTCGGACCAGGAGCTAGCAATACATGGGATGTCTTTGTTACGCAACGACAGAAAAGCAGGAATTGGGGGTAAAGTAGCCGTATACATACGATCTTGCTTGGAGGTACACCAAGTTCACAACCATGAGTTTAACAATCTTGATGAATCTGTATGGTGCACTGTAAGATTGTCTACTACTTCGAGGTGCCTAGTCGGAGTCATATATAGGAAGCCCACTGCTGACATCGAGTATGATAGTCGTATGCTGGAAGGACTATCCCGCTCTACGCGTCTCGGTTTCACTCATATCCTGATTCTGGGGTACTTCAATCTCCCTAGAGTCAAGTTCGCGGAACATACGTATATTGGAGGTGAAAACTCAACTGAAACTCGGTTCTTCAAACTTATTGAGAATTTGGGATTATACAGAAATGTGAAGTCGGCAACTCGTTGGAGAAAGTCAGACACCATCGCGCTTAGATTGTGTATTTAGAGACGCAAGATTTCTAGTTGACAACCTCTCAATCCTGGTTCCCCTGGGGGCAAGCGATCATGACTTCATAGACTTCAGTTTTGTCAGCAAAACTAAGTAAAGGTATCCCACCAATAACTTGCGTTGGAATTTTAGACGGTTTAATGTGCCAGCTCTACACCAATATCTACAACAACTGGTTTGGGATTTTCACCCTCAACTCAATGTGGACGGTCATTGGGACTTCTTACTGCACACGCTCTTACGTGCTACAAACCATTCAGTTCCTCAAACGGTTCCCAAAAGCTGCAAGCCACGTTCAATTATCAAGAACTGTACCCTTCGCCTGCTAAACCGTGAAAGGCACTGTTGGGCGGAATGCAGACGAACTGACAACGACGGAGCGTACAGGTAATATAAACATATCAGGAACATATGCATGAAGGCTATAAGAGGAGACAGGCTTCAGTACTAGACAAGGCTTATGGACAAATTTACCTCTAATCCTACGAGCTTATTCCGTTATGCAGCCTCTTTTCGTCAAGCCAAAACTGGAGTTCCACAATAGCTAGGTCTTAACGGCCCGACCAACAACGACGGCGACGCAGCTAACCTTCTGGCTGAACATTACTCCCAGACATTTCAACCGACCGACATCAACTTTACTGATGACAGTTTCATCTGCAATTTTACAGGACTTTCCGAAATGAACCTAAGCGCTGGCTTAGTGTTTCGGAAATTGCAGCACTTAAGATTAGACACTTCTCTTGGCCCGGAAATGGTCCATTCTGCCATACTGAGGGAAGCAGCCTCAATCCTGGCCACGCCGCTTAGCGTGATGTTCTTACACTCGCTAAGCTGAGGAAAACTACCGGAAACTTTGGGGCTGGTTCACATCACACCAATTTTCAAAGGAGGTCGACGCAATGAACCTTCAAGTTATCGGCCGGTGGCTCTTCTGTCATTACCTTCAAAACTCATGGAGTCCCTGATATGCGACGGTTTAAACGACTATCTACTGTCCTTAAATTTCTTCTCACCCCAACAGCATGGTTACAAGAGGGGCTACTCTTATGTAACCAACCTACTGACTGCGGTGGACAGATTGACAAGCATCCTCGATCGCAAGGGGAATGTCGATATCATCTACCTATATTTCTCAAAAGCTTTTGATAAGGTTAACCATACATGTCTTATCAATAAGCTCAAGCGATTGGGTATCAGACCACCTATAATCGATTGGCCCACTTCATACCTGAAAAATCGACATTTTAAGGTCAGGGTAATTTCACTTTCTCTCAGACTATGGAATGTCCTAGTGGGGTTCCCCAGCGTTCAGTACCAGGACCTCTTCTCTTCTTGATCTACATAAATGATTTTCATCAACAGGTAACGTCTGAATTATTACCCTTTGCTGATGATGTTAAACTTTAGAGAGAGATACGTAATCAAGACGATATACAAGAACTTCAGGAGGATCTGACTCGACTCCAAAGTTGGGCAGATAATAATACACTTACTTTTAGCACTTTAAAGTGTAAAGTAGTCCATGTCGCAGATTACAGTTTAACTTAACGAACTCCTCTCTAGTGGCATCCCAAGTCGAAAAAGATTTAGGAGTCCAGGTGCATCGCGATTTTAAATCTTACGCTAACTGTGACAAAAATACCTTTCGAGCAAACTTTGCACTGGTAACGTTGGAGCGCATTTTTGGACAGTTTGACGGAAGAACTTTCCATATAATCTTCAATAGTTTCATCCGTCCCCATTTAGAGTACGGAAACATAGTACTTCCCCCCTCACTCCAAAAGGATTAGGACACTTTGGAGCGTAGCCAACAGTGAGCCACGAAATCAGTTCGAGGACTCAAATTTAAACTTTACGAAGAAAAGAAATATAGGTAGATGATATCGACATTCCCCTTGCGATCGAGGATGCTTGTCAATCTGTCCACCGCAGTCAGTAGGTTGGTTACATAAGAGTAGCCCCTCTTGAAACCATGCTGTTGGGGTGAGAAGAAATTTAAGGACAGTAGATAGTCGTTTAAACCGTCGCATATCAGGGACTCCATGAGTTTTGAAGGTAATGACAGAAGAGCCACCGGCCGATAACTTGAAGGTTCATTGCGTCGACCTCCTTTGAAAATTGGTGTGATGTGAACCAGCCCCAAAGTTTCCGGTAGTTTTCCTCAGCTTAGCGAGTGTAAGAATATTACGAAGAGCGCCTCCATTCACTGGAGCTTTACGCATTAGATTATAGTCATCTTAGAGGTGATCTATTAATGGCTTATAGTATTCTTAACACTTTTGGACATCTTTTTAAGCACCTACTTAAGCTTAGTTTCAACACTAACCTAAGGGGTAACACCCAGAAACTGGAGACACAACATAGCAGAACGGACTGTAGACACAACTTCTACTCCTTAAGAGTTGTCAAATGCTG